CGAAACAAACAATCGATCCAATAATCCTACAACAGTTACGAACTTCAGAGTGAAAGATAAAAGAAGCACATGCACCAGAATAGAGGTGCCGAAATATGCAGGCTCAATTCGCCATTCCTCCCTCTCCACACTGGTTCTCTATCCATCGTCCTCCAAACCAGGTAATGTTTTTCCCTCTTAACCACCACTTCACACGTTTGTTCAATAAATTTTAGTGTCAGATATCTTAATTTGTGTAATTTTTTTTTAAATATAGCTGTTTGAGGCGCATAAAATGCGAGTCCTATGGTCATTCGGGGATTCACAGAGTCTAACATGATATATATATATATATATATATATTTATTTATCCAGGATGTTGTACTTCAAGGAAGTTGAATGTAAGAACTGGGCCATTCAAGAATAGTGAAGATAAATCAAAAAAGCGGAGAACAATGGTTGTTGGATGTAAGAAAGAGAATCAAGAATTGGGTTTCAAGCCGTTGAGCAGCTTTATCTTGGAGTGGATTTCTGTACATCTGAAGCTAGGTGCGCTTTGATTGACAATCAAGGGACAATTCACGCTGAAGGGAAGGGAGAGTATCCTCATTCCTCAATACATGGTAAGAAGCCTCGACAACTGCATTTTAATATAATATTTTTTATACTAGTATTAGTTATAAATCTTTTTTTGAAGTTACTTGAACATTTAAAATTTACATAGAATTGGATACCTTAGAGTTCAAATCGGAATTGTTTATTTGCTTTTGTTTTTGTTTTCCATGTTCTTAATTATGTGCATGAACAAGAGGAAAATGGTGCTTGTTCGTACCATTTCTGTAAATGTCTTTACCCTGTCATATTGAGGATGTTGTTTCTGTTGTCTAGAAGGAAGAAACAATGGATTGGACAAGGTCATGGAAAACAACCCTTTTCTCACTGCTTAAAGGTGTTCCTGTTCATCTCCATCTTCTCATTGCTTCCATTTCGCATGATGGGACTTCTGCAACTACTCATTATTGACAGGTGATTATCTAAAAGATTGTTTGCTTATCCATGTGCATTCTCCTTCTCGATTACTGGATTGAATTTCAATGTGGTATCTGAATTTATCACCTGCAGCAATAGAGGAGAACCGTTAGCCAGCCCTTACCTCTACAATGACAGTTCTCCAGATGCTTTACCAGTGGTAAAGTCCATTGCTCCTGTAAACCATTTAGTGTGCTCTTGTCCCTTTACTCTGTGCAAGCTTGTTTCATGGTGGAACAATGACAATTCAGACTAAAGATGTGCAATATTATTGCACCAAGCTGATGGGGAGCTTGGAGTTTCTTATTACAACAATGCTTTGAAGGTATTATACAATAAGTGATTAGTCATAATTTTAGGATTTTAACCCCTACTGGCAATCTACAGGCTACAGAAAATTTAAGCAATGAATGATTAAGAAATTATTCCACACGTGTATAGATTGGTTATGGCCCTGAACTTGCCTCCTATTAACCTTGGCTGTTGTCTCAGCCTTATTCGTGACTTTTACCTATGGTCAAGGCCCCTGTAACTTCAAACGGTCATTTGAAAGGGGATGTTATAACACAATTTGGTATAGGTTGTTCCATTAAATACCTTCCTATGCCTCCCTAGATGGTTCAAAGGGCAGTTAATTGTGTGGTTTAAGCATGATACAACTCGTTTCAGTCAAAATGTGATATTTTGCATTTGTTAATTGTATTAGAAAAAGTAAAACTTGAGATTTTGCACCCCTTAAAGAGTTTAGCATTATGAAATGATAATGATTTTGTGTTTTATATTTGTTTCTTATGAAAAGAGAATTAGTTGGAAATTTGATGAAGAAAAAGTTGGAAAATTATGCATTAATTGTTCTGGATTTATATCTGCATGTTGTTGGTTCTTGATTGCAAGTTAAACCTACCCTAAACTTCTGAAACTGCAGTTAATATTTTACAAAATGCATCATAGCAGGTTTTTCAGAAGATGGTATTGTATGTACTAGGACCACTGATTACAGGGCGGCCCTTCTTGCAGCACATGCAACAAAACCTGGGAAAGCGGTTAGAAATTTGTGACTTGTCTCTAATTTGTGTTTATCAGGTAATGTGAAGTGGCTTTTTGTTGTTTGTCATTTGGCTGTCTCTAATTATCTTTATAATCTTCTGCAATCTGTGTCATATTTGGTTCATTATTGCCGAAGTAGATATGGAGAGACATATTTCTGCTATTCTGTTTATAATGCTCTTGCTTAGTCTGGCCTGCTATGTTGCATTTTACATCTGTTTTTAGAGACCTTAATTGCAATCAGCATGCCTTTTCTCTGAGTTTCGTGTGGTCACCTCTCTGGTTTCATACTTGCTTGGTATTTGGGAATCCATTGCCCATATAGAGATGGCCCCTTGTTCAATATTTATTTGATTGCAGAAAGGAGGCATGGATTGCCATTGGTGACAGTTATTCTAAAATGTACCTCCTCTTGGTATAATATTCAGGCAAAAGTTTACATCTTATTGAAGGATCTAGGAGCAACCCAAGTGGAAGAAGAGTTTACTGCTGGAGGTGGTGCAAAGAACGACAAATGGACAAGGATTCGAGATAGAGTACTTGGTTTACCTGTGAGTCGAGCAGCCTAGACAGAAGCTGCCTATGGAGCTGCTTTATTAGCATTGAAGTGTGCCCAATGAAATTAGAGGCTGGTGAGAGCAGGTGACTATCGAGTTTATAAAATATGTGGAGTCATTATTTTATGGTGAAACAATTTGTGATTATGTTTCGATTTAGCATGCATAATTAGTTACAATTCCTCCCTGTGATTCCCTCTTGAATTTTAAGAATCATGTCAGGTAATTCAACTTGAACCTGTTTTTCCAAGAAAACCTGCACATGCCAAAATAATGAACTTGAGACATCAATCTATAGTTGATCAGTGCTGAGAATAGATGTACTTGCTGTGTTGGAGTGTTTGTTTAAATCCTGAGCAACTTCGTTTGTCCGTCCAATGTGCCACTGCCCACCACTGTAGTTATTCTTTGCCTCCGAAATCCAAAGTAAAAATACACCGACCGCTTCCCAACATCCCAAAGGAGCAGGAAGAACAAAGTAACAATCTGCAACAAATCCTAGAGACTAGCTTTAGCGGCCCAAACCCCAATGTGAAAATTGGAGGAGGCTTAGGCCGATTTGATCGCCATCCGTGCGGTCATGGGATGAAGATTTGCCAGGGATGGCTAGTAGCGGGGAGAGGAGGCTAATAGAGTACCAAGTTCTGACAAACTGAGCAAGAGCTTCTTGTCTAATAAATGAAGGAGGGAACATTCGCAGACAAATTTTCACATTTTCCGGTTACTTCTCTCAAGCAATCAGAATTTCAGACACTTACAATCTTTTCTTTGGGCCACCAAATCCAGGCTTTCAATGGCTCATCTAAATATCTAATCATCACCTATATCTTTTCTTGACAGATGGTTTCATGACGCGCATTTTTCTCACGCGCTTGCTGCCTTTCTAGCATGCTATGTGCTATCTCTACCTTCCGCCAACAATTACAATTATGTAAATTGTGCGAGACAAAAAGCTTTTTTTTCTTTAAAAAAAATTTATACTTGATACATGCTGCATAAATTTTACTCGTAATCAATAAAATAAATTAAATAATATTATTTTATTAATATATAAATATTAATGTTTAAAATAAATATATGAAAATTAAAATTAAAAAAATCATTTACTAATAAAATAATATTATTTTATTTATTAATAATATATAAAATTTATAAATTAATAATACATCAAATATAAATTTTTAAAAAATTATTAGTGAAGATCAAACATTTTTCCATTTTAAAGCTTCATTTTTTATTCTTTTTAGTGTAGTTATTTCATAAATTATTATTGTATAATATACCGACAATAAAGTTTTTAAATATCATAATTAATCAATTTAGATAATTGATATATAATCATTTAAATAATTATATCAATTTATTGATTTATTTAAGAGAAAAATAACCATTATCATTCTGTTTTTGTGATGTTAAAATATGGATTTTTTTATAATGAAAAATTTTCAAGTAATTTATTTTTTTGAATTAAGAAACAAATCATTTTTAGTACAGTAATAAGAAAAGAAAAGGCATTATAGTACAAAATATTGGAAATTAGTCAAGCTTATTGAACAATCCAATATATAAATAGCAACAATTTTGGTAAAATATTTTTTTTCTAAAATAGACCTTTTATATGGTTCCATAATGATACCTCGAGAAATCTTACTAATTCCAATTTTTTAATACAGTAGAGTCTTAATTATTATCATTTAAGAATACTTTAGTGAATTAATTTTTGGATTCTGACCATATGCAAATTTCATTATTATAACAATAATAAGAAATACGTAGTAAAAAAAATCGATCATAAGTTCATATAACTCTTGTTAACGAAAAAATCGTTCATTATTTTTAATTGATTAATAGAACTAGTAATTAATTTTAAAAAAAATGGATTGTAAGTTCATTGAACTCTTGCATTCAGTATTTTCCAAATACCGGATAAATTTGAATTAGATATACAGTGAGAAGAAAAAAGAATAGGGTACTATATATAGGTTGCAGGGGATTGATCAATGGCGATGCTTTGGAAACGTGTTAGTGTTACATTTGAAAATGGTGATCATGAGAACTGAAGCTTCTCAAAGTTTTCCTCAGAACAAGGAGATGAGAAACTGGAGCTTAAACCCAGAAGCGCCAGAGTTTTTCCCTGCCAGAAATGCTCTAGCTTCAGCTCCTTCTCCCGTATTTTCACCCACAAACCTACCTTTTCTTCATTTTCAAACCCTACCATCTCCTTATCCCCAAGCTTTCTCAGCTCCAATGTTCTCTCACCCTTCATACCCATATCCTCATCTACATGCAGTACACGCCCATTTCTTGATCCCAGAGAAGGCTGCTGCTGCTGTTGCTGTGTCGATGACTGAACCAGTCTGTTCCTGGGTGGAACCATTCAAGACTAAGATGGTGCTTGAAGAAGCGCAGGAGCCCAGAGTCGTGGCTCGAAAGGAAAGCGTCGTAGGTACCAGGAGAAGGAATAGAGATAAGTGGGGAAGGAATAAAAGATATGGGAACGAAGGGCTTGTAAGGTTTGATCACAGTACTCAGGCTCGCAAGAAAGAATGGAGGGCGAAGCCTAATAGTTGGAGTAGTGGAGACAACAAGCATTTTAGTAGAAATGCTGATCAAGCTTCGTTTGAGTCCCCAGAGAAGGTTCAAGGTCGGGCAGCTGGGAATAACAACAGAGAGAAACATCCACTGATTCCGCTGAAAGATGATGGAATGGAAACGACGGTCATGATAAAGAACATACCCAACAGATACACGTATATAATCTTTTGGTTTCTTCTAATCTATGTACATTTATATCATTTTCAGCCCTTTTTTTACCCTTTAAGGTAGCTAATTAAATTGAAAGATATGTGATTATGAATCTTTTAGTTGCCTTTTCGTTCTCTGTGATTTTTTTTTAGCGTTTATTGATCTAGTTTTGTATTAGTATTTGCTATTGTTTAAGACGTGTGAAGGATGGATCTTTTGGGTTGCCTAAAGCGTTAAGCAAATTGGGACATATATTTTGATTTCATTGCTCAAAACATTTGAATGAACTGTTCCTGTATTCCTTGGTTGTTGATATTTGTTTAAATAACTGATAGGTCATTTTTTTTAGTTTGCCGTTTTCATGCTCACTCTTGCAACTAGAAGTTTTGGGTTTTTAGCACTGCTCTGAGTACTGTATTTTGGCTTCTTGTAGACGGGAGATGTTGAAGGATTTTCTGGACCAGCACTGCATGCTTATGAATAAAAAGGCAGAGTTCCAGAATGCTGGTGCAGATGAAGAACCTTCATTGTCAGCGTTTGATTTCTTGTACCTTCCGATAGACTTTGGGTATGTTACAATAATTCATACCCCTCAATAATTTTTTTGGTTATTTCACATTGTTCATGTTACATTATATTGCTTGCATTTTTATGCTCTCTATTTCGAGTTTGATGAGAGATATTTTGCCAAATTCACCATTTTTTCAGTACCAAGTCAAACAAGGGTTATGCATTTGTAAACTTCACAAACCCAGGAGCTGCCAGGAAGTTTTTTGATGCATGGCACAATAAACATTGGGATTGTTTCCAGTCAAACAAGATTCGTGAAATATATTGTGCTAAACTCCAGGTACATGTATCTGCAAACGGAATTACAATCAAATAAGCGGTTCACTTCAACACAACTTACGTTGATGATTGAACATTTAACAGGGCATGGAACAGCTAGTGAAGCACTTTGAGAGGATGGAATTTCCTTTTGAAGACTTTCATCCACTGGCTTTTAGTCCAGCTCGTGATGGTTCAAAGCAGCTGGTGAAAGAAACTATAGTTGGAAGATGCACAGGCTCAAACTGTACTAAACCAAATCTAAGTAGCTGGTGACTTGACTGGGATGCGTATGGTACAAAATAGTGGCGTGGTTTTTAAATCTGTTTTTCAGTTCTGTTTGGTTTCAATTTGGTTCTGATCTTAAAGTTTTTATTAGTCTTCAGACTTTTTGGTCACGCTGTTGCAGGAGATTGAACAAAGGGTGGACCTTGGCACCTGGATCTGACGATCTGATGAATAATCAAAGGGCAGGTGGTGGGGTCCACCCCGTACTTGGTTGGCTGTGACATGTGGGGGGTTGGTTTGTTCGTGCAATGTCTTTTCCGAGTATTTTTTGGGATAGATTTTGTACCAACTGCCACGACTTATTGTGACCTTATTTTTAACATGCCTGCAGCTTTGTACTTCCGTGGCAGAGTTATTTTCTATTCTGACTGTCGAGTCCACTCTTTTTCCTATTTTTGGTTTCGTTTGCCTTCACTGTTAACCCACTGTCTAATCCCGGTTTAGCTTTCGTTTAAAATAAGCATTCAGGCAATGTAGTAGAAACATAAGCATGAAAGTAAACCTAATGCCAGAATCCCTTTCTCCAATTTAACTGAAAGCTGTGCATAAAAAAGGTTGGATTTTCTATGACAAAAATCGCTGTTTCTACTTTCTATTATAGCACGAAAAAAAGACTCTGAACATCCGTTTGACCAAACGAGGAATACAAAACTTTACATGCAGCAATCTTTTCTTTGAATGGATCGTTTTAAGAAGCAGTATCTCCTTACAAATTGATAAACTTCATCTCCGTCGGATTTGGTTCGTGGTTTCCATCCATACTTATATTTTAGATATTCAATTTCAAAAGAAAGTGTGGGCATTGCAAACGACCGATTTTGGCTGGCGTTTTAAGGCTTTCAAATGTAAACGGTGGATGAAGAAAAGTTGGGAGAAAGTCGACTCTGAAACGGAAGTTGGGCTGAAGACTGTGAAGTCCTGACTGCTTATTTCATATTCTTGAGCAACCAAAAAAATTGATATACACAGCTTTCTCGGACGCTTTAATCATTTATACCTATATTTGGTGGGGTAAAAACGCGATGAGATGGATAAACCCCCTCGAGATGGGAAAGACTAAGACGCCAAAAGTTCGAAAATATTGCACAAATTGTTAGCAAATAGGGGCGTTGCGAGAATCGAACTCGCGACCTCTCGCACCCGAAGCGAGAATCATACCACTAGACCAAACACCCATGGTGACTTCAAAGTGATTGATTCAGCAAAAAATTTAGCACAGACGATGCTATCATCAAAACTTAAAATATCTTTGTAGCCAGGTAAAAGGCAAAAACAACATTTCAGTGACAGTAATGGCGGCAACACTTAGCTTCTTCCTGAGACCCATTTGCATCTCAATCTCAAGATTCCACAATAAAATCCCAATCATTCACAAATCCATTCGTTCTTCTTCTCTTTACTCTTGCTCTTCCCTCACTTTCCCTCAAACCCAATCTCTCTCTCTCATCAATTCCTCAATTTCAAACCAGAATGGCAATTACCCTTTATCCCTGCTGGACAAAGAACCTGAACAAGAATTTGACTCCGAAGTTGAAGAATATGGTAGTAATGATAACGAGGATGATGTTGGGATTGAAAATGGTGAAGAGGGTAGTCCGATAAAATTGGGTTTGGAGGTGGTTGCCGGAAATACCGAGGTTAAGAAAGTGAAACTACCGAATCTAACGGTTAAGGAAAAGAAAGAGCTGGCTTCTTATGCACATGGTTTAGGGAAGAAGTTAAAGTGTCAACTGGTGGGCAAATCCGGTGTTACTGATAATGTCGTTTCCTCTTTTATTGAGACTCTTGAAGCCAATGAACTTCTAAAGGTACCATCTCTTTTATTTTTCCTTTAAAGGGTTTTTGTTTTCTTAAATTTTCTACTTAGGGTTTTAAGTCTTTGACTTTTTTGCTTAGTTTTGATGCTTTCTAAGCTATGGGTAGCAAATATCAGATTTTTTTTAAGTGCTGATGGCTTGGGTTAAACTGTCTTTCTTGAGTCTTAGTTCATGCAACTCTATGCTTTAGAATTTAATTGGTGAGATGCTTGTCACTGCTACGTCTCCTTTTGCGTAGAGAATTTAAGCAGGTGAACAAAAATGAGTATCAAACATGCCGACTTGATTTTATGTTTATTGGGAAGATAAGTTCAAATGAATGTTCAATGTTTGTTAGAGATTGATTGGTTAGCGGTGAAGAGGCAGTGAGATTCCCTGGTAATTTATCTTTGAGTTGAGAAATATCTGGTATATCTATATTTATATTTAATCTTTGTGAACAGATCAAAATTCACAGGACCTGTCCTGGAGAGCTAGAGGATGTGGTGAGCCAACTGGAGCAGGCAACTGGTTCAGTTGTGGTTGGTCAAATTGGCCGGACTGTGATCATATACAGGCCTAGTCTCACCAAAATGAAGGCTGAAGAGAAAAAGAAAGAGTTTAAGAGAGTTTTATTGAGAAGGCAATCAAAGCTGAAACCTGCATTGGTAATGACAGAAAAGAAAACAACTACATATTTGGAAGAATTGCTCTGTAGTTTCTGTTAACTATTTGGATAACAAATTATGGTAGCCTGTTCCACGACCCCTCTAATTCCCTTTGTAAAATATGCAGAATAAAGGACAATTACCTTTATTGTCCGGACGTGGTAGAAGGGGAAGCAGCAGGTTTAAAAGTTGATTTCTGGTAATGTTTTTCTTCGATCGTGCTGGCTTGCTGTTTCCATGATGCCATTTGTTCATCAATAGTCTGTTCCCGGAAATACATTTTTGGTGAAATATTTGATGATTCAATTGAAGTTAGGGTTTACTTGATGAAAGAGACCATTTGGCTCATTGACAAATATGATGCATGTAATGTTGAGATAAATTCGAGATGGATTAAAGGAAATTGTTAAGTCAAATATATGTTTATAGTAGTTTCTAGCTTCCAAGTTTGTGTAGATTTGATATGGGATTTGGACATGTGCCTCGACAATTGATGCTCAGTTGAAACAGTTTCAAGGTGAAAATGGAGGTGTAACACCATGGGCCAAGCTGAAGTAGGTTCGGCTTGGGCCCAGCTTGGGCCCAATGTGGTTCAGGTCTGGAAGTTGTCTATACCTAAACATGGGCCCAAAGAATTAATGTCAAAATATTTTATTAGTTTTATTTTAATTTATCTTTGAATTAATTTAAACAAAATATATTAGATAATATTCCTAGTTATATAATAAAACAACGATTTCAAGATAGGCCCTAAATCTGGCCCAGGTACCATCTGATGTTTTGGGCCGCTCACCTGCCCGTTATAACTCTATACCAGTCCGAACTTGCAATAACTCAATACAAGTTAATGGTATTGGCCGAAAAAATACATTTGGATGGTGAGAAGTGAGAAATTTGGTTCTCCAGAAAATGGCAGCTGATCGAATGGATCTCATAAAGAAAATAAACCAAGCAGCTTTTAGCTTCTCCTGTTTATATTTGTTCAAATCTTCAGAGTGAAATATGCCATGAGTTGGGCTTAATTGAATTTAGTTAAGTAGGTACAGTAAAAAGTTTAAATTTGGCTTGAAATTTATTATCGAAAATTAAATAATTTATCAGATATACATTTTCATTAAATGTATAATTTATAGAAAATGCATATTCAATAAATTATTTAACTATTTAAATATAAAAAAATCCTAAATTCTAAATTTTAAATTCAAAGACTTAAACTTTAAATCATAAATCAAAATATTCAATTAAGGAAAAAGAACCTAAACTCTAAATTCTAATCTCATCAAGCATAAATTTTATAAGAATTTAATAAGAATATAATTATAAGTTTTTTTTTTTTTTATAAATTGGTAGATAAAAACTATATATTGCTTGATTATAGTATATAAGCTTTTAGATTTTTTCTTGATTCTAACAATCTGAGGGAGGGGAGCGAACAATATTCTTAATGAGAATTTTAAGCTTTAGAGTAAAAAAATTTTAGAAGTTTTTAGTTAAGGAAATCAGGAAATTTTAAAATTTTTTGGAGGAAGAAAAATAATTTCACGGAGAGATACTTTTTTTAAAAAATTAAGTGTGGAGACAAAAACTTTTAAAATTTTTCTGAAAAAAAGATAATTAAATAATTTTGTTAATAGATAATTTAAGAAAAATTAGGTGTGAAAAGTCAAAAAGAAAAAAAAAAAAAAAAGGGAAAGTGGTGCAAATGTAGCCACTCTTGAAACCTAAGTAGTTAAATATTTGCAGCAGAGTCCAGAGAAAGTAAAAATAATGGAGAAACGTGAATAGCAGTTGAAAGCGTCAATTAATAAATTTCTTTTAGGGCAGTGGGCCCCAAAAGAGATCCCACGTTTGGAAGAATCTGAGCATCTGGTCCAACAAACCTGGTCTGTCTCACTTTCCTGTTCTGTAAATTCCAGGTTTACTATTACACCACATTCTTCCTCTTCGAAATCTGACAAGGTAAAAGCTCGAGTCAGGATGTTCCTGTTATGTTTGTTTTCACCGTGGCCGATTAGGGGCCCAATGAGAAATGTTGCGTACACGATCGGCGGCTTTTACTCCTCTCGCCCCCGCGCTAAATTTCTGAATAAAGCAGGGATTAAGAACTTTCTCAACACTATTTTCTTCTTCACATTAAAGAGTAATAATATATTGTTATAGTTGATCTCCCAAGCATCATATGCTGGGAAGAACAATAAGACATAACATGGCTTACGCCAATATGCTTCTTTCGGGCTCCTCATTAAATGATGAATTCTGGACCATTTACTTTAAAAGAAAAAGTCCGAGATCTTTGCTTGCCAGGGTGAAAGCTCAAGCCAGTTTAACAGTAATTCAATCATATTGTTCATATACGTAGTAAAATGCATGCCATCATCTGATGTTGGATTCTGAAGCTAAACTGCTCTCAGCTTCTTCGCTTCATACCTACTCAAATCTTCAGAGTAGAGTATGCCATTCGGAGAAAGAAGACGTTTAAGGGAGACGAAGAATCGAGCCTGAAAAATTCTACAATTTCAGCATTCAGATAATCTGAAACAAATGGCCTGAATGCAAATGGTTAGTCTTACCCATTGAAACCCCACAAGTGCAAACCAGCAACCTGGCAAGCCCTATCCTCTAGTACTCACAAGCTGGTAACACATAAAGTTAGCATGACTCTACTGCAAAATCCGTGCAGTGTATGAGATAAAGAGTACAAGGATAAGGAAATGGATTTCTACCAGCAGTACAAGAGCACCAAAAGCAAAGCATCCACTCGTTGACAAGCTAATAAATCTAAGATCTCGTCCTGCCTACAAAAACAAATGCATTTGTGATAATAGAATGAAAATTTAGAGAAGTTAGCACAAGTTTCTCTTTAATGCTCCACAATGAAGTATGATAGGCACAACTAACAAACCAAGTTATTTATAATTGAGATATTCAAACTTAAATTACAGAAGCATACCAGCAAAGTGCCTTCAAGGCTGAGAGTGCTTGGTGTCACAGCTAATGCAAGAAAGTATGGTAGCAACACCTTGTGCATCTGTATGGACACAATTGAAATAGCAAGGATCAAACAGTTAAGAGATCCACATGCCATTGATGCATAAGAGTCCTTTTTATTCATATCCAAGACAAACAGAAAAACTCAGCTTACAATGGAATATTGCAACAATATATAAGATATTAGCAAATGGTAAAACATTCAGGTTAGAATTTCTTGGAGTTATATCACAACAGGACAATTAACTCCATCTGGAATCTTTTTGTGCTCATGATGCAACCCAACCACTAATATTTAAAGCAGCAATCGGTGGAAACAGGAAGGATGGATTACACATTCGATGAACATGAACTAACCTCCTGTATGACCTCTGGATCAGGTGTAAAGATATTGGGAAAAAACAAAGGAACTGATGTTCCAATAATCCCCAATACCAGTCCTAGTGTAGCACCAATGGTGGCAAGTGATTTTAGCAGCATTCTAGCCTGTTTGATATCATAAACAATTCAACACACGTTAGAGGGCAACATCCACATCGAGAGATGCTGTAAAGATACTCTAGGCTATACATTAATGCTGTTGAGGCAGGGGAAAAGGCAATCAGCATAAAATTAAAATTCAGATAACAAACCTTTGCCAAACTACGATTGACTCCATATATCAACTCGGGCATAAATGACTGTGCAGTTTGAGAGAGAGGCTCACCCCAAACGGTGCACATGCCAAATGTTTGAAGCATGACCTGGTATGAAAAGCAAGTTGCAATAAAATGGTTATTGATTTTCAACAATGCAAGCTAAGAGCAGACAAGAAAGTGACCAAAAATCACATGTGATTAAATCTAACCTGGTGAGCAGCAACAGTGTGCGTGCCCATAGATGTGGCGAAATATATAAGGAGAGAGTAGAAAGCTACCTAAAACAACATCAAAATGTCTCAGATGAAAGAAAATGATCACAGAGTACCAGATATTGCTATTAAATGAAATTGAATGTAAACCTTTGACATAAAAGTTACAAATACTGGAGCAGCAATTGCTAGCACAGTCAGCAGCTCATTTAATGATGGAAAGGAGATGATAAATGCATTGTACCCTTTCTTGTTCAGTGATTCAATCATCATAAAAGCTGCAACAACCTAGAAAATATGCTGGTAAGTGGCGGTGTAAAAGAGTATTTCGGGTCAATGAACACTTAAATTTTACAAATTGGAAATTTGGGTGCGTCTCATTTTTCAAATGTTCATTTCAGAACCTGTGAAACCATTGTTGCCCATGCTGCCCCAGCAATACCATAGCCTAAAAACATGCAGAGGACAACATCACCAATGCCATTTATGGCACTGGCAACCGCCAAAGCTTTCAATGGTCCCCAGGAATCTTTCATGCCAAGACTGGGAGACAGAAAGAGAGAATGAGAGAACCAAAAAGGAAAATGAAATAGCAAATATTCACAATCTTGGCAATTCAACAACAGAAAATCCATAATCAATCAGGACGGAATAAATCGTCCTAAAACAGGTATGCCAGTATAGGACATAAAAGATATTGCAGAGTAAATATATGCATGTGAATATCTCTTTATAGATAATCAATCCATAAGATCATAAGTAATCCAAATAGCTTCTTTATTAATATCCTTGGTTATAGCTGGACACAAAGGAGTATAGCTAAAGTAGCTTCATTCACAAACAAATAAAATGAAAAACAAACTTTGTGCATGCATCAGATAGTATAGTGTGTCAAGATTCCCAAGAACTCACAAAAGACAACAAGAACAATGCACTATCAGTTTACTCAAAAATAATTCATGGGAGAGGGAGAAAATAAAATATATATCACCACCTGGCACTTTGAGTCACCCATCCAACAAGAACTGCTGGCCATGCTAAACCTCTAATCTACACACAGAAAAGACTTTGTTTAAAGGTAATGGGAATAAACAAGAATGACAAGCAGAGAAGAAGCCCTACAAATAAAATATTAGACAAAATTCTATTCAGCTAGTTGCAGTGGAAGAATATCTAGTGGAAGGGGGATATCTTATAAAGGCTGGTAGTACTAGGAATTCAGTAACAGTTACTACCCGTGGGATGCAGATAGTAATGGAAAAATTATGTTGCCTAACTGCAGTTAGGGCAGTATAGGCTCAACAAGGCGATTATATACTTTCTCCCCTCCATCCCATGATGAACATATGAACAAATAAAAGCAGATATAGCACTTCAAATTCCATCACCTATTGAAGATGGAGAAAACTTAGGGGAAACTTTAACCTGGTACATATAATTGCGCATCCCATTAGATAAATATAACCTATAACAAAGAAAAGTAAGAAATTTACTTCAGTAAAAGTGTGCTTCAGTTTGCCAAAGAAGAGCATGCTCTCAAATATCTCTGAAGTCTGAACTATGAACAGTCAAAGAGGAAAGGAAGTAGAAATGGTGGAAGAAAAAAGGGCTCTGATACTATAGTTACCTTTCCTTCTTACAAATTCTAAGGTTTATAAGTATAAGAGTTAAGATAGCCTAATAATAGAGAATATCTGAAAGGTAAAATGGGAAAGAAACATAGAAGAAAATGAACCTGAACATATGTGTTTCCAGCAGGTACAAGATGTGCATTCTTTGGCCCAGAAAACACTGAAAAGATCAAATGATAGAAGGAATTCATTATTTATTTGGATTCTTGCTATCCAATATGAGTGAAAACCATACAGACGGCTGATCAACAAAATCAATAAGCATTCTTTTGTAATAGTTTTTGGACCGCTAGACGAAAAGAATTTTAAAATCTAAAGAGTCATCATTAATTTTTTTTAAGGTATGATTGTCTATCCAAAAGTTTATTTTATAAATAAATTATAAAAATGAGTTTAAAGTTTATCAAAAGATAAATTTTGGTCAACGAGAAATAAGTTGGGTCCGAAAGTCGATTACATATAAAGAATGATTAGTACCCCATAACGTCCATAAATTTGTACCAATTAATCATATGTTATTTTCGGTATTGAATGAAATAGTTTTGATTTGAAATTTAATAATAATAATTTTTTATTTTTAAAAAAGAATTAATTTTATTAAAATTCTTTATTTAGGATTATGGATGAAATCTTTAAGTTAAAAAATTATCTTAAAATTCTCTAACATTTAGGCAGAATTTTAAAGAGAAAGCTTTTAACTGATATTTACCACGATATTTTTTTAAAATGAAAATAACATTCTTCAAGGATAATAGTTGTTGATGACTCTCCAACATTTAGACAAATTACTAAGAATTATTTCCCTTTAGATGTTATTTTTTTTTATTTCATATTTTTAAATTAAACACATTTTTTAATGCGAAAATGTCAACAATAGTATTATCATACAACAAATGATAACTAAAGGCATAAACATACTAATTGAGTACAATTGATAACAAATAGATGCATTAATAGATGTTATGCATAATGATGAAATGTAATTTTAAAATTTGAGTTTTTAAATATAATAGGACCATCATGAATCTTCAACATCTAGATAAAGTTTAGGTGTGACTATTTATATTTAAGATCTCATTATATCATTATATTTTTTTATTAAAGTTTTAATCTCATTGTTAAGGCGAATCAAGCATGAAAAACTTAATGAAATAAAATTTCTTAAATATCCCATCCTCTAAGCGACATTCGAGAATAAATTATTTCAAGTAAAATTTTCATACGTACCATTAGGATTTTGGAATGATCTTGAGTAAAGCTTAAGTCAAGGTTTTAAAGTTTGAATGATTTTTAGGTGATAATTTGAAGTTGTATGTCAAATTTATGGTTTAAGTTGAATTTAGAGTCTTAGTCAATTTTTCAAGATTTAGGATATGGCTTTAGGGTTTTATGGCTTAAATTTTAGGGTTTGAAAGATTTTGGGGTTTCGAAAATCTAAGATTTGAAGGTTGAACATTTAGAAATATTAGGGTTTCAAGGGTTTTAAGGATTTTAAGGTTTTGAAATTTATGGTTTTAAATTTTATGATTTAAAGGGTTTAGAGTTTCGATTTTAGGGTTTAAAGGGTTTTAGAGTTTCAATTTTAAAGTTGAAAGGGTTTAGGGTTTTAGTTTTAGACTTTGAAGAAAACACGAATATATGGAAAAATTCTCAATATTTAGACAGATTTTTGAAACAAATTCGATTTTTATAATTTTAAAAAATGAATTAAAATTTTTCATATATATTTTTTTATAAAAATTTATTATTAATTTATTTATTATTTTTCTTAATTTTTTTTATTTAATAATTTTCTAACATCTAAGTAAAATTATTTTTTTTAAAAGATAATTTTTATTCTCTCCATCATCTAAACATGAAAAAAATTTTATCACTTTATTTTTATTATCATTTTTTAAAAAGATTTTTTAGCTTCTTTTGGTTATTATTCTCTTTTATTTTTTTAAATTTATTTTATTATTGTTTAAAAAAATAAAAAAATTAAAAATTAAAAATCATTTTTCATTTTTATCATTGTTATTATTATTTAGTTATTGTTATTTTGTTTATTATATATTATTTAATAAGGTTTCTTTTAAAAGTTTTACAAAATTATAGAAACTTTAATTTTATTACTCATTATTTATTATTTTTGTTATTTATTTATTTAATTTTTATTTTTATTAATTATTATTATAAAACAACAAATATTTATTATAAAAAAAATTTAAAAACTTTAAACATGTATAAATAACAATAAAACTAAAACTAATATAAATAATATATATAAAAAAATAAAAAATATCTAAGCTGAACTAATCAAGAATTCGATTAATATCAGTTCAATTAAATCGATAAATAAATGATTCGATAAACGATTCAATTGAACCGATTCAAGAGTAACTGAAAAACGAATCGCTATATCGGATCACACAGATCTTAGGTTAAATCTAAGTCCACACGTTGATCCCCTTACTTAAAATGATATCGTTTTAAACTTTATTTTTTTAGATAAAACCTTTTTTTTTCCTTCATTTTCACCTTTCAGCCAAAAAAAAAAATTTCCTCTCTCTTCCAAAAAAGCTAAAACCAGCCAGCCTCCCAGACTCTGGTCGTCGAGCCACCATACCGACTGCCATCAACCATGCCGTCGGTCACCGAAAAGTGCCAAAAGGTTTCCAAAAGTTTTTCTCAACGCCTTCTTTCCAGATCCAGTCTTTCTTTTACCAGGAACAACCCCGATTGGCATAAATTGAAGTTTAAAGTTTCGATCTTCTTTTTTTTTTTATGCTTTTTGGCAAGGGTTTTGGTGCTGATGGTTCCTCTTTACTAAGAGGACTGTGTTTGTAATTTTTTTTTTTGTGTATTTTTTTGGCTGATATTTTTTTGTTTGTTTTCTAGTGGTTTTTTTTTTTTTTTTTTGGCTTTCTAGTGGGTGGGGTTTTGTGGGGTTGATGGAAAGGCTTGGCTGGGTTAGAGGTGGTATTGTGTGGGGCGAAGGCGTTGGGACGGCTTGGGTGTTTGGTTAGTTGGGTGATTGGGGCCTCGCGGGGTGCATGGAGGCTTAGGGTTTAGTTGTGACAGAGAGCTCAAGTGCTTGGAGTTTGGGACTTTGATGATTGGCGCTGGTTCCTTCTGCTAGTAGCTGGGTTGTTTTGACGTGGAAGCTTGGGTGCCGGCGTATGGGTAGGACGAGATCGGGTTGGGAGTGCACATGGCTTGGGCAAGGTGATTGGTGAGAGAGATCTGGCGCAAGGGAGGAAACTTGTTCTCGTACAAGCGAACGCTTGGGCATTGGGTCTGAAAGTGCAGTGTGCTGAGGTTTTGGTCTCTCACGGGTGAAGGCCTAGGCACTAGGTATAAAGGTGCAGGGTGCTGAGGGTGAGAGGGATTGGTGCCTGGAGGTCATTTGGCTTAAAGAAGGGTGTGGAATTTTTAGGCGCTTCAAAGAGGGAGCAGGTGGTTTGATAGGGTACGGGTGCTGCCAGTGCAGGGTATGGTTGCCAATGGAGTAGGTTGGGTAGTTGGAGCAGGCACAAGTGTCAGGCTCTGGGTACAGGTTCAGTGGTATCGTATACGATACATTGTCTTTTTTTATATATAATTTAATTATTAATTTTAATATTAATAAATAAAATTTAAAAACGAGATTTTATCCAGTAAACCTGGATAAAATTTGATATTTACACATTTTATTTTTGAAAATTTGGGATTAAAATATATAGATATGCTTGTTTGTTACCTGTTAATGCCCATGAACCAAAAAATCTTGTAAAGAAAAGCATCAAGAAGCCACAAATCAAACCAATAAAAAGCAGGATAGATATCTGATGTTGCACTTCATTTTTATCCTACAGCAACACGACATTGTTAAAGAGTTAAGCCTAAAATGCAGCCTTAAACACAGAGAAGTAAGTAGAAACTGATTATACAAAGGATCCAAATGCCAGAGTGTCATAAAAAAGAAAGAACAGTATACCACACTTTGTACTAAATAGTTAGATACAATGAAATAATCATGCTATAACAAAGTATCATAGCATTCATGCGAACAACAGAACAAATTTCTAATCTGAATGCTAAATGAATTATGACAGCCAGTCGTTTAGGTTATATAAAAGCCATTTAAATGACTTCTTGATGGACAGTTTAATGAATACGCTGAGATTACATATTAGTTCCTTTGTCTTCCATAACCTTTGCTAGTTAAATCAATCAAGAATCATTTTAAATTACAAAATTTATCCTTATTTTATAGTTACACTTACATTTATCAATTGAGTTGATATTTCCGACACCATCAAAGCTATGACACTAAATTATTAGTAGTACTGACTGACAAAACACAAAAGCAACAACACCCACAAATGTTCAAAAAACTAACCTGTCTAGCAAGGGAAGTAGCGACCATATTGGAAGTAGCAACAGAAACGAACATAAACATATAACCCATATAATCACAAACAACCGTTGCAGGACCTGGCCATCCAAATTGAATCAATCATTATCATAAATAAGTAACCACTATTCATGTCCACTTTTTTACTTCTTTATCTCCTTTCCTTAATTATAAAAAAAAGTTCCAAATAAAAAATTTTTTAAAAATTTATTTAATTACCTAAAGCAGCCAGCTCTAGTGAGCTTCCTTGACCAATAACTGCAGTATCAATTAGACTCATCAATGGTCCACAAATCCAAAGCCCAGTAGCGGGCCCACTAAACGCCACAATCTCTTTAATTTGATTCCATATACTCTGATTAGCTAATCCATCTCCTTTAACTTCTACTCCCGTTTCCTCTTCTTCTTCCTTTTCATTTTCTTCTTCAACCAAATTTTCATCGCTTTCACAATTTAATTCTTGGATAGGGCTAATGCAGTAACTTTTCGATCTACGGCTTTGATTTTTTGGTGCAATACTGCGGGAACAACAAAGTAAAAAGGATTGGGATTGGTGGAAACGATGAGTTGAAATTTTGGGTTTTTTGGGGAAAATAATTGAATGAGAGGATTTGAGATTAGGATTTTGGAGAGGAGCGATAGAAAGTTGAATTAGGGCTTTGGTTAGCATTTTCTTTGGTTTTAGTTTTATGGATTTTTGGCGAGGGATTGAAGTAGAAAAAACCCATTGAAATAATAAAGAGAAGATTTGAAAGAAATGGAGGCAAAAGAGCCAGACAAAGAAAACAGCCTTTGGCGGTTACGTAACCTCCAACAGCTGATTAACGTTACCGTCTTAAATAGGTAAACCGTGGAGACTGGTGACTAGAGGCGGTTAGTTTTTAATTTTAACCGTTGCCTTGCGTATTTGATAAAATGCTTGACCGTTGGTAAAATAAATTAATTTTTTTTATTTATTTGATTAAAAAAATATTACATGCACAAATTTTTTTTAAATCAATAATTTTCAATTGTCAACTGATTCAATAATTAATTGATGAGAAACTATTCTTTTAATTTGACATAAAATTTTCAATCAATAAATAAAAAAAGTAAAATTGGCAATTCTTAATGTGTTACAATAATTAAAAACTATGGAACTTTTTTGGCCAAAATAACTATGAAATTAATAAATCACTTAATTTGATTTGAAATTAATTAAATAAAATAGGTTAATAAATTTGATATATAGAACTCTAATAGTATTATTTTTTATATAAATTTAAATCTTAATTGTATTGAATGTTAATTTTTAAAAATAATTATATGAATTAATAAATTAAATAAATTTTAATTCTAATATTATTGTTGAAATGGAAGGGAAGATACATATGAAGTCTATCGACGAAAAGGCAGAAACAAGAAAATTTGACCCAAAAAGGGAGAGAGAAACTATAAGAGCTAGCTAACGGCCTGTATTTCTCAGATGCTTAAAACCACATTCACCCTGAATTGCATCAATCTTGGCTAAAAACCACACTCCTCCGATCCAAACATGTGATAATAAGTATGAATTCAATGTGTTATCCGAGAAGACAACAAAGCCCCACAACTTGAACCGTAGATTAATGCCAGAAAATGCCAATACAACTTGCTTTTTCTTTTGGTTCAGTACTGACCCACCTTTTTCTGGCTTTTTCCGAAGCCATCTGAACACTAAAATCTAACAAAACTTGGTATTGCTGATAATTGAACAGGAAAGGGCTCTTGAAAATCATGGTTCAAATTTGCTACGTGCAAGATTAGTTGTTTATGTGGAGACAAAGCAAATTATTTCTGGGCTGTGCGCGTATGTGAAAACTTTAGATTTATGACATAGTAATTGATAATTACAGTACAATCTTTCAATAAGACAGGTAAACCGACATGAACCCATTAAAGAAATAAAATTTTAAAAAATAAGAGAAGCTGCTTTCAATGAAATCAGCTGGGAAATTGGAAATTAGCTAGTTTCTTCCAAATTGCTTCAGAAATGGGGATTGAAAAACAAGATGATAATGACTCATATAGCAGGTATTGTTGCCGTGCCTTGCTACAAAAAAATACTATGGTTCCTCATCAAGGCACTCAAGAACGACGACAAGTCTTTGGCAGCTAGGACACGCCTGCTTGCAATAATTAAGCACGACTTGCCAGTAATACATAGTTGGATATACTTGAAATATCCTTTTGAATTTTACCAATGGGTTGGATCTTCAAAAGCAAGCCGAGATACAACACGCCTAAAGTCGGCTAAAAGCAGAAAAAAAAACCCAGCCTGAAAAAAGTTGTACAATAAAAAAACGTTGGAATCAAAAAGCCAGTAACCTGGCAAACCATGTAAGCCGCGACTGCTCACTCTCTTTTTTTTTTTGACATAAATTGTTTAAACATTTTTACATAAAGACTAATTCTAACAATTGTTCAATACCTCCATTTAAAGTTAAGAAACAGTTAATTTGATTAATTCAATCGTAAATTAACTAATCAATTTAATTTATTATAAAAATCAAATTAATTAATATATAAATTTTTTTTAAAAAAATCAAATCAAATTAAGGTGATCGATTTTCTTAAGTGAATCGATTCTAGTTTTTATTTTTCACATTAAATATACATATATTATATTATTATATATACTTATATCTTATATTTTTTAATTATTTATTTTATATTAATTCAAGTATTTTAATTTATTTGATTAGATATTTTAAAATAAAAAATTAATTATTTTAATCATTTAAATCGAAATACTCATATAATCTGAATTATCCGACTACATTTTTTCTAAAAATTTTATTTTTTAAAATTTTTTTGATTTTAATCAAATTTTGCTAAACCCTACCTCTATTTTTATTTGCCAAAATTTCCAATCTGTTCACATTCAATCACAAAATATACCATTATTTGTTGTTAAACCAAAGTCAATAACCTCAAAAGCTTGAGATTAAGAATATTAATAATATAATCGTGTGACTTTACATATTTAGACCAAAGTACACATTTTATATTTGCAAAGAGTGAGATTCATGTGCAACGGTTGTCGTCCTCTGATCAGCAAATGTTAATGGCACATTGTTTTCAGGTTTTCTTCAAACGCAGTCAGTGACTAAAATTTAAGGCAGCTCAGCACTCTTGACTATAATCAATAAGACAAAGATAAATGACTTTATTTTGTAAGTATAAAAAGAAAGGTGCTACTCCAGCTAATAATTTTCTATATTTTGCTAAAAAGAAAACAAAAAAGTTTGGTATAAATTACAATCTAAGAGTCTTCTACCGTCCAAGTCTAATCTTTCAATAACTAGTAATAAATAATAAGTGATTAGTTAAATTAGTTAAGATTCGTCTTTTTTAATTAAGAGATTTTAGATCCGAATTTTATTAATAGTTATTTGTTGTAGTCATCTCGAATGTACGATCTGTAATTATTTGTCTTAAATTATTAGATACGACATATTTTACTCTAACTTGATAAATTGAATAGTTTATCTATTTTAAAAAAATTTTAATTAAAAAAGAGAAAATAGAAATTTTTGTTGTGTAAGCGGTATTTTTCCTTAGTAAAACAGAAAATTAATACTATTTGTCTATTGATTTAATAAAATATTTTTGAAACAATTTGGTATAAGAGTAAGACCAATTCAACCTTCAATTTTCACTTTTTATCGGAGTACAGGAGGCAAAGGAAGGGAAGAGCCTCAAAACCGAGGTCTCAATGTCTCCCTTTAGCATTTTTTGACGGCTAAATCAGGAGGCGGTTCATTGGAATGAAAGGTGAAAATGAATTTTAACATTTCATCTTAATATTCAACGAAACATTAATTAATGTGATTAATGGTAATTGGTATTACTAGTTCTTTTTTGTTAGGTAAAAATAATAATGACAAAATTTTATAGGCGAGGAGGTAGGAAATTAAAAAGTAGGTTCCTCTCATTGATCGTTTACTTTTCCTTTTTATATGTAGTTTTATTTAAAAAATAAACTATAGGAGTTTATTTTTTAAACAATAATTACATGAGATTATTAATTTAAAAAATCCCAATATCTAATTATATATTTCAAAAAAATTCCTATAACTCCCTAAAAACATGTTGGTCGATTCATTGTTTTATCAATATAATTCCATTGCACTTTCATACTCAAAGAAAAAATAAATTAAAATTTTCAAATTTAAAAAAGAAAATAGTACCCAAAAAAAAAAAAACACGGTTTCTTAAACTGTTATACACCAGTGTGAACTTTGTGCACATTTTCTTTGTGGTTTGTCAACTGTAATACCTGCTGTTTTACGCGGGTCAATGCGAAATTAGTTGCCACGAAAACACGTTTGGAAGAGTTTTAATCGCCGTTGCAAGGCAGTCATTTACTATGCATTCTCATCAAATAAAAAAATACATAAATTATAATATATTTTCTGTGTCCTATCTTTTTATTTATTTTTTTAGGATGTTTTAAAATTATTTTTTTAGGATGTTTTAAAATTATTTTTTTAAATATCTAAAACTTTTTTTATATTTTAAAATTTTTTTAATTTTTTGACATTAAAAATCACTAAACTTTATTTTTATAAAAAATTTAATTTTAATATTAAATACATTAAAATTATTTTTTAATTCTATTAAAATAATACATCTTAAATATTTTGAGACAAAAATAATATATATATATATATATAATGCCTATAGTAAACACTCTTTACTCAAGTTTGACAAATTACACCATTTCGCACAATTAAGTATTGTATGCAAATTCAGGTACGCCAGAATAGACCAAAATAATCCCAAGCTACGATTGTAAATCAACTATAAAACCCCCCATCATCCCAAGCTACCATTACACTACTTCTGATCTCAGTTTTTTTTTTTTTCCCGGAATCTTAGATTTGAAGAAAAGAAAAAACAAATTAAAAGAATGGGGAGTCTGGGAACACTGGTGAAACACCCAGGTGATTTTTATCCATTGTTGAAGTTGAAAATGGCTGCAAGGCATGCTGAAAAACAGATTCCTTCGGAGCCTCGTTGGGGTTTCTGTTACTCCATGCTTCACAAAGTTTCCCGTAGTTTCGCTCTCGTTATTCAACAGCTTCCCCCCACGCTTAGAAACGCTGTAAGTTCTAAAAAAAAACTTATTATCCAGGTTTAAATTATAATTCTTTGAACTTTATACATGACGTTTGATTTCATGTTTTTTTTATGATATTCATTTTATTCCTAAACTTGGGAATTGAGGATTTCTGTTCTTTAATTATTAGATTGGGAGTAGTACTCAAAATTATCTTTATTAATTGATAGGAAAATTTTAAATAAAATTATTTAAATGAATTTTATGAAATTTTTTATTTAATATATCGACCACTCCGAGCTGAGAGCCGGTCTAAAGGTGAGGCTACCGTTCTTTGACTAGCCTAACTTTAGGTTTAGGTTAAATGATTATCAAACTTTGAAGCATTTGATTTTATTACGGTGACCAATATCAAGGTATGATATATTCTTTACTCAATGAGTAAATTTTGATTTTTTTTTCATTTAAAAATATGAAGTGATTGTCTGATTGCGTAATATAATAATCACGAAATTAAAATTACCAAGTTTATGCTCTATTTTTGTAAATAAAATGTTTTCTCCTCTTTTTAATTAGATTGATTTATTTATATATTTGTATTTTATAAAATATTAATATTTATATCATATTTTATAAAAATTACGTATTATGATTTATATTAATAAAAAAATAAGATATAATTTTTAATTTTACTAAATATATAATTATTATAATTTTAAATAATATAATTTTTATATTTTATTTTTACGTTATATTCATATCATATAATTATATCATATTTTAAATTATCATATTTATTTTTAATATTTACATAGATAATTGGTCAATTTTTTTTAATTTTTAAATTTTTTGGTGCACGAGTTTCACGACGTGGAGTGGAAAACGTTGTCTGATGATGCATAATCTAACAGTCCTTACATCAATACACGTTGTATCAAATAAATGATGAAACTTTCTTATTGTCAGCATTCATAGGTCATTCTTTCATTTAAAAAAAAACAAAGAAAAATCCCAAAATCGAGATGTTTCCGATCTAATATCAGATTGCTTGATCCAAAATAAAATAATTGTCAAATCTTTACATAAAAAAACAACTAAAATCTAGCACCTCATTATTTTTATAGTGAAACATTAGTACTACTATGTCAACTAACACACATAATCTATGATTTATCAGCTGCAAAAGCCAAAAACGATGTTAATTAATGCTTGATTTCTTACACCCAATATTCAGTTTTTGAAAAAAAACAAAAAATGGGGAGTTTGGGAGCTGTTCTGAAACTCCCCAATGATTTTTATCCATTGTTGAGGATCAAGAAAATTGCGGCTGCATGGAATGCAAAGAAGCATGTCCCATCAAAGCCTGCATCAGGTTAAGGTTTGTTCGTCACGATTCACAAATTTAGACGTTTTGCTACCCTTACTTCAGAGATCGTGAAACACCCAGCCGAGCTTTACCCATTGTTGAAGCTCAAAATCATGGCTTCAAGGCATGTTAGAATGCATATTATCCCCGCAGACCCTCACTGGGGTTTCTGCTTCTAGATAATTCATAACATCTCTGGTTTCGCCATCCATACTCGACTGCTTCATTGTGAGCTTAGAAAAGTTGTATCTTTCCAAAAAAGAAACGTCGTCCTAGCCTAGTCGTAATTGACTTTTGATTTTATTTTTCATTTTTTAAAAATAAAATGGGTACATCTAACTAATTTAGACATGCAAACACGGTACAAGAATAGATTTGTCTATAAATTAAACTATGTTCGTAGTACAAGTTGACTTGATTTTTATATGATTTTAGAGTTTGTTAGAAATAATTATTAAAAAATTATTATTTCTCTTTAATAAATAGTTATTTTAGTGGTAATAATTAGTAAAGGTTTTTTTATCCACACCCCTTTTGTAATTTTATTAAAAATAAAATGATAGATCTATCGTCTATATCTTTTAAAAAAATTTTACAATTTACCGGTACCACATTTTCTTAATAATTACTTTTATTATTAGAACAATATATAATTAATTTGATATCGTTGCCCTCCTTTAAAATTCTGCTTTGTTTTTGCTTTAAGTATCAGAAATTAACTCAAAAACATTATGATTCCTTAAAAAAAAAAAAAAAATGGGAACCTAATTGAATATACTATATTCCCATAATTCAACCAGACGTCATTTTCACAAACTCAGCTTCAAATCGCAATTCGTTTGAACCCACCCAAAAAAAAAAAAAAAAAACGAAAATATCAATTAAGTTTCGTACCACATTAATTTGGCAATTGGTTAGGCAATTCTCAGACGCCAGAATAGGCCAAATCCAAGCATCATTTAAAACCATTTAATCATCTCCCCAGAAATATCCTACTACTTCTTCACTCGCTCTTCAAAAGTGGTTGGTTTTGTATACCCAGATTTTATTTTGTTGTTTTGGATCGGATTTGACGGGATTTTTTTTTTAAATGGGGAGTTTGGGAGCGCTTGTGAAACACCCAGATGATTTTTATCCATTGTTGAAGCTGAAAATGGCTGCGAGGCATGCCGAGAAACAGATCCCATCACAGCCTCACTGGGCTTTCTGTTTCTCCATGCTTCACAAGGTTTCTCGTAGTTTCGCTCTTGTTATTCAACAGCTTGACCCCAAGCTTAGAAACGCCGTAAGCAATCAACTTTTGTTTTCGATGGTTAATTGTTTGATTTTGATCAATTTCTGGTCAATTTTGATGATATTCTTTGTGTGTATTAATTCTTAAGGTTAGACCAATTATTCTTCAACCTTGTTGCTTTGTTTTGTTGTCTTTCATATGTATTTCTCTCACAATGTTTTGATTTTCTAATCCCAATTATACCTTTTTGTGATTTTGCAGGTCTGCATATTTTATTTGGTTCTTCGAGCCCTTGATACTGTTGGTTTGTTCTTAATATCTTCAACCTTTAATTTTTTTTTTAATGTCATTTTCCTATCATGTATATTTTTTGCTCATTTCTTTAGATCAATATATTCATGTGTTTGATCTGTTCTCATGGTTTTTCTTGCAGAGGATGACACTAGCATTGCAACAGATGTCAAAGTTCCTATCCTTAAAGATTTTTATCGCCACATATATGATCTTGACTGGCACTTTTCATGTGAGCATCTTGAAATTTTGCTTCCTTCACATTGGGAGTTCTTGTCTTTAAGTTTTCTGGAATATCAGTACGTTGTTGGAATTGGGCTCATTTTATTGCTGGAAATTTTACCTGTCAAATACAATCTTGGTTCACTTGCTTATATAGCTTTCTCTCGTTTCAGGTGGTACAAAGGAGTACAAAGTTCTCATGGATCAGTTTCATTTTGTATCTACTGCTTTTCTGGAACTTGAAAAGGGGTCAGTTATTAAGTTTTTATTGATCTTTCTTGTTTATGTCAGTATTTCAATGTGATGCTGGTTTTTTTAGTATGTGTTTAGTTAATTTACTTTATGTCTTTATCTCCTAACTAGGCTAACATAAATACATGGTTCAAGTTGTTTTCGCTTGTAGATATATAATCAATAGTTCTCAATTGATTCTGCAGTTATCCGGAGGCAATTGAGGACACAACAAAAAGAATGGGTGCAGGGATGGCAAAATTTATTCGCAAGGAGGTTTGTCACGCTTGCATTATTTATTTTCTCCTGCCTTATTCTTGATGAACACTGATTTTCCTGTAGAAGGGTGGGAAGGAAAAAACAGGGTTCTATTTCAGTCAACAAAATTCAGGTTTTTCCCTTAAACAAGAAATATCAAAAAGCTGAAATAAATTTTACAGAAGGCTTTATCCCATGAATGTGAAAAAGGTTTTTGAGCTTTAGATATATGACTACTCGTAATTGAAGTTTTCATTTATAAATATCAAACACCGGTTTATCTCTTCTAGATTGTCTCTTACCATATATAAGAACTTGGTCTCTCAAGCACACCACTAAATTTGCTCGATATGTTATGCATCAATACAACTTTTAAATGTACTTACATTATCTTATATATCACTGGGAACTTGTGTTTTTATTGCAGGTAGAAACAGTTGATGACTATGATGAATATTGTCACTATGTAGCAGGACTTGTTGGATTAGGTCTGTCTAAACTTTTCCATGCCTATGGGTCAGAAGATTTGGCTCCAGATTCTCTGTCCAATTCAATGGGTTTATTTCTTCAGGTATTGCTCTGATATATAAATGAACCAACACTTTTCATGCCTGCATTTCGACATTTGTTTAAAGATTTGATTCTAAAACCATGTGTGGGATCTAACCAAATGACAGAAAACAAATATTATCCGAGATTATCTAGAGGATATTAATGAGATACCAAAGTCGCGCATGTTTTGGCCTCGCCAGATTTGGAGTAAATATGTCAACAAACTTGAGGTATGCCTCTGTTGCATCTTGTATCTCAATTTTTGTCCTAATGTCCATTTAAAGTTGCAACAAAATTTCATTCAAGTTTGAGTAACTTTTCAATGTGTATGAATTTAGTTTTTTGAATACCTGTCAAATATGTGCTTCTTAAATTATATTATCACCTGTAGGACTTAAAATATGAGGAAAACTCAGTCAAGGCAGTGCAGTGCTTGAATGACATGATCACCAATGCTTTAATACATGTGGATGATTGCCTGAAGTACATGGCTGCTCTACATGATCCTGCAATATTTCGATTTTGTGCTATCCCTCAGGTTGGAGAGAGTATTCCATCAGTTGTCTTCACTCTTGTATATTATTTGCACTGCATGTCATTTCATTTTTGCTTGAAGTGTATTAAATCAGCTCCTTTTTTTAAATATTGATGACTTGTTCAAGCTTGTCTCTAATTTTCTTGTGTCTTGCTTTTACTAGATCATGGCTATTGGGACACTGGCCTTATGCTACAATAACATTGAAGTCTTTAGAGGAGTTGTAAAAATGAGGCGTGGTAAGATATTAGTCTATGGAATTGTTTTCTTTGGAGATTAAACTTTAAGGCACAGACACTGACTAGGGGTTTGAAAGATTTCTTCAAACATGTTTACATAAATAGAATCATAATAAACCTGATCTTGGTGCTTTGCTCATTCTATGTCAACCCTTGATCATTCAATTTTACATCTAAAGTTTGGTCCAGGGAATGTATAGTAAACAGTTGTAAAGCTTATTATCTTGGGTTGATGTTCAGTTTATCTTGGTCATGTTTCCAGGTCTCACTGCGAAAGTCATTGACCGAACAAACACAATGGCTGATGTCTATGGTGCTTTCTATGATTTCTCTTGTATGTTGAAAGCCAAGGTATGTGGTTCTCCTTAATATTAGATATAAGATATACACACCAACCATGAGAATGTCATTGGATGCATCATATTTGTATCCCATTCGCATTAGTTTTATCTCATGTATGTGTCATTTCCTCTAGGTTTTTCTTTGTTTCATGACACAAAAGTGCTTGTTCTGCTATTGTAGGTTGACAATAATGATCCGAATGCACAAAAGACATATAGCAGACTAGATTCAATCCTGAAGACGTGCAGGGACTCGGGAGTCCTGAACAAAAGGTTTGTAAATGTTTCAAATTTCTTGTGGTTTTTTCTTTTCATTTTCATCCCTTCATACTTGGCCATTTTTTATGGTTTTGAGCAGGAGATCTTACATAATTCAGAACCAGTCTAACTGCACTCCACTTCTGGTGAGTTACAGTGACTTTTTTTGCGTCCTTGTATCATATTCCAAGAATATTTACTGATTATTCTATTTAACTCTATGCAGGCTGTCATGCTTTGCATTATGTTGGCCATCTTTTTGGCTAATCTGAGCCCCAACTGGCCTAATAACTAGTAAGTTCGATTACCAAATAAATGAAATGATTAGTCTAGCAATTATCAGAAATAGTTCCCATCATTAATTTCCCTCCCTTTTGTTCTCCTTGTTTTCCGTTGGAACAGGACCATGCTTTATCCATGTGTTGTGTCGTGAAGTTGTTTCTATGTTTGTATAGAATGTTATGAAGCTACACTTTTACATCTGACATTGTTCCTAATGTGCAAGCACATTAGCATGACGCTGTTGGATCTTTTTCTTAATCATTGGAGAGGAAATCAAGCTAGTTTCCAACCGGAGAAAAGAGGGGAAATAATGTATCAATTAAGAATCTATTTTGCATTTTTCTTTCTGTAATTTGTCAAAATTGTCGGATATTGATATGGCTGTATTACCTATTGTGGCTTCAATATAGATATTCCGAGAGGATTTAAGATATTTTCCTCAAGTAAGATCCAAAATTTCCTTTTTTTTTCTTCTGCCGAAGGGTACATCAATTGTCCCTTTTTTTTTTTCCTTTCTGAAAAATCGCCATCGGCTTACGAAATTACAACCGGAGTGTGATGGACAATACGCAGTTAGCTACTGAATCCGAGGAGCTAAACTTTTAATCATCATATGCATTGGTAGGCCCCGACCCGGACCTAAAACTGTGGCGGTGACTGGTCAAGCACCGAAGTCCACACAGAAGGTCCAAAATACATTAAAAAAAAAAAACAAAAACCTTTCCACTTGCCAGTAGTTGGCAGTTGGAACTTCTGTTTTCCTTTAGAAAACATTAATTGATTTTGTACTGAAGACACTCGAACTCAGGGAAACACGAATACGTTCAATTTTTAAGTGTTTTCATATATTTAGACGATCGAACCTTTATAGTCTGTCATGTCCGCAGAAGAAATGTGTCGTTTGATTTTTTTTGGTTGGAATAAATAAGTTAAAAGTTACTTTTTTTACCTTTTTTTTTTAACTCTAATCATATAATTATAATAAAAAAACTATATAAAACTTTACTATTAATGAATGTAAACTCTATTTAAAATTTTGATAGATTTTATATAATTTTAAATTATAATTAATTAATTTTATTATAATAATTTAAAGTAAAATGCTCCCTTAAAAGAAAAAATTTCAATCATCACTTAAAAAACTAAATACAAACATAAAACGAATGCACATATTGATGGGAAAAAAGTGTTGGTATCTATATCACATAAAAATTAGGCCAAGGACAAGAATTCCTCCATTTGCAACAACTCTCCACCTTTGAACACATACAGCACCAAAAAAAAAAAGTAAAAAGAAACACAGACATACAGAATCCTTTTCTCAGACGCCAACAAGCAAAGAACCCTAGAAAACTTCTGCTACTTTGCTTGCAAGAACACGTTCCCTTCTTTCAATGTATCCGAAAGGGAACCAACCTGCTTTCCCCTTGCATTCTCCTTCTGCCCACCCATTGTTTGTCACCTGCCAAAGAGCATATAGAAATTGAATCCTTATTGCGACAAGTTTGAAGGAAATAATACCATACACTGGAAGTTATATATGAATGTAAAACTGTTAAACTCGAGTCATTGTTAAACCTTTCGCACAACTACATAGTCACCAACTGCCAAAGAAAGCTCCACGTCAGATTCACCATTATATGGATGCATAACCTGCAGTAATACATAAATTAGTCAGCCCTCATAAAGATTACAACAACTTGGCAGTCCACATGTACCAATGGTATATAGGACAAAGTTACATACCTCGCCTAAAAAGTATCCCATGGAGTCTGTTGACCCATTATGTGTTTGAGAAGCATAAACTCCATTAACTTCTTCATATGATGGAGGTGGAGGCATACTCTCCAAGCTTGGGGCAGGAGGAGCTTCAATTCGTTGTCGTTCTGATATCATCTATTAAGAAAATGGAGGAAACATCTGGTCATGATATTGTTGGTCAATTGCAGCAAAAGGATTCAGTAGCACAGCTGCGTACCTCGCCTTCAAGCTGATCAAGTATCTGGAGGACTCGTTGATGATATGTGCGTTCAGCTTCAACCTTCAGGCCCAAGATAAAATGACAGAAGGATAAAATTTCAGAATTAAGTTCCTACAGCATTTCATCCAAAACAAAATTGAGTTTACATAAAAGGAAATTTGCAGTACCATCGCAATAAGTCTCTGAAGTGTCAACCTCTGTTGTTGAGCTTCAACAGCAGCCATTGCTGCAGCGGCTTCTTTTCCCAAAATTGCCATGTTTGACTTCAGATCTTGCAATTTTGTCTCTGCAGATTCCAATTTCATGACACTCTCAGGATTTCCTGGTGTTTCCCTCACTCTTGCTTGGCGTTTGGAAACTTCAATTGCCTGTCTAAGTCCAAGAGAAGGTGAAAATACACACTTGTAGCACAATCAACCTTTCAAATTTAAGCTTTGATAATCATCAAGCACAAAGGTTAAGTATTACCCATACTCCATAACACATTGCAATAATAGATGAAAAAAGGAATATCACTCTCAACAACTCTTTAGAAAACACAAAATATCATGTATAGACCTGCAATGAAGCCCCATCTTCACAACTGATTAGCGGGCTTCAAGCCTTTCACATAATGGACCTAAGTGTTTGTAACTATCTACGCATAAATGAGTAAATATTCCTCTGAAATTAAAACAAGCAGATATCCAACGGATTAGAAAGATAGTGATAGCCTACAAAACCTGTGCTTCAGCTTCTTGTCGCATTCTGTCATAACGCTGAGCAAGATGTCGTGCATCCTCCAAAGGAGCTCCCATTACCATTGCTCTTAGTGGTTCAGCAACCTAACAATCAAACAATTCAAAATATTAGCCAGATGATTGTATGGCCTACCATGATTAGGGGGAAGGTAAAAAAAATCTAAAAAATGCCAAAATGAAGAATCCATGTACAGTCATCATATGAACCATGAACATAAAAGTCTTCTTCCATGGATTAATGAACTTAGAAACCTAACTTTCTAGAATTTTTTGTTCTAGTACCGAAAATTCTAAACAAACCTGTGTGCCAAGAGCCTTTAACAGATTCCCACGTTCCTTCTCCATTTGGGCACGAGCACGTCCATAACCTAATGCAGCTTTTGATAATGTATTGCCACTGGTGCAAGTATTTTCAGCTCCATATTTCCTGCTATCCTCAGATAACTTTGTTCCTGTTGAAAAAAATGTACATAACAGAATAACAAATGTCAAGTCATTAAATTCCAAATGGAATTAAAAAAAAAAATGACAATGCTTCACCAACTCACCTATTTCAACTTGTTTGGACCCAGTGACAATATTTCCTTCTACGCCACGGACAATATCCCTTTGAAAATGCTGAAATACAAAATTGACCATGGTGAACAAAGAGAGAACAAGAGACCAAAGTTGATTCAACTGAACAACTTAGCAACCTTGCCAGCACGCGTTGAGATATAAAGCTTCTCAAGTTTCTGATGTTGCTGGAGCTCCGCTTCATCAGTAATTACATTGTCTGAACCTCCATATCCCCCAGCACCAAACTGTTTGAGGACAGCCTGAAGTAACATTCAGCAAAATATCATCCTTGGCAGCAAAACTTAGCAAAGAAGTTCCAAAGTCCAAGAACATAGCCAAGCATTTGAATTACAACACATTAAGCAGCAAGTAAATAGCAATCCCAAACAAATAAAACACATACCGAGGAGTTTCTAGTTGATTTCAAAATACAAGAAATTTCCAATATTTTACGTTCATTTTCATTTTTGTCATTCAATTGAAATGTTAATTAAAACGAAAAATTTACTGACTCCAATTCCATTCTCCAAATTTAATTTCAATTCAGCTGTTAATATAACTTTCATTAGCTCATCATTCTCCGTTTATTATTCGAATAACAATTAATTCCAATTATTTCTACATTCTTTTAAATCTATTCACGAATTATAAACACAATAAGGCAAACGGAATAGATCCAGCATTTAATTAAGAAATCGAGCGAACGCATAATCAAAATCACACAGATTAACAGGAAAATCAAATCTAAAACAAAACGCTAAATAACATTAGTAAAGATTTACAGAGAGATCATAGATGAAGCTGAGAAAAGGACGTTGACTTGGATCTAAAGCAAATTACGAAAAAGGAAGTTAGGGTTTGGATAGAGAGAGAGAAAAAGAGAGAGACCTGTTGTTGGCGGGCGACTTGTTCTCTGAGCCGCGTGGCTTGTTTTCTGATTGCCTCCATTCACCGGACAAATTGGCGCTTTTTCGATGGATTCTCAGAGCTGCAAACGGGGAGAGAGAGAATTGAAATCGTCGAATGCGTTTGTTGTTAGGAGGATGGCTCAAGGAGCCTTTTTTGTGCATCGCCGTGGGCAAATTTTGTATGCGTTTGATTTTGAAAAAAAATTTAATCAGACAAGAAGCAGGCTGTTATGGTGCACTCGTTCTCATTTTACTCATACTGAGCTCTTTCTTCGTGCTTTGAATTTTCAAATATTCTCGCTCATTTAATTTTTCTTTATTTATTAATTAGTATTAGAATAAAATTGGCTCTATTATAACTCTTTCTGTAAGCTTTGTTTATGATTTGCTTTTAATATATTATTTTTCTAATTTTATAAAATAATGTTTCAATTGTCATCTTGTTAATATCATTTGTGAAATTTAAATATTTTATTATTTATGGATAAAATAATTTTTTATTTTCTAATTCTTAATAAAAATATTATTAATTTTGAATGTGTAACTGAGACAATTGAAAAGAAAAATAGACTTAATTTATGTTATAATTTTTTTTATTAATGTTAGTACAAAAGGAGTAACAATGGACGAACATCTTTTTTTTTTTTTTTTTGGTCGGGCCAACACTCACTTGTGTCTGAAGCAAATTTGAGGGCAGAAAGAAATAATTGAGTGTGGACCTTCCACATTGGCTTCAATATTAAGTCTTCTTTTTAAACTCTTCATGAAAATGGAATGATGGGAGTTTGTTAATATAAATGCATCAAATTCTTGTCGCCTTCCCTTTTCTATAAAAAAAAAATTACAATAATTAAGCAAATTCAATTATGGTAATTATTTCAATTATATAATTTATATATTTATTTTTAAAATATAATATTTAATAAATATAAATTTAGATCTCAATTTTTATAATCTTTCTTCTTACTTTCAAATTATAATTTTTTTATAAAAATGGAAACAATTATAAATAGATCCATAAATATTATTATAATTATACTTACCAATGATCTATAATTCTATATTCAATGCTAACACATCATTGTACTCGTGAAGTTTTCGTGAATATAATTATACAGAATTTTCTCAAATTTGGATAAAGATGGCCACGATGGTGGTGCACTCATGACATTGATTTTTTCTTGCTTACATTATATCTTTGCATAACTAAAAAAATCTCCCTTTTTCCTCTCAATTGCCCCGTTTGTCACTGTGACGTTATGGAATAAATTTATTGAGGAATTAATATTTTTTACATAGATGGTAAAAAGGTTTTTTTTATATATATACAAAATTAAAGGTTTATTTAGGACTAAGACAACTGTTTTGTTTGCAAGATATAAAAGCCAGACGGATATTCTTATGTGGATTTGTCAAACTAATATGGAATCTTTAAAATGATAGAGTAAAGAATATATTCATGTGTCAATTCTGCGTTAGTTCTAATGATAGTTATGATGTAATGGGTCAAACTCTTAAAAAGTTGCAGGTTTAAAATTATTTAAGCATAAAGTGTTGTTTTATTAAAAATATAAAGATTGAAAGGGGTAAATTAAAAATTAAAAAAAATCTAATAAGAAAATGAGAATCCGTATTCATGCCATGAAATTTTGAGGTTTTAAGTTCAACTCCTAGTATGTGTTGATTTGATTATACTTTAGGTTGGAGTGGTTTAGTTATGTATAGATATATTTGTTTAATTTAATCTAATATTTTTTATATGATGTAATATTATTGTAACTTTTTTATAATTATAATTTCATAAAATATATTTTATAAAAAAAAAAAGTTAAAAGTTAAAAAATGTTTTAATATGTTATGGATTTTTTTACTGTTCAAACTATATAAAAATGATTTTATAAAAATTATAAATTATATTAATTTTAATTTTAATTAAATTTCTTGAGTTTTTATTATAATCGAAATCAAAATTAATCCGTTATGATTGTTATCAATGATACTTAATCAAAAGATCTGCACCATTGATTAAAAAAATCTATTTTTAATCAATCGGATTAACATTTATCATAACATAATTTAAATTTTTTTATACGATCGTTAAACCATTTTATGAATAGTTTAATTTAACCAGTTAAACATTTTAGAACTTACAGTTATATTTGGTGTATAAGATATTAAATAGAATAAGATTATAATTGTTTTATTTTATATTTGATTTATATCTAAAAAAATTATAAAATTGTAAGGAGGATTAATTATTCTTTTGACATAAGATGATTCAATCCTCCTAAAGTGAACATAATTATTTTTAATTCATGATATTGAACTTACATATCTCGTTATATTCTTAAAAATTATATCAATAATTTATATTGTATAAATTTTAAGCAAAAATAATTTTGACAGATAAATAAAATCATCATATCATAATTTTATATATGTCAAACATAAGATATGATAATATTATTTAATCTAATTATATTTATAATATAATTTTATCTTATATTATCATAATTTTATGCACCAAATCTAATATATATAGATATGTATATATGTGTGTGTATATATAATATATATATATATTATTACAACATACAATGTCACATAATAAAAATTGCTTATATGGATGTTCAAGTAGATAGTCTCTTTTAATGACATATAGAATAAAGCTTATATTATTTTATTTATCAAATAAATTTTTCTAATAAATTATTTAAATTCAAATCAAAATATATCCAATATTGAAATCTTTGTAAAAATTTTGAATTCAAATATATTAAATCTAATTTATATTTTTTTAAAAATTTAATCACAGTTTTAAATATATATGCTAAAATTCTATTTTTACCAAATAATTATATTTAATAAATTATTTAAATTTAATATTTTTTAGATAATTATTTAAATTCAAATCAAAATCTATCAAAATTTGAAAATCTAGAATAAATTTTAAATTCAAATATATTAAATATTAATTTATTATATTTTCAATCTAATCATGGTTCTATATATATATATAGATATATATATGTCTATATATATCTCTGTGTGTATGTGTGTGTGCATTATAATTTAAGAATGAAAATAAATAATATAAGAGAAACCATCCCATTCAAGTCAATATATTTTATTTGTTGTTATTAGAATTATAAATTAAAGAAGATAAATTTTATTTATTTGACGATTATGATTTATTGGTTTGACAAGAATTTACAAAAGTTGAAAGAAGTAAAGTCAGGTTACACTCATAAATAGACTTGTTCATAAGTTGGATCAGGTCTGACATGATATTTTAACATTTTAAATAAGTTCAAGTTCAGTATTGCCTGACCCGATTTTTTAGCCTTCATTTTTTATCTGAATTAGTTTTTATATGTAATAATAAAGTTTAAACTCGTCCAAAACACTAGTATTTAAAATCGAAAAAAATAGTTTTTTTTTTTAATTATTAATTTAATTAATTTAATTGAAATTATGAGTCATTATAATAAAAAAAACCAAAGCAAATGGGCTTTGTCTCGTTATGATAAAAAATATTTTTTAATTTTCAAGTCCAGTATGAGTCTTAAATAGTGAAACTTAAACCTGACCTTATTTTTTTATCAGATTCTATTTATTATTCAAACCCATTTAACGGGCTTAATATTTATATTCAAAACCTTCAAAATTTTGAATAGACTTTCGAGTTTGGACAAGCTACCTGACCATGAATAGGTTTACTCATGAACAAGTAAATCCATTTCTACCTTTATTTCTCCTCAAAATACGTTTATATTTAAATTAATAATTAAGCAAAAAAATGGAATTTGAATTGGCTAGATATTGGACTTATTTAGAACTTATATGGTGGTTGACTTTAAATTAATGAATTATTAATTGAAAGTATGTATTACTAAAGTAATAAAGGGCATGCATTTTTATATGAAAATATGAGATATTTGAATGTTGCTGAGAAGTTAAATAAAAGTTTTTTTTTGTTTTTTTTGAAAATATAATGGTTTATTTATGCTCTAATTCAAATATTTTTATATTATATATTTGATTAATTGATTTATTTCTATTTAGGCCATTACTTTTGTTTTATTTTGTTTAGATTTATTATAATTAACTTTTGATATTATATACATATATATATATTTTATTCATTTCTTTAATATTTTTATCTATATTAATTCGTTAACATATTTGCTCTTCTTATTATATGTTTTTAATCTCGATAAATTAATATGTAAACTTACATTATTCATTTTCTTTTGCAGCACCTTTTTATTATTGATTTTTTTTTTTATCTACAATGAATGGTTTCCACCAAAAATACTATATCAATTATGTTAAAAATGATTAAAAATAAATAATATTTCAAAAAAATATGATATGTTTTTAAGCATAATATAAAAAATAATTCTTTTTCTTTTATCTAAAAGAAATAACTTTATTTAGTTGACATAGAAATAATTGTTACACCAATATATTTGTGAAATAATTACTTGAAGTATGTCAAAAATAAGAATTAATAAAAAGCAAATAATTATGACTAAATAAATAATTGTGATTTGTTATTCAATTATATATATAAGAAATTATAAATTATTATGATTAAATAGTTTAGAAATTCTACTAATCTAAAATATTTTTCACAATTTAATCAAATGATATATATATATATATCCATATCAATTTTATCATAAAAATAATTATTAATCTTAACTATTTAAAGATTGATTCTTAATTTTTATCAAATAAGAAAGAAGCAAGTGGAAAACTTTTAGTGTTTAGCAATTGAAGAAAAATTTTTTTTTATAATTCTTAAAATTTTATTAAAGCTTAATTTTTTTAAATAAACAGTATCATTTATAATATATTATATGTAAATTATTATTTAATTATAGCTTAGCATTTATGAATATATAATAATATATTATATAATAAAAAATTATATTTTTTATTAAGATAATATAAAATTATATATTCATAAATAGATTTAAAATTAAAGTTAATTAAAAAAATAGATTTAAAATTATAAAAAATTTCGTGCGTCATACGGATTAAAAAAGCTAGTATATCCTGAAATCATAACAGATTTTGTTTCTGAACGCGAATCGTTGATAATCATAAAGAGGAATGTTATAGGTTTGATGCTAAATCATAGGCATTACAGGTGGCAACCATTAAGGTTGGAAATTTTAAAACAAATAATTTTCCATTTGAAAATTGATCAAATATGAACATATAACAGGTGGAAATTTCAAACTACTACTGTTCTTTTTGCTGGCAACACGTTTTAGGGAAGATGAGATCAAACAGATACCAATGCACTATCCATTGTTCCGTTTACAGGGAAAATTCGGTCAACCCAAATTCAAGTCAACGTTTCTTCTCCACTTATGCATTTTCCCACTTTGAAAATACGATCATTAGAAGCAAACAGACGACAAAAACTCCATCTTCAAATCATGATGACTATGAAGATTGTTAAACAAAACAAACAAGGTCTTAAATGACACTGACAAATGGCATATATCCATCGTGCACCATATGCACCTTTAAGCGTAAATGCCAGTAGCAGTGGAGCAGGTATCCACTGCGGTCCCCGCATGCTTTCAAATTAAACATTCACTTGCACCAGTTTAAGCAGCAGCTGATAGAAATCACTGTGTAATCTTCTTTTCATTGCCTTTGTCTTTGATATCCTTTTTGAGGTCTTTCTTCTCTCTCTCATGGCTTCTTTTTCTTCTTCATGGCCATGTGGTGCTGTTCTTGCTTTGTTACATTCTTTGTTTCTTCACGGGCTTGCTTTAAGCAATGTGGGTTTTCTTTCTTTTACTTACTTTTTTCTATTTTATATTTCTTGCTTCAGTTTATGATCATTCTTTTCCTTTTTCTAACAGTTTCTTTTTCTCACAGGTTTATATTGTATATATGGGAGAGAGACATACAGATAAGCCAAATCTACTTGAGGATTCTCATCATCAGATTCTTTCAGACATTCTTGGAAGGTTTTAATTTCAACTCTCTTAATCAGAAGTTGTTCAGTAGCTTTTCTTTTCAATATCTTTATTCAAATTAAAATAGTAAAAAGTTGTTCAATTAATGGAACTAGTACCTATATGTACACTATTGATACACAAGAATTTATTATGTTTGATTAGTTGCATTCCATTGACAAGTTCATTCTTCAACAGGAGACCTTTTTATTTGAAAATTAAAATAACACGTTATGATCTTAATTGGACAGCAAAGAATCTGCCAAGGAATCCATTTTATACAGCTACAAACATGGATTTTCAGGGTTTGCTGCAGTCCTCAGTCAGTCTCAAGCTAAGCTTATTGCAGGTGTAACAATGTTGGTGAACTGTAACCTCTGTTTTTTCTCCTTTAATATTCATCTCTAATTAGCCTTTTAGTTGATTTTCTGTCTCATGAAATATATTGATGCAGATTTCCCTGGAGTTGTTCGTGTAGTTCCAAACAGAATTCTAAGTCTGCACACCACTAGAAGCTGGGATTTCCTGCAAGTAAAGCCTCAAATTGTGGATGGGATTCTTTCAAAAGGCCATTCAGGCGTCGGGACTATCATTGGTGTCATGGATACTGGTCAGCCTAGAAATTCTTTGTAAAAATTAAAAGCACCAATCTATCTAACTTTGTGGTTCTAGGACTTTGACAATTTTTTTAATCATACTTTTTGCTGAGAAGGTATATGGCCAGAGTCTGAAAGCTTCAAAGATAAGGGCCTGGAAGAGTTTCCATCTCGATGGAAAGGGATATGCCAGGAAGGAGAGGGATTTAACCGTTCTCACTGCAATAGGTATAACCACTTTGATCACTGCTCATACTATTCTCTTTGGAATCGACCTTTTTGCTGTCCTTTATCAAATCAGTATCAAAATTAGGTGGATCATGTTGCCCGCAGCATCCTTCTTGAGCAACTAAGTTGCTTGCTTCACAAGTAGAATCATTAGTAATTAGCATAAAATAAAGCATTCAAGTCTGTCGACTCATGAATTCAGGGTTTAGGTTTTGAGAACTTTTTACCTATGTGCTTTGGTCTAACGTTTCTCAAAATAGGAGAATTACTTCTTACGACTTACAGTATATTGCAAGTTAAAGTTTCCAAGAATCCAGCAGTATTTTTTTAGTAAGAAACAATTTCCTTTCTCAGTCACACTTGTTTTAGCCGCAGGTTTTCGAGAATGAATGCAGTTTAAAGCCATAATTGGTTTAAGTTTACTCAAACACATCGTCTGTTCTATTCCATTGTTAGTACTTTTGCAATCAACTTAGAATATAATTTATGCTGTCAAAGTCATTTGGGATCAAATTTTCTTTGATGCATCTACGTTCATTGTCATGGTAACATCTAATAGTTCTGTTAAAGGGAAGTGGTGATATACAAATTAATATATCTTAGTTCGTATGAACTGTATGTATTTGAAACAGGAAAATTATTGGTGCGCGTTGGTACATTAAAGGGTACGAAGCTGAATTTGGAAAGATTGCCCTAAGTGATGGGGTTGAGTTTTTGTCCCCTCGAGATGCTTCAGGCCATGGTACTCACACCTCATCTACTGCAAGTGGTGCTCTAGTAGAAAATGCAAACTTTAGGGGACTAGCCCAAGGATTAGCCAGAGGAGGTGCTCCTTCGTCGTGGTTAGCTATCTACAAAGTTTGTTGGGCTACTGGTGGCTGTAGCTCTGCTGACCTTCTCGCTGCATTTGATGATGCAATCTTTGATGGTGTCCATATACTTTCGGTATCTTTGGGCTCACCTCCTCCACTTTCCACCTATGTTGATGACGCATTGGCTATTGGTTCCTTCCACGCTGTAGCAAGAGGAATTTCTGTTGTGTGCTCTGCTGGTAACTCTGGTCCTTTTCCTCAAAGTGTCAGTAACACTGCTCCATGGGTTATAACCGTTGCTGCAAGCACCATAGATCGAGATTTCCCTGTTGTGATCACCCTGGGGAACAACCAAACTGTTGTGGTAATTCGTAATTTTGTTCTCAATGATTGAAAAAGTTGTGCAAGGTTTTATTGACATGACAGGAAAAGAAAATCTAAATAATCGAACCAAAAGAAAACTGCTCAAAAGATAGTAACTTATTGATTGGTTATTGTTTTCGTTATGCTTGGCTCTAATGGAATTAAAATGAGTTCAAGCATTTAACATCAACAAAGATACATCAGTTTACCTCTTTCTCTAGCAAGCCTCCTGTTGCAAAATTCTTCTGCTACTAGTATTACCATGAGGGCACGAAACTTGGGTTAAAGTTCCCTTGCTGATGTCTGTTGGTCCATCTTCTTTTGGAGAAATGGATTAAAAGAAAATCTGGTTTCTGCTGATTTAAATATGCATAATTAATTCGTGTAGGTGATTTGATCAACCATGAGCTTTTCTGTTAAAATTTTTAGAATTTAATTGATTCCAATGTCATGTAAAATCATTTAAATGTGAACCTAGGAATACATATGAGATATACATGTTCGGTTTGTAATAGAACTACCGTCTACTGGTACATTTTAGTTCGTAAATTAATAAATAGAAATACAAATTTACTCTTTCTTTATTTAGCTGTGATCTTTTACTTTTTTTTTTTTTCATACAGGGTCAGTCTTTCTATACAGGAAGGAAAGTAAACAAGTTTCATCCTATCGTGTATGGAGAAGATATTGCAGCCACCGATGTTGATGAAAACAGTGCTGGGTAAGACTTGTACTTAGGTTCTTGCTCATATGAATCTCTGTGATCTAAAGTACGGTGTAGGAATGAATATTGATATTGTATGCTTTTGCAGAAGTTGTGATTTGGAAACTCTGAATGCCACTTTAGCGAGAGGAAAAGTAGTTCTTTGTTTCCAATCCCGGTCACAGATATTAGCTGCCATTGCTTCAAAATCTGTGCTCATGGTTCAGGGTGCTGCTGTTATCTTTGCACAGTTTCCTACAAAGGATGTTTCTTGTCCATGGAGTTTTCCCTGTGTCCAAGTGGACTTTGCAGCTGCGACATCTCTGCTGACTTATATGGCAGCAAACAGGTTATTTCAACATTAGAGGACTGTTGAAATATTTCAAATTTGTGCATCTTTTTTCAGTAATTTTTCATCTTCCAGATATGAATTGAACCCTAGGCCTTGACATTCCATTGGAAGGTCGTGATGTTGTTATTTGATGAACTCTTTCATGTAACAGAAAACCAGTAGTCAAGTTTAGTTTCTCAAAGACGGTTATAGGGCAACAGCTAGCCCCAGAAGTGGCGTACTTTTCATCACGAGGACCCAGTTCCCTTTCACCATCTGTGTTGAAGGTATTACCATTCTTCTTTTTTAAAGAGAAGTTACATGGACCATTTTTATTAACATATGTCAGTGCATTGTTCAGCCAGACATTGCTGCTCCAGGCGTTGATATATTGGCCTCTTGGTCCCCTGCTTCTTCCTCCAATCTGCTGAATTCACGTCATAATAAAGCATCTCCAGTTAACTTTAAATTTGATTCAGGAACCTCCATGGCTTGTCCCCATATCTCTGGCATTGTTGCTCTGCTCAAAGGAGTCCATCCCACATGGAGTCCTGCAGCAATTAAGTCTGCACTTGTAACAACAGGTAATAAGAAACAGAAATTTATGCATTTTGGTTTGCTCTTACAACTTGTTAATGCAAGTTTTTTTCTCTTTGTCTTTGGCTTGCGAAGCTTCTGTCAAGGATGAATATGGCCAAAATACCGTAGCCGAAGGAGCACCCCACAAGCAAGCTGACCCATTTGATTATGGAGGTGGACATGTTAATCCAAATAAAGCACTATCCCCCGGGCTCATATATGACATGGAAATCCCTGATTATGTCTGCTTCCTTTATGCAATGGGCTATAACAGCACTTCCATCAGCTTAATGACTAGGGTTCACACCCCATGTCATAAATCAGCCAAGTTCCTAGTAAATCTAAACTTGCCTTCCATCACTATACCTGAGCTCAAGAAGCAGTTGACTGTCTCAAGGACAGTTACAAATGTTGGTCCGGTAAATTCTGTTTATGTTGCTCGTGTTCAAGCACCCGCAGGCACGTATGTGAGCGTCAAGCCATCGATTTTGTCATTCAATTCCACGACAAAGAAGCTGAAGTTTAACGTTACCTTTTGTTCTCAACTAGAAGTTCAAGGAAGATACTCATTCGGAAACTTATACTGGGAAGATGGTACTCATGTAGTAAAGATTCCTCTGCTTGTTAGAATTATCATTAACAATTACTTGTACGCAGAAACATGATCGCAGGTGCCATAGTTTTGCATCACTGAATAATAAACTTAGCATCAAATAATTGTTCCTTTGTCTGATTGCTGCATCCTTTCAAAATGTACTTAATCAGATTCAATGCATTCAGAACAAAAATATAGAAGAAAAGTTAATGGCCCTTGTTGTTTTCCTTTCTTTTAAGGAATAAAAAAATAGAAGAGATTTGAAGATTGGGGTCCACTCGATTGTGAATATGCGGATGAGGATGAGGGTCGTTGAGCAACATGTGCTGGCTTGCAGTATTTGTTTAATGACGAATGAAATGGGAATAGGAGAGACTATGCTTTTTTATCTTGATGCTTTAACGTGTTGAAAAAAACCAAGTAGTGGCGGGGTAGTGAGTGATGACGAAGTAGCTAGATAAGCCTCTAAATTAAGAAAAAAAAAAAGAAAGAAAGAAATCAGCTTTTTTCATAAAGAAAAATCAGGGGAAACCATAGATGCACTGTGGGTCCAAGCTTTTGAACTTGTTTCCCTCGTAATCTTAGATAAACTAGATGATATGATATGTCAATAAAAGAGAAAAGGCTTAAAATTGGCTTCATTTACAGTTCTAATTACTTTAGTCAAATCATTTATCGATGAATTATTTGTTTAAGTAAAAATTACAACACTTGAACTTTATACGTTAAAGTTTTAAAGCTTTTTATTTAACATTCAAAATTGTTGATGTAATTTTTGGTTTTGCCAAAAGAAAAGCTGATTGGAGTCTAAAGTAGAAAATGTGTTAAATTTGTCATAAAGAAAATAGCTAAGGGATGCCGAAAGTAATTCTCTAAAATGCATTTCGATATTCAAATTAATTAAATATAAAAAATAAAAAATGATTTATTTAATTTTTTTTATAATTTGTAAATGATAATGTAATTAATTGAAAAATTATTTATATTAAAACTATGTGCGTGTGTACTGAGATGACAGTCAAATGGCGGTAAGGTAGCTATGTCTGAATTACCTAAGATATAGCAAGAATAAAACATAATTTGTTTAGTATATAGGACAAAAATGAAAGGGGATGGAAACCTTTTTTAAAAGCGAAAATAAAGGACAAGTAGGGTCATTATATAAGACAAATTAGTTCAATTGGGATATTAATCACTGTTTAAAAAATAACTTTGGTTACAATAGAATTAGAGACAGGTTGAGACAAAAGTTGAGTGGAGTGAGTAGTCACTTTGCTGAACTCGTCACCTGTTTAATCGTGGAATCATTCACAGCAAATCACATAAATATTTGTGAAATGACCGGATCAGAATTTGGTAAACAACCAACCGAATCAGTTTTAGAATTTGTTGACTTTAGCCATAAAATATTATACATAAAAGCATTAATTAAGGTTCTATGACGATAAATTTTTTTTATTATTTTATTTACAGGTATTAGATGCATATTCAATTAAATATATGTTTAAATTTAATGATTTTAAATTAAATTAAAAAAATAAAATTAATTATAAATAAAAATTATTTGAATTAATTTCAATGATAAATTTAATTGAAAGTTTATCTAATATTTTTAAATAAAGTAATAAAAATTATTTTTCTTTGTTGAATTGACACTTTTTTTTAATAAAGAACCAAAAGCAAATTTTTTAAAAATAAAACGAAAGTAAGAGACAATTAGCCTAATTAAATTATACTATTTCGTTCAGAAATAGCCAATGAAATAAAATTAAGTTTTTTATTTGGCTAAAGAAAATGATAAGTATTGGAAATTCAACAATGAACATATCAATTTAATGAGAGAGAGAAAAAAAAGTTTATATTTCTTAAAATACATAAAAGCCATTCATAATTGAATTATACTTTATTCATTGCAATGAAATAATTTTTTTTTAATGAGGACAAACGCTCGTATAAAGGATAAGGGAGACAGATAGGATTAAAATCCATACCCACATATGTTTTTTAAAGAAACCTTTTAACCACTAAAACCATATTGCAATGAAATAACATTAATATTTATAAGGGCCATATACCTTATTTATAGTCTAGAAGGCTTTATTAATGGGATATTTAGGACATAAATTAGCATCTATATCTATGTATATGTTATCAACATAATCCCCAATTTTGGTATTTCTAAAATTTTGCTTTGTGTTAAAGACAAAATAATTTCCTACTAAAATTTATTATTATTATTACAAAAAGAGACGTAATCTTCCCGTATTAATGAATTGAATTGCTATCAACTTCTAAGTGGTTGTGAATTGTGATATGGTACTCATATATTAGATTTTTTTTTTTGGGCCAATATATATTAGAATGTTATTTAATTATCCAATTAAATAGTAATTGTTAGGTTAATCCTAAATCTAATAACTTTTTTTAACTTGAAATTATAAAAAAAAAATTTGAATTCTTATTATTAAAATTAAAAATCAAATATTCTCCCAATAATTTTTTTTTAATTTGTTTATGCTTATCATATGTAGCCATCTAACTTGATTGTTTGGGATCATGGATAATGCTCCTTTCTAGGTTTTATAGCTATCCTTTTTAATAATTAAAAAAATAGTAATATTTGTGTTAAAATGAAAGCAGTTAGATGAAATTTAAAAAAAAAAAATTTATGGTCAAACCTTAATGCTTTCATTTATCTCATAAAAGGTGAAGTAAGATTTGGACCAAAATTTTTGAATTCGAGCTTTAAAAGGTTTTCTAATGATTAAATTACAAAAAAATTTATAATTATAATAAAACTTTTTATTTTATTTTGATTATATTAAATCAAACAAATAAATTAACATATAATTAAATAAATTTAACATAAAATTAAATCAATAAATCTGCGATGAGGAAGTTGAATATGGTATTTTAAAATTTAAATGTAATTTTTTTTATCATTAAAATAAAATCTCATTGACAAAGCTCTCTTTTATATATAAAAAAATTTATTATTTGAGTTTGTGGCTTCAGTTTTAAATATAATAGTATTAATAATGGGGTTGACCACAAAGCACAAACCACCGTTTAACATTTATTGACAATTGGTGGAAAATAAAGAGAGCTCAGCCAAGTAAACGTGGGAGGAGGGGGACAGGGAGCATGTCATGCACGTGACTGTACTTAGAATTGAATTGTCGTTTAAGCGTTGGTAGCAATAATAAAATATTTCAAAACGGCATGCTCATGTTCTGATGTTCCAGTAATTCCAATTGAAGAAACTAAAAACCAAAAATCCTGTAACAAACGTCACGCTCAGTTTCGATCGGACTATTTGTTAGTCGTTCTTTCGTCAATATTGTTTTTTTTTTTTTTTTTTTTTGTATAGCTGCCTTTTTTTAAACAAAAATAAAAATGAAATAATTTTGGCCGTCCTTTTAACTTTTTATTTTTTAATTTCTTATGATATCTCTTAATTTCACTTTTAAATTTAGAGAGAAAATATTACTCAAAAAAAGTTTAGAAAGAAAATAAAAATTAAAAAAAAAAAATCTACAGCCACGTTTGACCTTCTAGAATATTTGCCATAAATAACAATGTTTTTTCTTTATTATTTTATATTTTTTGAATATTTGCATTGTTAACAATTGTTTAATAAGAATCAATTTGATCATTTGTATCAATAATCACATAATTTATAAGTAAAATATTATATTATTAGTTTTGGAGTTCAATTCCTAACAATTTCAAATATTAAAAATATTTTTTTATTTGAGGTTATTAAAAATCAAATCATACTCATTAAACTTAAATTTTAATATTTTATTAATAGATTATATGATTGTTGGTATTTTTTATATTTTTAGTAAAAAATATTTTTTAAATTTTGAGATAATCCAAACTTTGATTTTTTTTTAAGGGCAATGATAACTTTAAACTATATTTGAGTTATTAAAAATAAATATCTTTGTACATATTACGCATTTTGTCTTCCTATTACTAAGAATAACTATAAATTTAAGTCAATAAAATTTTAGTTTTGTGGTAAAAAGTAAGTTTTAAAATTTTAAGATTTTAATTTATGTTTCATTGTGTGTGGATTTGATTTAATTTTATGTTAAATTAATTTATTTTAATTTATTTGTTTGATTATTCAATAAATTTTACATACAAATGTAATAGTTAATTATAATTATAACTTATACTTCTAATTTCATAAAAAAAAATTATAAAATCAACTATTCCTAATATTTTTATTTTTAAACTGTTCTTTTACTAAACAATATATTTTTGTTTGCTAAGCAAATATTTTTTTTTACCAAATAAACCATTTTCAATATAATTCAACTAAATGTTCAACTTTTTTATTTAGTAGTTAAAAAGCTTTTAAGATAATATATTCATCTTGCTCCTTCCCTTCCTCATAATCTATACTCGTCTTATATAACATAAAAGAGAGGGATTAACTTACAATAGTGCAAAACGTTTTAGTTTTATACTTTTTTAATCATTAATTTCAATAGATCAAATGAAAAATATTACACCAATTTTTAATTTTTTATTTGTTTATTTTTTATCATTTAGATCTATTAAAATTAATTGTTAAAAAACTATGTAAAAATACAAAATTTTATGATGATATAACTTGATCTTACACCCATATATATATATATATATATATATATAAAAATGAATGATCAACTTACATTAGGATAAAATCAAAAAGTTTTATAATTTTTTTAACTATTAATTTTAATATGTCAAGTGAAAAAGAGAAAAAAAAAGGATTAATCTTATTCATTAAATCTATTAAAATAAATTATTAAAAAATATAAATTTTTTTAATATAAGATGATCTCTATATCATATCATATATAATATTATATTACATAATACAAAATACTTAATAAAGTGTTGCTTACATTAATACTTACGTGGATAGCTTTATTATTTGACCCATAAGAAATTATTTAAAATTTTTGCTTACGTGGATATTTATGTTAATAACTTTTAAACTGTTGACAACAAAATATAATTTATTGTATTATATTTTAAATTAAATTAATTTTTTTAATAATTTATAAATATATTTTTTAAATCTAAGATTTTAAAATATAATAATACATTATCTTTTAAAGTTTTTTGTTAGATTTAAGAAAGTACTCAATAAATTTACTTATTTATATATCTACGTAAATAAGTTAAAATTGTTGGTAATATAATTTAATTTAAATATATTATCTTTCTAAATAAATTTCATAATAATATAGATATAGATTTTTAAATTTAAAAATTTCAAATGTAATGATATATTATCACAAATCAATATGCAGATACAATTTTTTAATTTAAAAAGGTAAAATATAATTTTTATCTTCATAAATTTTCTTATAATTATCTTTTATTATTCGATTTTTTTAAATTAAAAAAAAATACACATATCACATATTATTTTTAAATTTAGAATATAGTTAGTAATTCTAGAGTCATCTATTCCCTTGTTTGTCATGCAAATTTCTGTTATATAATAGTGTATCCTTCATCATTTTTAAATTTGCAATTTCTCTTTTAAAAGTGCACAACTTTTGTGGTATTGTTCTTCAAATATCATATTTTTTCAACTCATTTTTTATTTTTACACGAATGGTTTTACCCGCTTTCTCTCAGCCACTAGTGGCTTATGTAATGAAAGGCATTCCTACTTGCTCAACTATACGTGGCTCGGTATCTCCTCATGTTCCTAATTTTTTTATTTTTTTGGAGTAAGATCTTTGATATGAGTTTGTGAATGGTTAAACTAAACATTTTCATGTTTTATTCAATAATTTAATTGAGTTATGAATATATTTGTTCTTTTTAAATAATTTTATGCACATTAGTTTTTTAATACATTTTCTTATTTTTTAAAAAAATTTCAGCATTTTGATTAAGATTATAATAATAATGATATGTCAAATAATTTTTATAATTTAAATAAAAAATTTAGGACAAAAAATGATTTTCCAATGCCTGCAACAGGGATATGATCTATAGTAAGCACACTTTATAAAAAAATTCAAAACAAATTCAACTCAATTAATAAATTTTTTGTTTTATTTATTTATTATGATATTTAAAGTAATAAGAATAAGCATAAATTTAATTTGTATTTTATGTATATGTATTTAAATAAATAAAATTAATTTATGTATTACAAGGGTTATAAACTAATATATGTATATATGAAAATTTATCAAATACAATAATAATTATTTTTAATTTCACAAATAATATTAAAATAAAAATAAAATGTCTCATTAAGACTGTAAACGAACCGAAGATAAACGAACAAATGTATGTTTATATTTGTTTGTTTATTTTTAAAGGTATTTGTATTCGATTCATCTTCGTTAAGAAAATTATTTTGTTTGTTTATGTTCGTTCGTTTAAATCATAGATGATTCATTTTTTATTAATGTTTATTTAATTAAGTTAAACAAGCTCATTTAAAAATGTCATGAATATGTTTACGAACATATATAAATAAACATATTTATGAATAATAAATAAATTATAATCAAATAAATTTAAATAAATGAACCCTAAATAAATATAAACGAACAAAAATAAATATAAAATGAACTTTAAAATAAAATTATAGTAAAAAATAAAAATATAATTTTATTAATATTATTATAAATAAATAATAAATGAATAATAAATAAAAACAAACAAATAAATTTATTTATAAATATAAATAAATATTTATATTTAATTCATTTAATAAATAAATGTATAAATAATATTCAAAATCGTTTATTAAATTTAATAAATAATTATTAAAAAAAAAACAGACGATTCGTAAAAAATTTTATTCAATTACACTGTTACATGTCATTTTTTTTAGTCCAAGATTCAACACGCTTTGCACGCGTGAACATTTACACCCAATTTTGCTACCTAATCAAAGACCCACATATGTACGTATGCGCGAATTCTACTCGACATATGAACCGTCCGATAAAAAATGTTAAGCCCACTCTTCCGTTGGATTATACACGGTTGATCCCTGCGCTTGCTAGTAAAACATCCCAAAATTAGAAAAGAAGGAGCGGGAATTGTTCTGCAAAATCCACCGAAAAAGGGCCGAGATTAACGCGGCAAAGCAATCTAGTCCTGTAAATAATCTCAAAATAGGGTGTCAAATTTGAAAAAAAAAAACAAGAAAAACACAAAATAATGTCGATTTCGAGGATGTTCATTACGTTTTATAGTATTTGAACTTATCTCAGCGCCAGCAGCCGCCTGTCACTATCTACGCTCACGGACCAACCATCAATCTTTAATTAATCTTCGTTTTTTAAATTATAGTTTTTTTAACGATTTGATATTTATAAAAATTTTATAATTAAATGATTACATTTTCTTGGATTTTTGCACAAATGGAAGGGAAGTACAAGTCAAGCATGAAACAGTTGAAAAAAAAAAAAAAAAAATCTTTGGAGATTATGATTCGGTCCAAACAAGACCAACACCGCAATAGTCAAGCTCTATAAACAAAACTCAATTTTTTTTATTTGTGTAAATAATTGAGAAATTGTAAAAGAAAAATGAAATTTTTGCGTAGAGAGACATAAAAAGATAAACCATTAACTCTAGCATTAGTTTCGCCTACGAACAAGCCTCAACCAACTCCTCACCTTTCCATCAGTTTCCTACTTTCATTCTTCTTTCTCATTCTCCTTCATCTTTATCAGGTAAATCATAATTTATATATAATTAATTAACGCTTTCTTTTTGTTGTTTCAAAATTTATGGGTTTAAAGAAATTAATGATTTTGGGAACTTAATTGAATTTATTTTTGGGTAAAGAAATGGAGTACTGCATGGAAGACAGAGCATTGAAATCAAGTGTAAGAGGAGAACTTACCATGCAAAAGACCCAGCATGTTGTTTTTGATGATTGTTTTGTCATGAATGTTGTGAACGGCGCCGTTGGGTGTGAAGATTTTTCCGTTGATTGTTTCTTTGATTTCACAAACGGAGAATTTGAAGAAGGTTACCTTGAAGAGGAAGAAGAAAAAGACTCTGTTTCTATTTCCTCTCAAGAACGTGTAGCAGATGATGATAGTAACTCTAATTCCAGTAGTTTTTCCTTTGATTCTCTCCTTCCGGTAATTATAATTTCTTTAAATAAATTATTATTACAAAAAATCCCTTTTTTTATGCAAAATTTTGATATTTTTTAATTTGATGTTTTTTCAGGATGATGATGAAATAGCAGGGCTTGAATGGGTATCTCATTTTGTGGACGATTCGCTTCCAGAGCTTCCTTTATCATGCCCTGTTTTTAGGCAGCAAAGCGAGAACCATGCAAAAACTCGATTTGAAAAGGAACCAGAGCCTGACTTTGTGAAAACCCCGTGTTTTCCATCATCGGTTCCGTCTAAAGCGAGGAGTAAAAGGGCTAAACCCACCGGACGTACATGGTCAGTTGGGTCAATGCCTCGTTCTGAGTTGTCGTCTTCGACGGCATCATCTTCAAGCACTTCCTCGGGGTTTTCCATGACTTCGACTGTTACAGAGTTGGCAAATGATTTCACTGACCCGCCAACAAAGAAACAGAAGAAAAAACCTGCGGCTCAAGCTAGTGGGTTTTCAAGTGGGAACCCTTTTCAGCGTAGATGTAGTCATTGCCAAGTTCAAAAGACTCCACAGTGGCGAACCGGTCCTCTTGGTGCCAAAACCTTATGCAATGCTTGTGGTGTTCGTTACAAGTCCGGTCGGCTTTTTCCAGAGTACAGACCGGCTTGTAGCCCCACTTTTTCATGTAATATGCACTCCAATAGCCATCGGAAAGTTTTGGAAATGAGGCAAAAGAAAGAGTTAGCAGGACAGGACTCCGTTGAGTTGACCCAGATGGTCCCGAGTTTTTGAAGTTAGGAATAGCAGGATAGGTTGCAGGTGACCAGGGGTGAACCCGGTTTAACTATTATTGGGTTAGGTTTTGTTAGGCTTATACTTTTAATCATGTTTAGGGTTTATAGAAATCGCAAGTCTAATGATGGAGTCTAGGTAGGGTTTAACTTTTTCATTTCTATTTTTTTTAAAAAATTCCTTTAGACTTTTTTGGTCAATTTATTTGCAAGTTTTAACAAAGAGGTAGAAATTTACAAGTTTTATTTTTCTGCTACTTTGATATTTCTTGGAAAGTGTTACTTTCAAGTGGTTTTTGACACGTTCAAAATGATTCACCTGGCCCTTGCTTCTTGACAATTGAAAAGGCAACGGGTCTGAGTTTTTGCTTGTTTTGAATTTAATTTGATTTTGTATTTATTAAATTTAAATTTGATTAGATTTAATTATAATTTGATTTGATATTATATAAATTATATTTTAATTTAATTTGAAATTAATAAAATATATAATTATATAAATATATATAAATAAATAATTAAAAAAATTAATTTCTATATAAATATGAATTGAGTTTACTTAAAATTTGAATTTGATTTTAATTTTTTTTAATAATATTTTATTTGATTTAATTTAAAATTTAATTTAAAAAAATTAATTTTATAAAAATGAATTAAATTAAAATTCGTCGGGATGAATCGAGTTATCGATCCTGAATGGGCATTGAGGAAAAAAAAGGTACTAAAACTTTTTATAAAAATGTAGTAGCTTTGTTTCCAGACCACGAAAAGACAGCTGGGTAGATTGGCCAAGTTGTTGAAATATCTGAATCCAAAGGGTTAAATGTTAATGGGTGCTGAGTGCTGACTCAATCAGTAGTGGAAGTTCCCAGTGCCCTGACCAAGAAGCAAGAGGTCCGGAGTCAAATGTGTCTCCCAACACCATTAGTGGACCACAGTGATGACAAAGAAACGGGTACACTTGGTTGAGTAAATGTGGTCTAGCTACCTTTGATGTGACGGGAAATATAAAATTTTGCCATTCTTTAGTTTATTAGATTTCCAGCCACATTCTTGCCTTGGGGTTTTTCAAATATCAGCATAATAAAAGCTCTGATTGTCACATGCAATTAGGATGGACTTGCCATGTCGACATATAGGCTTAATGCAAAGCTAATAAGAAAATTGTCAACCAGGGAGGCTGGCCTAAGGATGCGTTTCAAGATTACTTGAGTTTGACCCCCTAATATGTTTCAAGAGAAGTCAAAACTCACATATCCAAGAGATTACCCTTTGCTAATCCTAGTTTTATTGACGATAAAATAAGTACGGCCAATAAAAATATTATAGCATAACTTGAATTTGATTTCTGCAGCTTTTGCAAGTACCAAAATGCAGACATGATTTAATTGTCGAAGGATTGGGTCTTTTTGAAAATGAATATTGGACGGCATGTACAATTAGCAATGGATTTGATTTGAGATTTGACAAACTGATGGGCTCTGCTAGAAGCCTGAACAAAAATATGAACCCATGGTTCTGAAGAAGTCGAGGCGTGATTTGTGGCAAAGGTTGTCAACGTGTGTTAGGCGAACAACGGACAAATATAGGTCATTAATATAGTAATTAAAATATCCCATTAATATAATAAATGTGATAAATCATAATAGTAATTAAATTAGCAAAGAAAGGTAAGGTGAATGCATCTATGGTAGGAGAATTAAAAATGACAGCAACAAATCTTCAGTTTTTTTTTTTTTTTTTTTGTTAAGAAAATTTGAAAAGATATTTAAGGTAAGAATTGGGTCATTTGATTTTGACTCAGACTTCATAAAATTTACACTCTGATATCAAAACAAGATTTTTCATAACCGACCAAACCGACCCATATATATATATCTAAAATTAATTTCATAATTTTAATTTAATATAATATTTATAAAATATTATTTTTAATAAAAATTACATTTTAATTATATATAAATATAATATTTTTATTAAGTTAATATTTTAAATTAAAATATTAAATAATAATTTTATAAATATAATACATGTATATTAATAAAAAAAATAAATATATAATATATAAAATTAGATCAAAGCATGTTTAAATAGCTCAATTGACTTGATTTAAAAAAAAATTTAAGTCAATTAAAAATTCAATTTAAAAAAAGTTTTAAACTTTATAAATGTAAGTCAAATCAAAACTCAATGATTTCGGATAGATTTATCATCCGTAAGTGAGAATATGAATTCCCACCAACTTCGTTCCCCTATCTCCTTGGGAAAAAAAAATGACAACAACAAGGGAATATCAATTCATTACCTTCTGTTATTAGCACAATATTCTTTATTTTCATCAACTAAATTATGTTGTTGCTCTTATATATCCGTCCATGACAGGCAGCTAATATAACTTGATTAATCTAATATCATACAAGGTTCTTAAGTAACACCAACCTATAACTATCCATTCTCAAATACCAAAATGAAACCTCTCTCTCTCTACCAATAAACTAGAGATAAGGTGCTAGGCAATTTCCTTGATCCCATCTTAGTTTCAAATGGCTAATTTTTCTTTTTATTTTTATTTTCACCAAATAGAGTGCTTTGATAGAATTAGAATCTAAAATGGTTTCCACTTATCAATGTGGAAGCAAATAAAAAGAAACAAAAAAAATGGGTTATTCCAATTTGGCAATTCACTCTGGGGTAGCTAAATTTACCAAATATGGTATTGTGCCTATGCTATTTATGGAAAAACAATTGGGCACCTATCAATTTTTACCATAAAAAAGAAGAAAATAAAATCTTTTGTCAATGAAATTGATTTCCATTGGTAGCAGAAAAGGAAAGATTGTTCAGCCTAGTGAAGCCCAAAGGTATTTGGACATTTAATTAGTGACAACCACAACCAAATTAAGAGGAAAAAACCTCTAAATGTAGGAAAAAAAAATTTACCATAATCACTTTCTAGCTGTTGCCTCCTTATTTTAAGCCCTCACTCTTATCGACTGCACTGTTTAGTCCTTTAAAAGGCTAGCTCTCAAGTTCTCTACCCAAAAAAAAAATATAAAAAATCCATAAACCAAACTAACCATTGTGTAGAAATTCATGATTCCAATGAACTTTGTGCAAACTTTGTTCTCTCTTCAATCTTCATCAATGTTCTTTATTCTTTCATTCTTGGTTTTCTTGATTTTTTTGTTGGGCCTCCCTAGGAAAATCCCATACCCTCCAGGCCCAAAAGGTTACCCGATTATCGGCAACATGAAGATGATGAACCAATTGACTCACCGTGGGCTAGCTCGGTTAACCGAGCAGTACGGTATGGCGGGTCTCCTCCACTTAAGGATGGGCAAGCTTCACATAGTGGCCGTATCGAAGCCGGAAATTGCCCGAGAGGTCCTCCTGACCCAGGACAGCATATACTCAAACCGGCCTGCAAACGATGCCATAATCTACCTGAGCTATGATAGAGCTGATATGGCCTTTGCCAACTATGGTCCATTTTGGCGTCAAATGCGTAAGATCTGTGTCATGAAGGTGTTCAGTCGAAAACGGGCCGAGTCATGGGCCTCCGTACGTGAAGAAGTGGGCTCGACTGTTGAAACCGTGATGAAAAAACTCGGTTCCCCTGTTAACATCGGCGAGTTGGTATTTGCTTTGACGAGGAACATTACTTACAGGGCTGCTTTTGGGTCGTTTTCGCGTGACGGGCAAGATGAGTTTGTCAAAATCTTGCAAGAATTCTCCAAGCTTTTTGGAGCTTTTAATATTGCTGATTTTTTCCCATGGTTGGGTTGGATTCATGGGAAAGAATTCCACAAGAGGTTAGTGAAGGCTCGAGCATCGCTGGATGGGTTCATTGATCATATCATTGATGAACATTTGGTGAAGAGCAAGAAGAATATTGGTAAATATGGCAAAGATCAAGACGTAGAGGAAGACATGGTAGATGAATTAATGGCGTTTTACAGCGAAGATGTTTCCAAAGGAGATTATGATGAGCTCTCCCAGTCTGCCATTAAGCTCACCAAAGATAACATCAAAGCTATCATCATGGTATAGACTACAGACTCATCTAGAATTAATGTTTCTATATGTATGTATGCATGCATACAGGCGTGCATGTGTCAAAGTATGATGTCTTTATTCAACCTACTATATGTATGTATATGACAGGATGTAATGTTTGGTGGAACTGAAACCGTGGCATCTGCAATAGAATGGGCAATGGCGGAGCTGATGAAAAGTCCGGAAGACCTTAAGAAAGTTCAGCAAGAACTCGCCGACGTGGTTGGGTTGAACCGGGTCCTCCATGAATCCGACCTTGAAAAATTAACCTACTTCAAATGCGCTATCAAAGAAACTCTACGCCTCCATCCACCTATCCCTCTCCTCCTCCACGAGACTGCCGCGGAATCCGTCCTTGCCGGATACCGAGTGCCGGCAAAATCACGTATAATGATCAATGCATGGGCTATCGGGCGTGACCCATCATCATGGAAAGAACCGGATGTGTTTAAACCTGGTAGGTTTTTGGAAAATGGTGCACCTGATTTTAAGGGTAGTAACTTTGAGTTCATTCCATTTGGGTCGGGTCGGAGGTCCTGCCCAGGAATGCAACTCGGGTTATATGGGTTGGAGTTAAGTGTGGCTCATTTGCTTCATTGCTTTAACTGGGAATTACCTGATGGAATGACGCCTAGTGAGCTTGACATGAGCGATATATTTGGACTCACTGCTCCAAGAGCTACTCGACTTGTCGCTGTGCCGAGTTACAGGTTGAGTTGTCCTTTTTCTGGAGTGGGAAATTGATGGGTTTGAGAAGGCAGATATAGAACCACAGCTAAAGCACAAATTGCTGGGTTTTATTTTTATTTATGTAGAAGTAAAGCTATATCATATATCATGGACTTAATTGCCTTTTATGAGATTATCGTCGGGTGTGGAAGAAAATGGTTTTTTATAAACATTGTTTCATGTTTATAAAAATAAATAAATAAAAAAATAAAACCAAGCAAATCATGTAAAACGATTCAAATTTTTAAAATTGATTTTCAAAGAAGATTGAAATAAAAAAAAATTATAGTGCTAAAATTTAATCCTCAAACTTGTTAAATGTCAAATTTTAAAAATAATTAAATAAACCAATTAAACTAAACATATTGAGTGATACATTTGCACCATTTGATCAAACTTGTATGAATAGAGGCAAAGAAGCCTTTTACATGGTCTAAAAAGAACTAGATCAAATCATGCATGCTACCAAGTATCTCCTTTGCCTTCCTGGAATGGCATAAAAACATACCAAACAAACAGAGTTGAACATCCTAAAAGAAGCACTAAGAAATAATAATTGTTCCGACCAACTGGGATTTGTCCTTCCTTGCCAATTTAGACAATCTCACAATAACATAGTAATTCCCACCCTTTTTTCACCAAGTAATTCAGTTGCCAGAAAAAGAATGAAATTTGAGATTTATGTAAGAAAAGTTGGTATTACTGAAAACAGATGTAATGCTACATCAAGATGCGGACTACAGCTAGCCCAACAGCAGATATGGAGACAAGGGTACCTATGCAGTACTTAATCACGTCGTATTTTGCAGCTTCCAACTGGGCTCTTAAAGCATGAATTTCCTGTTGATAAATTCAACAGATACTGTATGTCAGCATCTAAATACGGATTTTCAAATGAAATAAACAATCTCACCCTATCTAGCTTGTTTGTTAGGTTGGTAGTTTCTGCATTCTGATTGGCCAGTTCATCACGTATGCGCCTAAAATCAATTAGAATTAAGAAAATAAATGCCTGAAATAACTGAAGAAAGCATGTACAGTCATGCATTGAAAATTAAGTATACCCACCCTCTTTCAAGATTTAAATCCAGACGCTGCCCAGCAGTGACCTTGTCAATTTCATACCTGTTAGAGAGACCAACGAGTTGTATAAAATCAAGCCATCAAAATTTTCAGAAAAATAAGAAACCATTTCCATTATACTACACAAAACATGCCTTAGTTCACTTCGCATTTTTTCTATGTCACCCCGTAGTTTTTCAGTTTCACGTTGCAGCATAGAAAAATGATGCTCCTGCATAAAAAGATATAAGAAACCACAAAGGACTACAAAGCATTTGCAATATAACCATCTGATGTTCCAATATCAATGATAATTAAGAATATATGGGTTAAAACTAAAAGACATATTTACATGAGAAAAAGTGAACAAAACAAATTTGGCCATCAATGAACATTAAGCATGGTCACGGATAAAACATGCTCCACGTTGCAATGAACACAACCATATTTCAACTGAAGAAATCATCAGTACTGGTTTGACTAGAATAGCACAAAATAACATCATGATAACAGAATGGGAAGGGCAACATTCAAGTAAATCCGAATAATTAAATACTTTAACCAAGTAAGACTGAGACGACCAAATCAGATTTATATATATATATATATATATATATAGGGGCCAAAATATTTGTGCATTTATATGGTCGAAGTTTCTGATTAACAACATAAGTTTTATACGAACAGTGCATATCAACAGACTCATAAAAGGAACTGCTATCAAGCCTAATCATATGACAAACCTTCCTACTAAGGGTTCAGAATCTTAAAAGTTGATCCAAACAAACTCAACAAGAAGAGCTTTTTCTTGCAATTTCAACATTTATCTGATGGAAAAACTACCAAGAGACTCTCCATCTCACACACACACACGCACTCTCGATCTTAGAATAACTTTTGAAAAATAAACTTAATAAGTTGTCAATCGCTAAGCATAGTTTAGTTCCAAAACCTCATAGTTTTCCTGTGTTGAAGCATCTTTACCTGTACTTTAAAACATGCATCCAATTTTAACCCATCCTGTAGCGTTCTCTAACCTACACCTCACTTTTGATACAAGATTTGTCATCACCACTTTCTGCTTCACCTCCTTCCTTATCTACACCTGAGCTATGGCCCAAAAAAGGGCAAAAGGAGAAAGTGCTAGGACAAAGGGGCACTCAAATAGCAAACAGAATCTCAATTACCTAAGCCTAATCCAGCCTTGCAAATAGCAACATTGAAGTTGACACACAAGAAAGCAAAAAGGAAACAAAAGCTTCAGCGCCATGATATCATTAATTCAAATTGAATGAGCTGCGATTGCAAGAATACATAGTGTCTTCCACCAAAGGAATTTCTAAAGAATCCCAAATACTAGACTCGATAAGAGATTGATTGAAGTGTTCACTTTTTGTCAAATAGCAAGATCTAAAAAATGAAATGCGCACATAACACAAATTTCTTCTTTCCACTTTGTGGCTTCATTCTTAGAAAAGCATATGGATAAAGAGTACCTGGGAACTTTTTACTTCCGACTTAAATTTTGACAAATTAGCTTCTTGAAGCATCTCAGTCTACAAAAAGGTAAAATAAAGCAAAATTTAGCATCAACGTGCTCAGAATGAACATACATCAGCATGAAAACATAGAAAACATTCTGACAAAACATCAAACAATATGAGTAAAGAAAACAAAAACAAAGGAAATTAATAGAGATATCCATACCTTCTGCATTTCTGCCTTCGAAACAAAAGAATGGGATACATTCTCCAAGCTGTCGTTTAATACTTCGGTGATTGCTGCTGTTATTGCCTCCGCTTGTTTTGATGGCACGCCTTGAGCTTCCAAACTCCGAACCTATGAGTGTAAAAATAACTCAAAATTAACAAAAGAGACCCAAAAAAATAAAGAATTTTCATTTCTAAATTTTTTCGAAAATAATTAGTTGTAGAGATATAAAGAAAAAGCGAAATAAACTGAAGTTTTCAGCAAGAAAACCAAATCCACTCGAATTAAGTATAATACCTAAAAGAATTAATCAGGAAATAGAATCTAATTGTTTTCCTAATGAAAAAAGATTAAAACATGTTCACTTTCTTCCCTATTCCTCAGTTTTCTCGGCAACCAAACAGGAAATTCTAACGGAATAATATAATACAAAGAAAGGGAAAGGAAAGGGAAAGAAGTACCAAAGCCAATGTATCGACGAGAAACGCACGCTTCCCATTGGATTTGACGAGTTGAGAAATCTGCCGGTGTCCAACCCTATTCGCAAGGGAACTCGAACACGCATTAAACCCTAATTGAACCACGCGCTTATACGCGCTCATTTTTCTTCGAATCTAAAAAAACTCCGCTGCTCGAAACGGAACAAAAATAAAAAGAAAAACTCCAAATTGGCTACAAATAAAAGGAGCAAAACTCGTTGATTTCTGTGGATGAAGAGAACGAAAGAAAGGAACAGAACGAAATCAAGAAAAAAAGAAAGAAGGTCAAAAGAGAGAGAGAGACTTATAGATTCGCCACTGTTGAAAGGAATATTATTTTCTTTTTTCGGGAATGGGAGGCGGCGAAAGACGCGGATTGTCGAAGGTTGGTCGAGAAATAAGAAGGAAGCTTTATTGTTGAAATATTTTTGGGATTATGAAAAGCTTTTGATTGTTTGATCTTAGTTATGTGCTTTTTCAGTTTTGGTTTTGGTTTTCGCTTGCCCCAGACGTATTGGCAGCTTTCACGTTCTCATCTTGTCCGTGTTTTTAACACATTGTTTGTTGGTGTGGAAAACAAGGAAAAAAAAGAATTATATTTAGATGTTTTAATTGTTTTTCCTCCATTCTTTTTTTGACCATCCAAACAACAAACATTCATCCAGGATGCAAAATATTGCCTACCAAGTTTTACGTAAACGGCACCTTAAAAACGAAGGAAAATGGGAGAAAAATCAAAAGGCTCGAAAAAACCCCCGAAACTTATACTCGAGCATTTGACTTTTATCAAAAGGTTAAAAAAGCTAAAAACTTTTGGCTCCTAATTTTTTACTTAATAATTATTACTTAACACCGGTTTTTACACTACCATAAAATTTTTTAATTTCCCAAACAAGTTTAAAAAAATTATCATGTATCTTTTTTTTTTTTAATTATTTTTTTACTATACCTTAAAAAGTATGTCATTTCTCCATGATTCAAATCTTTCTTTTTTACATACAAATAAAACCCTAACCCCAACCATACATCATTTCTTTGATGCAAAGATTAAGCAAAATAAGGAAGCAAAATCCTTAAAGGCTAAACTAAGAACAGAAAGGAAGTTTTCTGCAATCCATGAATTAATTAGGAGAAATTAAGAGCATAAGAATTGCAATGACTATTCTATGCATATCAGTAGCAGCAAACATCAAAATTCTTGAAAGTTAATAGGATATCAGTATAAAATTATGGCATCTAGCAACACATACAGCTGCTTTGGAGCTGGCAGTTTACTACTATTATTATATCAAAGGTTGAGCTTTCTAAATAAACAAGCTCCATTACAGGGAATAACTTCATATACTAAAAAAAAACGAGTTTATTAAAACTGTCAAATGCTTCATGCTCCAGGCTTTAAGAGAGAGTAAATAATTTGATTCATATCAGAGATAAAAACAACAAAATTCCTTCTCAGCATAAATGTATCATAGCTGTACTCGGTTATCTCACTTCGGTCGCCTATACAGAATGTCATCCAGACTTTCTTTGATGCGGTTTCCAATTTTATTCAGATTCTTGGCAACACCGGATGCTACAAGGCCTGCATTCCTTTTAAACCTGTATATTCGGTAATCAATAGTTTAGGATTCTGGTTTTCTCTGAAAATACAGACTAGGAAGGAAGAAACAAAAAATTATCTGGAATTGTTAACATATCAAGAATTTCCAAATTTCAATCAGTGCTTGCCTGTTATAAAACTCATCCCCTGTTGATTGCGTTGACCTGTGGGTTTGAGGTTGAGGAAATGTGTGACTATCTACAAGAGAGCAAATTCAAGAAACACTTTATCAGAAAAGAACCAAAATCTAACATTGAAATTTTCCTCCCTTACGTGTCTCTGTTCGCCCCTATTCTTTTATCTCTCCTGTTAAATTCCACTATTTTCTTATTTTTTCTTCACTTTTATCTCTATTCTTTAATCCTCTCTCTTTCCCTCCCTTGTTCTACATCACATATCCTCTCCTCAGAGCATCTTTCCTAATGACTCATCAAACCCAAACAACAAAAGCTGTTGCTTCTAGGAACTCTATTATCACTGAATTTAACTCAAGTCATCTGTGCTTCTACTTTTTAATAAAATTGCATGCATGAACCCTGTTTGGGCATGCTTAACCTAAAACTTTTGGACTCTGCACACTCCTCCAGAATTCTAACAGATGATTAAATCCAGCACTAGTCTCATCTGTTACGACTATATCATCAGCAAATAACATGCACCAAGAACTAGCATCTCGAATATATTCTTTGCAAGTTCCATCAAGAAATAGTGCAAAGAAGTAAAGACTTGAGTTATATTACAATAAATGCTTATGTTAGGACTAAACATTTAGGTGGTTGTTTAATTCAAGACGGAATGTTTTATTTTATATGAATAAGGATTAAACGTTATTAACTTGTAGCAATGTAAGAAAATTTCAAACAGAATAACGAGAATAAAGCATATCCGCCATTAACTCTGAAATGGCAAAAAATGTGGTGCAGCTGGCCAAAAAATCAAACATAAGCTGACTCATAAAAAGACGTAAAAAATTTTAATTTTCTACTTTTATTTCCTTCTCCCTCTTCTCTCTCTACCGTTCTCTGTTATATTCCCATCCTTTCTTTAGTTCTTCAAATACTCCATAGCCACCATAACAACTCGGAAACCGCACTAGACTGCCTCCTCCAACTGCCGCTTGCCAGCGATGATTTTTTTTGGAAAACAATTCTTCATTCCACATCTTCCTTTTTCTTTCTACAGGTTTAGGTTTTCAAAGAAAATAATATGAAAAACCTTAGATCAGAAAAACCAATTTTTATGCCTCTCCGTTAAACTTCCTATGAGATCAATCTCTCGTCAACATTTTTCTGAATAACTTGCTCCAATCTCTTTGTTGTCTCTTCCTCTAATAATTTCAGTTCACCCTCTTGTTGAAATCTAAAAACAAAACTAAAGCAACAAAAGGTAAATAAATCTTCTTTGCTTATTTACTCAAAAAAAAACTTGATTTTTTTTTTTTCGTTTTGATTTTGCTTTGTAATTTGCCCATCAGTAGCCTCCCACGTGAACCTGTTGATGTGTTGGGTGGAGGGGAGGGTTTGGCTAAGGAATAGCCATTGATTGTGAAACTGTGGGAGCTGTCCATAGCCTTGATTATAAAGTGAAAGCTTATGGTTGAGATTAACGGATAGGGCATGAGTGGAAGGGAGGGTTTGGCGTTTTTTGGAATTTTATTGTTTCCTGAGAAAATGAAGGAAATGTCAGGAAATAAAACAAGAATGATGGGTCGTTTACCACTAACAGTGGTGTTTTTGGATAATTGTGTGTGGGTTTTGGTTGTTGTGAGTAGTTGTGGTCGACAATTGGTTGCTAGTGTGTAGGAGATAGTATGGTCTGGTTAGGTAGTGAATTGAAGGTGCCGGTGAATGACTTTGTTATTTAGTTTGTCACATAGGCAAAAAATATTGGGATGTTGAGTTTTTGTTGATGGTATGTTTGGGGTGTTGAGTTTACATAGAATGATTGAGAATAATTTAAGAAGAAACAAGCAAGGCAAAGGAAGAGATATAAATGTGGAATCTGTGGAAGAAACAAAGGAAAAAAAAGAAACTAGAGGAATTTGTGGAAGTTGCTAGAGACGCAAGAAGTTAATTAATTAAATCATGATTTTTTTTTTTCCAAAAGTACGTTTGCAACTAACTTATTATCATTTTGGACATGTGGACAACAATGTTGCCATATTAACAAAAAACATACCCTTGAACTAAATAATTCAATATCACTTGAGTTGACAGTGCGTGTAGTGCACATTCTCAAGTCTGTTAAAAAAAGTCCTACATTATTATAAACCAATAACGTTTAATCCTTATTCGTATAAAATAACGCATTTAGTTTTGAATTGAACAACCACCTAAACGTTAGTCTTAAAATGAGCATTTAGCCGTTATATTATTAGTGTAAAAATTTTTCCCTGACTCATCACTATTCCCTCACATATGCCTATAAAAAGAAAGAAAAGAATTCGATTTGAATGACTATAAATACCTTTGTTTTTATGGATAGGGGTAGAAACATGGTCAGTAGAAGCAGCTGTTCTGTCCAACAATACCTTAAGCAACAGGTAACCATAGTCGAAAATTATTTGACAGAAATATAACAGACATAAACATAAAAGTTAAACCCCTGAAAATAACATATTCTATATGTGAAGAAATCTATGTTACACCATGCTCATGATCCATTCCAATCTTTGGGAAAACCTAGATTATTTTTAATGGATGATTGAGTTACCCACCATATATTCACAAGTAATCTACAAATCAAACCAAATGACTGCAAAGTAAACATATAAGAAATTTGAAATTCATAAATTTTCATAAGCCTTTCAACACAAGTATTCATGTAGCATCTTACAAATCAAAAGATAACATCCAAACAATTTGAATACAAAATACTCCACATGCAACCAACTTGTTGCCAAAAAACCCACAATCTCCAAATATAGATTAGAAGGAGAAAGAAATAAAAAAGGAAAAGGAAATACCTCGAGACCGACACAGAAAGGTAATTCAGCTTGTTTACCAGACTGATGAGTTGAAGAATCTTTGTTATCTAAGTAAACCGAGTAACCAACACAAGCATACTTGAAATCCGTAAGAGTGCGGCCTTCCTTGGAAGCTTCCAACTCAGATTCCCCGATTATGTAACTAGGTACTAATCAAAAGCTTCATTCAGTACATATCCATTTTTTTTCACATTTTAACAAATAAATCCGATCCAATATAATCAAAGCAATCAATAAGAATAAAAGAAATAAAGAAAGTGAGATTGAGAGAGAGAGAGAGACCTTGTTGGAGAGTTCTAGGGATGCCAACGCAAGTGGGGTTTTGGGATTTTGATTTAAGAGCGGAAGAGTAATAAAGGCATCCTTTGCAAGACTTGCCTTTACCCTTGGATCCTTGGCTTTGATTTTGATTATTAGGGTTAGCAGCGTTGGAATTAGGGGCTTGATTTAGGGCTTCTCGTCTTGCTTCTTCTTTGTTCATCTTCCTAATCCTACCTTAAGATTGATTACTCTTTGCAACTCCAACTCCAACGCGCGCGTTTTAGAGGAAGGAGACTGTCTCCTTATTCTGTCTCTTCCCTTTTTTAGTTTTTTTTTTTCGGCTTGTCACCTGAGTCTTCCACCCTTTTTATGTGGGATTTTAAATATTTTACTATCGAATATTTAAAAATTAATATTTTATTAAAAAAATGAAATATTAGAGGGACTATCGAATATTAAAAAATAAATAATTTATTAAAAAAATAAATATTAAAGGGACGTAAGGGAAAATCTAAGATTTTTTTATAAAGAATTTATATTTATAAAAATATGATTTTTATGTTTGGTTTATAAATATCTTATTTTTGTTGTAATTTTAGATTTTTAAAAGTTCAAAATTATAAATTCACTTTTTCATATAATTTTTTCAAATTCAAATAAAAATTATTTTTATTTTATATTTGGCTTGAATAAAAATTATTTTTTATATTTTATTTTTTAAAAAACTAACGAATTATAAGAATATTTTTTACAAACGTAAAAAATTTAACATTTGTTTTCAATAAGCGCAAGAATTATAAATATTTTTTATTAAAATATTTTGTAATTAAGTAAATTTTTATTTTGTAATTAAGTAATATTAATTATTTTATTTTTAAAAAAAATATATAACATTTGACGTTTATTTTTTTAATACTAAAATGTTGCGTTTATTAATTTTATAATACAAAAATTGATAATTTTTACTGCATTTTATTAACAAAAATGCAATATTCAATATATTTAAACGGATACTACTATTAGCTGATATAGCTGATATAAAATGCAGTAATTAAGATTAGTTACTGCATTTTCAGTAAAGAAAACGCAGTAATTGGGTGATGATGTGCGGGCGGGTGGGGTCATCGGATAATGTCACGTGCAGCCACAAAATTTTTTATTTATTTCATTTTTTTGGGAGAGAATCTTTTGTTAGGATCAGGCCTCTTCAACAAGGAAAGTTGTTGAATTTATTTAAAAAAAAAAAAAATACACGCACAATTCTAATTTTGTATATGTTTTAGTTTATTTGTATACGATGGATGAAAGAAATTTTTACCATGTTATTGGTATTATTTTAAAATTTTAATCATAAAATAATATCTATTTAAAGATTTTCTTTGTTAATTAGAGACATGCAAGTTACGATAAACATGCAATGTTGCTATTCAAATTAAAAATGTTAAAAATGTGCTTCTTGGATGGTTTTCTATGTAGTTAGTTAAGGAGAAATTCTTTTCAATTATTACGTTCACTCATCATAATTGATAAATTTAATTTTTTTAATTGGTTAATTATTAACTTTTTTTAAAAATGTAATAAATATTTATTGTAATTATTTTACAATTATTAAATATTGCATTGTATAGTTTTATAACAAAGTAATTGATTATTGTAATTTTTTTTTAAACATTTGTTACTGTATTTATAGTTTAGGAAATGCAATAATTAATAATTTTAAATTTATTTTATTATTAATTATTATATTACTTTATTTTATAACAAAATAATTGATAATTGTAATTTTTTTTAAAACAATTAATTATTGTGTTGATTTCAATTATAATACAGTAATTGATAATTATCAATTTTTATAATGATCAATTAGTGGGTTGTCTTATTATATAACGCAGTAATTGATCATATAATTATTTTAAAATAATAATTTGATGTGTTTATAAGTTTTAAAATACTCGAAAAAAGCATTTACATTATTTAAAACATGTATTATTTATAGACTATTTTAATTAAAAAATGATTGTGTTTATTATGTAGGAAATGATATTATAGTAAAAATATAAGATTAAGTAATCTCATATTTTTTCAACTAAACACGTAAATCTAAAAATGAAATGTTATGAGAAATCATAATTTCTCTGGATTCACATTTTTTTAAAAATAATGCTTTTTTCCTAAACTAAATGCTCCCTATAATATTTTATTTAACAAGTATTTTATTTCAAAATTGATACTAATTTCTTATTATTAAATAAAATAACATTTTATTTATTTTTTATACTTAAAGAACATTTTATTTCAAACCAGGATCTTGAATTTATTTCTGTTTGTCCTCTTTATAAATTAGTTTTATTTTATTTAAGAAGTGCAAATTTGAACCTTCCTTGTGGAACTTCAGTTTATAAATTTCACATTTGCTTAAACGGGTAGCCCAGATAGCAGTAGCCATCACTCCCAGAGGCCATAGGTCATGGCCATAGTTCACCTGTTTGAGCCACATTTAGTAATTCTAATTTAAAGGGTTATCAAAACATGACTTCATCACATTAACTGATATCGAATATGAAATAAATTATTCAGCTGAAGAATTAAGACGACATTCCGTTGGAAGAAGAAAAAGAAAAAGATTTTACAGGCATAAATCATCCGAAAGACAATATAATGTGAGGAAATTTTCAAAATGAAATTTTACTGTACACATATAACTACTCTAAGCCGCTCTAAATTTGCCAAAATTTAGTTGTGCATATAATCACACGAAGCTCCTTTCTTGCAGTGCCCATTTTCATGGAATTTGCACACTCTCTGCCCTTTAAAGGGCGACCTTGAAGACCCACCTCCACTGCCAAATGATGACTGCCTGCTCCAAGGTTTGACCCCACCAAAACCAGAATCACCACCCTGAGAGCCCCTATCTGTTTGATTCGAGAACTTGTCTCCGTTGAGATTCTGTTCATTTCCCCACATGCCTGAATTTCCGGAGGGTGCCACATAACCAGGATTTGCACTTCCGGATGCCGCTGCGCCTTGCCCTGCTGCAACCCATCCAGAACTTGCGTTAACAACAGCAGGCCCTTGGCCAAGTGGTGCCCACCCTTGCATTGCATTCCCAGGAGCAGTCCAACCTGAATTTGCATTCCCTGGTACTGGTACTTGGCTAGGTGCAGCCCAACTCGGATTTTGATTAACAGACGCAGAGCCCTGACTAGAAGCTCCCCAGTTAACATTTGTAGTTGCAGGGAGAGGTGCACCCCATCCCATGTTTTGATTCCCTGGCATTGGTCCCCAACCAGTGTTCTGATATCCTGGTGCCTGTCTCAGGGCAGCACCTTGGTTATCTGCAACAGCCACACCCCAAGGTAGATTGGGTGGAGCAGGAAGCTGATGATTTGACTGAACTGGAACAGTAGGCCTCCAAGAATCCGATGGCAGCATAATCGGTTGGCTAGGAGTAGGAAAAACCACAGCAGGATTTCCTGTGCCGAAAGGAGCAGAATTTTGACCAGATTGTGACGTGTCATTCCAGTGACCATAAGCAGCAGGTTGAGCAAGCATGGCAAGTGAGGGATTTGGCTCTAGCTTCTGAGCTGAAGCATTTCTCCATGCTTGATTTCCAGTTGCAGGTATAGAGGATGCAGCAACTGCTTCTTGCCTTGAGACTGAGCCAGAACCCCATCCATGAGTATCAACAGAAGGATTATGAGCAGTCACAGATTGAACCAAATTCTGAAGAGATACACCTGCATTTTTCATATCAGCACCTAAATTAATTGAAGCTTGAGCATTGACCTGTGTCCTGTGTGATTCACCTGACACCATCATATGAGAATGCACTATAGGAGCAGCTGGACTCCCACTCTCTGAAACAACAATGGGAGGTTGCAGCCCTGTGGATCCTCCTTGGAATGGATTAGCCACTGTAAGAGAACCCGATGACTGAACAGGAGTAGGTGACTGTTTGCTTTCATTAGCTTGTGCCTTAGTCCCACCAGTGGGATTTTGGTTTGGAGTGGGAGAAGGTAGATTTGTGTTGGAGCCCCATGTATCTCGAGAATACCTTGGGATCTCTAGTGAAGATGGAGCAGGTCCGACAGTGGAAGAACTGACTTCTGTTTGAGATTTCCAACTTCCTCGGGCAGATTGGCCAGACGTGCCTAATGAACGCTGAGGACTCCAAGCTACATGATTCTGATCAAACCTTGATCTTTCTCCAACTTGGCTTTCCATTCCTTGCTTCAAGGTTGCTCCAAGAGAATTCCCATAAATGGCCATTTGAGAATTTGGAAAGCTATTATCGGCTACCGGAGAGTCTTTCTGAAACTTTCCAGCCAAGGCATCAGTCAAAAGTATAGAATCATCTTGCTTCTCATTAGTTCTCCAAATTTTTAATTCAGCAGGGAAATATCCAGTGTTACTCCATTTCTGCAGCTGCACCATTGAAAATGGTCCTTGAACCTTGCCAGATGGATCCTGGTAATGCCAAATTTTCTCTGTCTCATTAATTTGGACGGCAGTGGTTACTCCTGCAGACAGAGGTATAGCTGAAATTTCTGATACAACCTTCGCAGACGGTTCCTGTACTACAATATTACGAGTATTCCTTGTGCCGATTTCCAAACTAGAAGCAGTTTTTGGCTTGTCCCAGCTGTTTGGTTGTTGTGTTTCTCTCTCCCGTCCTAGGTTCCATAAATTTTCATTCCCGATTTCACTAGCTCCAATGGAATCATCCCCTTTGCTCGTAAATCCTTTATTAGATAGGTTCCTGCTTAATTCCCGATGCATGCTGGAATTATTCCTAGTGCCACTCCAAGAATCACTTGAATTGAAACCTCCCTTCCGAGGAGAAATTGGCTCCCTCCCTCTCCTGCTAAAGCCACCACTTCTTGGCCTCATAAAGTTATCTGTGTGAATCCAAACATTATCAATCTGAATGGCAAATAAGAGATATATGAGAGGACATGAAAATTTGACAAGAAAAAAAGACCTTGTCTCTTATCATCTTCTCCTTCATCTTCTTCAGATTCGTAACTAGGATCCATGTTGGGGTCTACATGTATCACGGGAATTTCCTCTAATCTACGCTGTCGCTCCTCAGGTGTCTTTAAAATCTGCAATTTCTCTACACATTCTCTAAGCCTGAACACAAGTCAAGGACTACATTGAGATTGCTTGAGACAAACAGTCATTTTCATTAGAAAAAAACATATGATGCAGATAGAAACTGTAGATGAATTCAGCAATCAACATGAAATTCTAATTATAGTTAGAATCAAAATTAATCTTTATATCAGTTCAATTCATCACTCAGCCATAGGAAAGGTATTCTGCAGCAGTTACATCCATCAAATAGTACGATACATTCAGGTTTTTTATTAGAACAATGCAAACAAATTTTTTTTTCAGATTGTTCACGAGTAAGGCTATGCAAATATTAGTACTTTTTAGAGACCAAAACCAAAAATACTAAGGCTTAATGTTGAAATGAAAGGGAAAGTGACAAACCACACCATAGAGTTCCTAGAAGGAGTTAGTTTAGTAACTAAACATGAATCCCACTGCAATCTAACTTAAATCACAGAACAATAGAGAGATTAACAAGCACAAGATTACCATGTATTGAACATGAAAGATAGAGATTGATGAGCACTGAATTACAACAAACTTCACCTTTATTATTCACACAAATGGCTTAGATTGTTCAAAAGTTTTATCTTAGTATATTGAATCTATCACTTCAAAAGCTTAACCAAGCTTGAAGTCCCTTGTAAAATATGTTTGCATAAAGTATTATTCAACACTCAGTAGCTAATAAACGTCCTGCATTGTAACTATAACGGAAAGGGGAGAGGAAACAAGGATGCAGGTAAGGTTTCTGTTCTTGGGATTGCTTAAAGAGGGAAAGAAAGGAAGGGCTATATCTCCAACCTTGTCTGAGGAATGAAGGGAAACAGAAACAAAGGATAATTTATCATGTTGTTTTAGAATTATATACTTTATAAGTTATATTAAATGTTATCAGGGCAATTTTCTGTATAGTAAAATATTTTTAACGAGGAATCCTCCCCACCAAATCCCCCCAATTTGAAGAGCTGAAAAAACCAAGTTCTTCAGGTTTTGGAGGGACCTCTGTCCCTTTCTTGTAAACAATGTTCGGAACAAGGGTGAGGCAACTGGTCGTCCTCCATTCCCTCAATTCAGAAATCACAGTCAAGCCTCATAGCAAATCCACATAAATGTCAGAAGAACGCTGTAAGCCATAAAAAAAAAATTGACAAGCAAATAACTGCAATGAGAAGAATAATCTAACAGAAAATAAGAATTACAAGCAAAGGATATTCCTTTCTACGTCCTTTTTCACTGGCTCGATCACGAAGATGACTCAGACGCATTATCTCTGATTCCAACCACTGCATTATGATAACAGAGAAACTCAGCTTATTCCCTTTTACTAATAAAGCCATGAATACTGATATTAAAATGCCAATTATACTACCCAAGAGGATCAGAATTAAGAAAGATTGTGATCCGTTTTTGAATATCATCAAGAGGATCAGATGCCTTTCTTTTCAGTACACAGAACTTAATCAAGACCACCCAACAAATAATTTTGCGCATTATGCTTTTCAAGATTGCAGAACATACTAATAAACCATTCTCCACAAATAAAATTATGCATGTGTGAGTCTACATATGTATCTATACTAATATTATTACACCTGATTGAGTTGGTGTCATGAATCAAGTGACACCAACTCAATTGGGGAATTAATCAAAAAGACAAATTATGAAATAAAATATGTGTATGTATTAATAAGGTTATTATTGTAATTTCATTTGCCATAAAAGTAGAGTGAGAATCTGTATTTTGAAATCCACCTCTACTTACGATTTCTCCATTTTGAAAACTTCCACATTTGTTATTCTTTTAATTTTACTAAACAGTTAAAATTTTAATTTATTTCACCCACAAAGTGGGTGTTCATAGTAGGGATGGCAATGGGTTGGGTCAAGACGGGTTTTTGCTCGTCCCAAATTAGACCTGATTTTATATCCATAAAACCCCAATCCAACCCGTCCCAAGGATTTTTTTTATTTTCTTTCATACCTAAACCCGACCCGATATTATATAGATCATATCCGATCAGACCCGACTCGAAATAAATAAAATATATTTTTAATATATATAAAATTATATAAATATATATAATTAATTAATTAAATAATTAATTAAAAAATAAATATATATCAGGTCGGATCAGGTTGGATTTGCCTAAAACCCGACCCCGACCTTTTCCTACAATTACCCAACCCGAAACCTGATTTAAAAAAAAAAAAACCGACTCTATGAGATCGGGTCGAAGCCCGCCAAGGGCGGATTGGGCTGCCAACCCTATTCATACGGCTAGTACATATATGATAACCCTAGTTTGAAAGAAAGATATTTACATCTTTGACTCTGACTGCCTGGATTGCCATGGCCTTGTCCTGTATATCCGCCTGCAGCAACCAATTAATCTTCTAAAAATGACTCCAAATGAAATTTAAAAGGAAAAATAAATAAATAAAAGATCACTATTGGATAGTACATGCAAATGTGATATACTAAAAGTGAAAATTACCACAGTCAGCCGGTTGATAAGTCCACACTTTATGCTCTGGCGAAGGCGCTTGCATTCATCCTAAGAGATCAAGTGGCTTAGAACATTTTTAACAAGAAATAAGATTAAGTATAATAATTAAAAAGAAAATACTAGCAACAAGGCTCCAAAAGATAGCAACCTCATAATACGACTGATATGAGGTCTTTTATTCTCTCCATGTTCAAGAGAAATAGGTTTTTTTCTTTTTTTTTACAAGCCAAATAAATAAATAAATTAAACAAGCCTCCAAGTGTCAGCCAAAGGGACAGATTATGAAAAAGATTTAATACACAGAAAAGCGAAGCCTCAATATTTATACTCGAAAATTTGTTTATAAGATCAAATTGACCTTAACCAGAGAAATCGGTACAGAATTCCATAAAAAATGCAGACGAAAATCAACAAAAGGGAGAAATAACATTTATTTCCATCTTCAGCTAATAATTACCTCAGTGAACTCTTGATTTGATATAATATCAATTGATATGACCTCTGTCTTATTTAAATTTAAAATCTCTAGTAGAAAATCAGTTGTTCTTTTGCCAACTCTATAAGGTTCAGCAACTTTGCTTGTACCTGTACAACGAATCATTAATGCGTTAAACAACTTATGAGATTTTGATACTTGTATGCTGAAGTCAAAAACATGTGCAGATAGACAGTTATCAAAGTATTTACCAATAACTTGCACTAGCCTATACAAATCTTGCTTTTGACCAGCACCAGATATTCTTAATCTCACAAAAGAACCAACAACCTTGTCATGGAATGTTTCAGTATCTTCAATCAAATCCTCCACCAAATTTCGTCGTAAATAAATTAGATTGATATTATGCATGTCGATGGCAGCATAATCATCTAAATTTGATTTAAGTCCCCTGGCATCACCCTTTTTACGTGTTTTACGTTTCTTATCTTTCACAGTCTTTGTAAAAGCATCAGAGTTCCAATCAGCCTCTAGTTGATTAACTTCAGCATCAACAACACTCCCTTGAAGATCATCTGTCTGAGAATCCTCCTTTGTGAAAAGAATGTGAGGGTCAAGAAGATTTAACATTTCAATATGCCCCACTCTGGCTTTCCCAAACAGATTCTTAAGCCTCAAGTCACAAATGACATAAGACTTACTTTGATGATCTCGAAGTTTGTGCTTTTGAATGTAATCCAGAATAAGTTGACTTAGTTCCATTCGAGATAAAACAGATTTGTCGCCATTTCTCATGTGCATGACAACTTCCAAGAGCTCTTTTGACGCCCACTCAGCACTTTCATCTGTAGATGCCCCTTCACCCCTAGCTGTCACAGTGTTTGGTAAATCACCCCCCCTTTTCCATGACTTTGTTTGACTCCTAGTCTTTCTTCGCTTAGAAACAGTTACTTCCGCATTCCCAGAAGAACTATCCGAGCCAGACCCTCCACCATCATTAAAACCATAAGGTTCATTAGGTGATTCCTTTTTAGCAGAACGATATTCAGATCCTTTCCAAGGATTTTTAGACTGAGCAAGTTCATCTGAAGTTATTGATAATCTCCCTTTTAAATCAATCCAATAGTCCTTGAATAGATATTCCCAGCTACTTTTATCATCAAAATCTACTTGTGCCTGCAAAAGTAAGAACAAAATAAAATGGAGAACGACAAAAAGGATATTTTCCAACAATTGACAGCAAGAGAGAGAGATATAGAGAGATCTTTTGAAAATAAAGTGACTAACATACAGCCCTAAAACCCAAACAATGAATGAATCAACTTTCATACATGAATACAGCTATGAAATACTAAGCCATGATAAATTTTCATTTACTGAATTAAGAAGAAACATCTCTTGTCGACTTTTACTTACAAGGAACTCAAGCAACTGAAAGCAGAAAACATTGAAGATTACAACTGAAAACAATGCCAATAAGAAGGGCAAGAGGCTTGACACAGCATATCTATTCAAACATTGATTATTTGTTCTCAAAGATTATGAAACATTTACAGCGCAGAGTTATCCAATGAAGAAACATAGACTGCTACACAGACCATAATGAAGAGAGGCGTACTAGCAGTTAAAACCAAAATAAATCACACTAAATAAAACGAAGTTTAAAGAGACCGAGTTACTTGAAAAGTGAACAGAACTCCAAAGAATTGTAAGAACACCTTCCCACCAACCACCCAGAGGAAAGAAAAAAAGAGCTCAAGAATGATATTTATTATTTTGATATTATGTGAAGGAAGAAAGGTGACGCTATGAATTGTGCTGTTACAGATTTACAACTAACCACATAATTATAAGACTATTAGCACAAAAAAAAAAATCAAGAGAAACTAAAACTTCAAATTGAATAGTTATAGCAAGAGCAATTGAGAGAACTGCAGTAATGGTTTCAAATATGAGCTTCCCACTATCAATTGAAATCATGGAATTATACTCAGAAGACAACAGCAGGACTAATACATACTTAATGTGCATATAAATAAAAACAACAAAATCAGCTGTAAGTATTTCAACAAAGAACAAACAAAGGAAGATAGCAAAATTAAAGAATAAATGCACAAAATAATAAAATTAACAGAATGATATAACAATTCCATTTCTCCATTTACCTGTTCATTCCTCTCAATCAACATGACGAGATTCATGCATGACTCACAGAGGCCTTTGTTACCCCTAACACATAGGATTACAGCATCTTTGATGCATCCCTTGCATAACGAAAAGGTACATGTGTAACACATATAATAGGCATTCTTCTTACAGTTGCTGCACAGATGCCAACCTAATTCACGGAAAGAACATTACTCAAATTAGATAGAGATATATAAGACAACACAATAAACCGGTTCTGAAAACATAAGAATCAAAATTGATAAATGAAATATGGATATTGAGCAAGAACATCCAAGAGAAAAATCAGACCACAGGTCAACTAACAGATATTATGCCTGAAACACTATAACAGAAAGTAACAGCAAACAAGCAGTGACATAAATACAGGAAAACAAGATGAAATTTATAGAAGCATATTCTGAGATTCCCCTAAGTGACACCCTTGCACCTCGAAGGCTTGAACAAGCATACTTGCATCATCAGGAACTCTAGAACTCACTGAGCCAATCTATTACTTTCTTCAGACATTGAAAAAAGATAAATGCAACTGTTTGAAAAACAAGTTGCAACAATGGTATAACCTTGAACATGCATATTTTGTAGACCCCTTTTTCACTCAATACAGAATGTTCATCATTCTTAGATTATTCCAAAGTGTATACACATCCGCAAATTACATGTTTCCCACTCAGTGAACCATGCCTCAAAATTAGCTTATCTTACCTAATGTATCCTGAAATTAATACAACCAGTTCTGTCAACTGTCTTGGCTATTGCTCATTCAAGCCAAAAATTTATTCTCCCTTCTACTCTTTTCTTACATTTCTTAACAAAAAAAATGTTATACTTCTCAGTTCCCATTGCTTTTTCTCATACTAATGAACATCTAAAAGTATAGCTACAAAAGAAAAAGAAAAGATAATTTCTAAGACGACCTTAATCCAAAAGATTTGCCCAGTGCTTGCAAAACAGTAGCCTCTAGTCCCATAATCAATTGACACAAGTTCTGAAATTGTAAGTTCTTATTCCCTTCAACACATGTTCATCACATACTAACAGTTTAAACAAACAAAAGACATGTATTTCCTGTCGGCTCAAGTAAAGTCCATTTAGGGAAGATCTATATTGCCTTTTGTAAAGATAGCTCATGTCATTCTCGGTCAACTTTGCATAAGAAAAATAAATTAACCCAAAGTTTCAGCATCCATTACATTCCATGAGAAATTTCAACAGTACTTATCTGTAGGACATTCACAACTTTTAAAAGTTCCAAATATATATCAGTTGGCCCTAACTGCAGATTAAGCATGCAAGTGTACATCTGCCACTTAATGCATGAACCTCAATCATTTTGCAGATGCCACAATGCTATTATTTCCCGTTCATTTATAAAGTCAAAATACAGCAGTTGATTAGCTCTCTGTTTATGTCTGCACAAAAAGGCTGGTAACCAAAATCCTCTCACACCCTTGACAAGTTACATTACAAATATAAACACAGAGAGTCACTTGAAAGCTCAGCCTTCGAGACCTTGAATTGGATTTTTCATAAGCCAAGGGCATCTAATGACTAAGAGAAAACCACGTTCTGGGATAATAGTTACAACTTGCAGTTTCACACTACTTTCACTAGAAATCCAAGCATTGCCAGTAGCCATTGCCGTGACTTGAAATGATAGATGAACCCTAAATCCTGCAGAAAGATACTACGCTTCGAATGTTCTTTTGGGAACAATTAAAACAATTTGAGGAGATGCAAAACTTAAATGGCGTGCTGGGCAAAACTGGATATTGAACTTCCTGTGCCTTCACAAAAGCCCACTCCAGCAAGCTTCTCTGTCATGTAAATCAAACCTTTTGCAAAGAAAAGAAGTAACAAATTCAATAATGATGCAATTCAATAAGAAAAGAGAAAGGGATGTCACAGTTCAAATTTTTAGGTGCTCATGTTCCCAAATTTGTATCAGCCAACTATCAAACATCTATCTTTTTCCCCTAACTATTGCAAAAACTAATCATGAGCACAAGGTATGTGAGAAAATAAACTACCATAACGGGCAACATTTCAAACTTCATATCCCAGAAGACCTCAAAATAAAACTCAAATATTAGAAGTTAAAGAGTGCACACAGAAATTCGGAAACTTACCACAATTCCATTTACCCTTTGCTCGAAAGAATGCCTCATCTCGACCAACACAAGAAGTGTGGTAAGCCTTAGGGCAACCCCTACAGAGAAATAAAAACAGAAAGCATAATATTATGACAGTGAATAAACAGATTACACCGGCAAAAGAACAACTTTGGTAGCCTCACCTGCGGTCACAAAGCACAAGGTCACCACCATCAAAGCAAATGAAACAGACATCCTCTTCCACCTTCTTCCTTGATGGAGCTCTTGCCAGAACCTTAGAATTCAAACTCTTTCCCCGCTTCCGCTTGCCACCGCTGGCTTTACTAGCATCTTCTACCTCCTCTGTATCTTCCGTCCCCTCTGCTGCCTCCGTTTCTACTTCTTCCGTGATGTCAAGCATCTCAGTGTCCGCTGCTGCCTCCATCCCCTCTGCCGCATCTCCCATCTCTGCCTCTGTCCGTTCTGCTTTCTCAACATTCTCTACTACAGTTCCTGTCTCTGTATCTTCTGCCTTCTCTGATCCCTCTTCCATCACTATGTCCTTCGCCACCTCAGCCATATCCATACCTGAATCCCTCACTGCATTAGAATCCTCCAAATTTCCAGTTTGCTCAGACACATTAGCCACCAATTTTTCTTCCAAAATTTCGCTTTTGTCAATCATTTCAATCACTCTTGTTTCTTCCAGAACTCCTTTTTGGTCTGCCAAATTAACCTCCATTTTATCATCCGGCAACCCCCTTTTCGCAACCATGTCAATAACCCCTGTTTCTTCCGTAACATCAACAACGAGTTTCTCCTCCAGCATTTCCCTTTCCACAGCCACGTCAGCCACCTCTCTTTCCTTCGTAATTCCGGTTTTCTCCATCACGTCAGCCACGACTGTTTCCTCGATAACCATAGTTTGCTCTGTTACATTAGCCACCTCTGCTGCCTCGACAATTCCTCTTTCCTCCAAATTTCCCGCTTCCTCAGGCAACTCAGTAACTGTTTGCTTCGCCAAAGGCACCTTCATCCCTTCCGCTGTTCCTCTTTCATTGGAGACGTTAGCCCTCTCCATTTCCTCCATCACACCATCCACTGTCGTATCCTCCACCATGTCAGATTTCTCCTCCACCTCTGCCACGTCGCTCTCCCCTCTGTCAGCCAAGTCCTCACCTTCCTCATTACCATCAGTCGGAGATGAAGCTTTTATTCCATCACCAGCATCCAACATCTCGTGCTTCTTCTCTCCAAAGATCAAATCCTCGCCGCCCTCTTCGTCACCAACCGCCGCCTCCGGAACAACCTCCACATCAACGACTCCCTTGCCGTCACCTTCTTTCTTCTTTTCAGCAACAGGAAATCCGGCGGACGATGCTGGTGGTTCCGACTCGTCAAACTCGGCAACGGTCTCGAGCTCGCATTGTTGTGACTCAGTCTTTTCATGCTGTATCTGGGAGGCCGCAGCCGTAGTCAGAGCATCACCTTCCAATCGAAGAGAAGACTCAACGTTGGGGACGAGGAGAGGCTCTTCTTCCTCGGCATCCATAGAAGAAAAGAGATTTGGAAGATTAAAAGAAAAAAATCGAGGGAAATCCAGGAGATTGAAAGCCCTAGGGTTTTGAGTTCGGGGTAAACTTTTTGGACGTCGTTTTTTTTTCAACAATATTTTTATTTTCTAATGAAAGAATCGTGAAGAGAGAGAGAGAGAGATTGTGTCGTTCCAGAGAGGACGAAAACACTACTTAGACTCCTAGAGAGACAGCTTTTTTCTTTTAATTTTTGTTGGTGACTTCAAATGACGATTTTGTCCTAAGTTTGGTTATTTAATAACGAATCTACCCTCCTGGGCATTGCCTTTATTGGACTCCCCGCTAGAGGTGGAGGAGGTGGTTAACTAGTGATTGCGGGACCTTGATGTTGAGTGGATTTTGGGCATTTCGGATGGCCGTGATATTGAGTGCATACATTATCAAATGGACTAATGAAATGAGCTCGCTAACAAGGGAATTCTCACTGTAAAAATGGTGACAACAATCAAGCTGGAAAGGCAGTTGCTGCTCCATTCATATTCTGGCAATCTATGAACCAAGAGGCCAATGGCTGCACACACTATGCAGGCCAGACCAGTAGGACCCCTGAAAGATGGGAAACTCTTTATAAAGAACCACGTTGGGGAAAGCATTCTGCTCCTTCAAACTTGAAACAATTAGCAGGAATTTAAAACATCAAGGGAAAATCAGATTGGGGTATCCACAAGCAGGTTTTGGTAGTAATAGATCTTTTATTCCAAACAATTTCACCATGATAAATAATATATGCTTCACATTAACTCCGGCAAATTACTAAACTCCAAATCGAAGTCCATCTAGTTCCGAACCTTCAATCACAAGTAAAGCATAATACTAATAATATAAATTGCCACTGACATAAGCTGCATCATCAGTACCTCCGAGGATACCGGTCCAAATACCTCCCAGAAGGACACTCATATGCCATGTGTCCTCTTCCACCACAGTTGTGGCAGATCATCAAAGGGCCCATGCAATCCCGGCTCATATGACCAAGCTGATGGCAGTTTCGGCACACAATGTCTCGATGATCACGATAACCACCACTACGGCCACCACCACCACCTCCTCGATCTCCAATCATGTTGGCTTTTGGGCAATGCCTAGCCATATGTCCAGCTATATTGCACAAGTTGCAGATCGGATCATTTGTACAATCACGTGCCAAGTGACCTGGCCTCCTACAGTTGTTGCATGCCTTGTCATTTGTACATTCAGCTGCAATATGACCAGGCTTATAGCAGTTATTGCATAACCTTACATCCCCAGGTGGCATTGGGGGGGCAGTGCAGTCTCTGGCCCGATGTCCAGCCTTCCCACATGTATGGCAGATTCCCTCATTTGGACAGTTGCTAGCTGTGTGGCCAGGTTCACGGCAATTCCAGCATAGGGACTTGGTTGTGCATTCTGAAGCAATGTGCCTGTTCAAATAGTTCTTGCTCAGTTAGGCAGCTCCACAATTGCAAGATTCAGAAAATAAAAGTAACATAGCAGGTCCTAAAAGCTCCATCACAAAAACACCACAAGATTACTTATAAAACGAGAGATGACAAAGAATTAACAAATAGCAACTGAACTTCCAAATTAGACCTAGTTTATTTGCTTCAAGAAAATATTCCAAGAGGGAAAAGAGTTAAACAAAAGAAGTGGGGAAAAAATTTAATCCAAAGCATAAAGCACAAATCTCAGGAGCTTGATATACATGCAGCACAACACTATTTACAGAAAATTACATGTTTAAACAAAACAATAGCCTATAGCTCTTTAGACACCTTGAAAATAAAAATACCACCTAAAAGGTCAATTAAGCAAAAGAACAACAAACTCAAATTAAATCAAAAGATCTATCAGATTTAGCTTTAACTACAACAAGAGAAGAATGTTCCTTACCCAGGGAGATTACAATTGTGACAAATTGCCACATTAGGGCACTCTCTAGCATAGTGACCTGGTCGTTTGCAGTTCTTGCATAGATTGTTTTGGCTGGAATGAAAAGAGAAGCAGAGTTAATATTCCAACGATTGTTAGATCACTATTCTTTAAGGAGATTCCAGTAGACAAAATAGAGTAAATCTATATACTTAGAAAAAAGGAAAGGAAAAGTGGGCACGATATTAAGGGAAAAATTATAACATATATCCATCCAGAAGCCAGGTAATTACTTAACTTTCTGGCACATTCCATCAGAAAGCAATAAGAAAATGTGTCCATAAAAACCATGTTATAGGTTCATGTTCAGTGTGAAACTGAGGGACAAATTATCTAGAGCCAAATTATTTTCACTCAACCACCATGACTTAAAACACTTGAGAAACATGGGTTATTTTATTTGTGAAAACAACCAAGTAAATTCCCAGACAAATAGCTCAGATTGAAAATGACATGCAGACCCATGTACTTTCCTCTATGGAGTTATGACACTCAATATTCTTTAAAGATTTACATTACAATTATAGGGAGAAAGAAATTTTTTTCAAAACCATACATTAACACTTTTTTCCTCAGGCCACTTAACTAGCTGAGGAAAGAAATATAACTAAATGATTGAAAATTAGAAAACCTGAAACCCCGACGAGACTCCCTCCTGTAGGGTGCATTACGGTAAGAAAAGCGATCAGATCGGATCTTACGATCCATGGGGCTGCGGCTCCTGCTCCTGCTTCGACTCCTGCTGTCTGAACTCATGTTCAAACTTATGTTTATCAACACCTACCACCACCTCAACCAACACACTAACTGCTCCTGCCTCCTTCCTGTCCACAGCACAACCACACACCCATCATCATCCATGACCATATCAAACCTCTCACTATTCCCTCCAAAACATAAACACCAAATCCCAAGAGTAAAACATACAAACAGTCAACAAGCAATCCATCTTATCGATTTAAAACCACTCAATTCAGCACCAGCTACTTGTTAACCCCACAACTCAACCAAATTCCTCATGAAAAGTTCAACCATCTCTTGCAAATGGTCATCACCCCAGCATGCATTAGGTCCAGAAACTCGTGAACAGACATATAAACTCCAATTCACATCCATCCATCCATTCTAGACAGACAAAGTTCATTGGCCAGTATCCAAGAGATGATTAAAAGATTAAAAACAGAAAGAGAGAGAGAGCGCAATATTGTTAACTATGAAAAAAAGGGAATGGCTGATTGACAAGGAGCTTCTCCATCCACAAGGAAAACTGTTGTGGTTCAAAATAGAAAACAAGGAGAATGAAGAGAACACATAAGATAGCAAAATGCAATTGGAAACATGCTCCTAATTTCTCTCTGAGACTTTCAAATTTAATTGTAACAATATACTTGAAAAGCGATACAACAACTAAGAATTTTCAGAGGATAATTGGAACCTCTAGGTGGTTGGAAAAAAAGTCAGTGAATTAGTTTGCATAGGAAGATATATTCTGTATTAAAACCATATTAAAAACTATTAAATGCATTTAGTAACCTCTGGTGAATGCCTCCTCATTTACCTTATCCTGTGAAATTGTTTGTCACCTGGACTCCTTTTCCTTCCCCAAAAGGACTCCAAACCCAGCAACAAATGCCCTCTTATCAAATCTCAATATACAATATGAGTAGCAGTGACAATTGACAAATTCTTAATACCAACCACTTTAAATAAGTACCTCAGTAACATCCTACATTTTGTAAGTTGCACGCAGTCCCATACACATCAAATCACCTCCCCATTTCCCCCACATTCATAACATTAGCAAACACCACGATTCAGGCATACATGTCATCACATTCAACCCCCAAAAAAAATCAACTATACTTGGAACCTTACAAAAACAAAACCCAACAAACTCTTTAAAAATATGAGAAACCAAATAAAAGAAACAACAAATACAAGTCCATTTACAAATTAATGGAAAAAATAACACTTTTAGAGTTTAACCTGCTCCAACAGCAATAAGAGTGACGCAGCGAGCCAAGCATTTGTTTCCCTCTCTATTTCACAAGTTTGCTCTCTAATTTCCTTTTCTTCTTTAATTTCATGTTCTTCGAGTTACATGCAAATAATACTAATAATAATGGTAACACATTATTATAGAAACAAAAACTCAAACCTCCAAAAGCAATGATTTAACACAAAACTTAAGATAAAACTTAATTTCACATTTCAAAGGCAAACTAACGACTAACCCCTAATTAACAGATTCAGAACAGAAATTAATCGAAACTGAAAAAAAAAAGACGAGAAAAAAACCCTAACCCTAGCAGAAGGAACAAAATCGAAATCGAAGGAATATAAAAAGGAACAAACCTGAATCTACTGCGCGAATTGTACACGTTCTGTAAGGTTACGGTCGAGAAGGAAGATGCATAAAAAAAAAAAAAGTTCAGACTCAAACTGTACGGACCACCCGCAAAATTTGTTTATCGCATGAGGAGTGGATTAGGAGGAGAAAGCTAATTAATCGCGCGTTTTGAAGCGAAGGGTAAAGTCATGTGATATTCTTGTAAGTTCACTTATGAAGTTAAAAAATTTTAATCTAATCAAATAATGGTTAATAAAATAGGGTGAATGTTACTTATTATACAAAATGATGATTTAATGTGTTGAAAATCGGCACATAATAATATTTCAATCATTTATAAATAATAGTACATTGGATACTCCTACATTAAATTATGAGGTTGAATGAATTTATATTTAAATTAATTGATTTATATAATTATTTTTAAAATATGATACTTTATAAATTTAGATTCCAATTCATTCAATTGCAATCTCTTTTTATAAAATTAAATTTGAATTTGAATAAAAATTTATAAAGAATCATATTTAAAATTTATAAAGTATAAATATAAATTGTAATTTTGAATGATAAAGAATTTGATTTTTTAAAATAAAATTTTAAATTTAAATTTTGTGAATAAAAAAATAAATTTAAATAAATTTATCTTTTTTTATGAGATTTAATTTAATTCAATTTTTAAATTAATTGAAACTTAAAATAATTTTTAAATATTAAAAAATCCTACACTGAAAGAAAAATAGTTAAGTTTCATATTCATTTTCATATTTTATAACATCAGTACATCACCGTTGAATTAAAAATGGTTCCTTTTTTTTTTTTACTTTCTATATTTCACACCGACCAAAGATCCCCCCGGCCCTCAAGGCTTCCAGCGAAAAACCAAGACGTTGATTCGTCAAAAGCAGCAACTGCCCAGAGGGAAGCATTTGGAGATGAAGAGTTCTCGGTCTTTGTAATCTATTAAGTTTAAATCAATTAAGTATTAAATTTAATTTAAATTTAAATTTAATTAATTTTTTAATTTAAATTTGATTCAAAATAAAAATTAAATTACTTAAATTCATTTTATTAAATTTAATTAATATATAAAAATAAATTTAATTTTTATATTTAATAAAAATTTAATTTTTTTCGAATAGATATATTTTATTAATTAAAATAATTAAAATAAAAAATTTAATTAAATTTATAAATTATTCGAATTCAAATTTAATTTAATAATAATTAATTTAAATTTAAATTTAAATAATTTATAAATATTCATATATCATTTTATACTATATGACCCTTATAATTGGGCATATTGGCAAGAGAACGTTTATAGTGCACAGACCTCACTTATCTCTATGGAGGCCCGATTGGTGGTCTAAGCCTTAACTTTAGATAGGATAATGGGCTTGGTTTTTAACTATTAACTCGGATTACTCAGATTTTGTTTTAGATTTTATAAAAAATATAATTACTTTAATTTGCATTTTTTTTCTTAACAAATTTTCTAATTTTTTGGTAAAAAAAATTTTGAAAGTAGATAAATTATTTAATTTTTTATGATAAAATAAAATATATCGTATTTGATAATTTAAAATAAATGATTATAAATCATACATTCAATATTATCTCAATAAATAATCATTAATAAAAATCGAATTTAATAATTTTTTATTAAAAAAATAAATCTTAATCAATTAAATCATTCACTTATTGATAATAAATTTTAAATTGATCTAATTTTTGATGGGCAAATGACTCTTCGTTTGTAAATTACAACTACCCCATCCACATTATGTACTGCACAAAATTGATGAGGTTGGTGCCGATTTGCCCGACTGATGTGATGATCTGTTACACTATTACATATCAAAAGTGTTTGAAGTCAACTGGCTGATAAAGGCATCCATACAGCTCAACAAATCATAACCTCAAGAGAAGGGTAAAGAACAGCTAGCTGAAAACAGTTAGAATAAGCCAATAATGGATTCCCTTGCTTCAGGCAATGGCAAACGCACCCGCCCCCACCCAAAAGAAGTAAATAACTACGGCAGACAAAGCTGGATAAAGTTTCAAAGCACCAGTAATCTATACTGTAGATTATAATGGTATGATATTTTCATATCAAGAAATACATAAGATTTTTTTTTATCAACTTGTTATTACTAATAATCCAATATGCAAAACAAAAAATTCAAAATAAATATAATATTATTATTTTTGCTTGAAATTGTTAATATTTTAAATTTTATTAATTTAAACAAAATTTTAATATTTTATCTACGGATGATGTTACTGTTGACCATACTGCTTTTTATTCATAATCTCCTATTCATTAAATTTTTGTTGTGTCTAATTATTCTCAATTATGATCTATCCAGAGTCCGCTAGCTTACAAATTACTTGAAATGTAAAAAAAATGGCAGGCACAAAGCACCAGCACCGCCTCTTTTCTACGTCTTTGTCCTGTCCTCTACATTCTTGGGAATGCCCACTTGCCTATCAAATTTCAGGGACATACTTGAAATTTTTTCTCTTTTATAAACGGTGCTTGGTTCCACGTTCAATCCATTGTCGTCTACGCCACACAAAGATACCCCTAAGCTATGTGTTGGTTGCTTTTGGATTTTTCTTTTTTTTTTCTTGAAAAGTTAGGTTTTTCTTGTTTGAATCTTTAATTTTAAATGCAAGTGTATAAAAAAAAAAAAAGAAAGCTTAAATTTACAGTACAAATAATAATTGAAATTGCCATAAGTTAAAAAAAAAAAATGAAGGGGCAAGGTTTAACAAAAGTTGGAATTTTATATTTTTATGGTATGATATTAAATTACAAGACTAATAACATATATAAGGCAAATCCCAATGATTTTGGGCAAAAAAAAAAATACATACTATTAAATTTTTCAAAATTTTTAATAGTCTTGAGAGTTCTGATTTATTTATCAATTTTGCAATTTATTATGAGTTACCATTTGTATTTATAATTGTGTGATAACTCCCACGGAAATAAAACTCTAGTTTTGATTTTAAAATAGATTGGAGTTTAAAAATTCCCTTAACAACATTGTTAAGTTAGATAAATCAAAGGTTAATTAATTAAATTAAAAAAATCAGAATTTAAATTTTGATTCTAAATCAATTTAAAATTCAAATTGTCCAGTTATCTAGGTAAATAAACAGCCTAATTTCTTATAGTTATATCATGTGATTTATATTTATTTTAAACAATTATTAATTGTTTCCTTAATTATCACAATTTCTTATAATTTTCGAAGAAAAGTCTTGAAAAAGATGTTGGTGACTGCAACATGGTGGAGCCACTAAACTAGGCATTGAAACTGTTCCACTTCAAGAACCGTTAAACGTTCGAGTGTTACAGACATCCTTCAAACTGAGAGTAGAACAAATAGCAAACCCTGGCTGTTTCCGTTTCAGCATCTTCACTATTTTTTAACAATTCAATGAACAAAGGGACCCACAACAAAACGACCCTCACCCTCCCCAGCCTTTTTGGTTTATAATACAAGCAAATTGTTCCCTACTCACGTTTTGTGATGCATGTGAAGTTCACTGACAAAAGCCCAAATCAGTGTCGGCGCTTTTCCGCTTTCCCCTCACCCACGCTCTGAACAAAACTTTCACTCTCCGTCGTGACTCGTCCCCTAATCTATAATGCATTTCCCAATACAAAAAACCAGCCGAAAGGGATGAACCACGGCACTGAGACCGAGTGACCGCCCCCAAAGCCATGAAACTTTCGCTTTTTCTTTTCGTTTTCCTTCCTTTTTTTCCAGGATTCTGCCCTTTGGTTCAATCCAGCTACCATGACTACTCTGACGCATTGTCGAAATCGATTCTGTTTTTTGAGGGGCAGCGTTCGGGTTTTCTGCCACAAAACCGACGTATTGGATGGAGGGGAAATTCAGGATTGAGTGATGGGTGGATGTATAACACGGACTTAACCGGCGGATACTACGACGCGGGTGACAATGTTAAGTTCGGGTTCCCTATGGCTTTCACGACAACAATGTTGGCCTGGAGTGTGATTGAGTTTGGAGATTTAATGCCGCCGAACGAGCTGAGAAATGCACTGGTGGCGATTCGTTGGGCTACTGATTATTTGCTGAAAACTGTCTCTCAGCCTAACCGGATTTTCGTTCAGGTAGTATTAATTAGCAAATTTATTGTTACTTTTATTGTACTGCTCTACCAGTAGCAGTGGCTTGTCATTTCTGGATTGGTGAGGGCAATTTGGAAACTTCAGTCATTGCTGTTGGCTGGCTTTCCTTTCAGTTGAACTAATCCGTGACTGCGTAAAAACGTGGCTAGTGTCTCTTATCCATGGCTGTCGTTTACTAACCAATTTTTGACCCGGAAATCTTACTTTTCATTCTTGGGATGCGCATTGGCAGAATCCACCTGCTCTTGAAATCTCAGATGGAGCTGGTAATATTTGTAGAAATGAAAATGAACCCAAAGTGTAGTTTGGTCAATGAATAGTAATCTACTAATCCATTAACCCAAATCCATGGTATTAGATCCAACACTTCCCCTCTCTTGCAATAAAAGAATCTATAAACTTTTTTTTTTTGTTTCTTTACTGTCTTAAGTCAGCTTTCACTTAAATCAAAATATTGAAAGTAACAGGGCATGTTTGTTTACTTGTTAATACAAAAACTAATGTTTATTTTTATAGTATTACGGATGTAACAAAGGTTTTTGATGCTTGTTGGTGTGGTCACGTGCGTGACTATTTTGTGATTAAGAACCTCATTAAAATTAAATAAATTTCAGCTTCTTTAACATGGAGGCTGAGGTGGGGTGGACCAATTTTCTCTTCTAGTAAACTAATGACGATGTAAAGCTGGAATCTGGACCATATATGTATTTCCCTTTTCTTCGAAAGTCTTTAAAATGCATGGTTCAAGTTTCGTCCTTTCTGATCGTATAGATAGGATATGTTTCTGCGCCTTTTTTGATCTCCCACGCGCTGATTTTGCACGTAATGTTACTAAATGCCCGTAGTTTTAGTTATTGTTTGGCATTGATATGATTTTTATGGATTTGGCATTTAGGTTGGGGATCCAAATGTAGACCATAGCTGTTGGGAAAGACCTGAGGATATGGACACGGCCAGGACTGTTTACGCCGTGGATGCACCAAACCCTGCTTCTGATGTGGCCGGTGAGACGGCAGCCGCCCTGGCAGCTTCATCCATGGCATTCAGATCAGTAGACCCAGGATATGCCGAGACATTGTTAAGGAATGCTGTTCAGGTTTTCCAATTTGCTGATAATTTTAGAGGTGCTTATAGTGACAATTCCAATATTAAAGACGGCGCCTGCCCATTTTACTGTGATTTTAGCGGATATCAAGTAAGTAAATATTAGGATAGAAAATAGAAATGGCTTAAAAATACTCAAGTTGGTATAATTTACTTTGATTGGGTTTCTTTCTTTTTTTGGGTTAGGACGAATTGCTTTGGGGAGCAGCCTGGTTAAGGAGGGCATCTGAAGACAACTCTTATCTTAGTTACATAGAAAACAATGGCAAAACGCTTGGTGCTGAAGACAATATTAATGAATTCGGATGGGACAACAAGCATGCTGGTTTAAACGTTCTTGTCTCCAAGGTCAAGCCTCGTTTAATTTCTTACATCTCCCAAGCATGTAATCAGTTATACTTTTCTGATATTGACTTTGGTCCCCTGTGTTTCAGGAAGTGTTGGAAGGAAATATGTACTCTCTTCAATCATACAAATACTCAGCTGATAGCTTCATGTGCACATTAATCCCCGATTCATCTTCATCCCACATTGAGTATACCCCTGGTGGCCTCATCTACAAGCCTGGAGGCAGCAATTTGCAACATGCAACAACAATTTCATTCCTCCTCCTCGTCTATGCTAAATACCTTGATCGCACTTCACAAACAGTTAACTGTGGGAACATAATCGTTGCTCCCATTTCTCTTCGGATGCAGGCAAAGAAGCAAGTTGATTACATTCTAGGTGATAATCCAATGGGATTATCATATATGGTTGGTTATAGCAACTATTTCCCCCAACGGATTCATCATCGTGGCTCATCTTTACCGTCGGTAATTGATCATCCTGAATTTATTGCTTGCAAGGAGGGTTCCATTTATTTTAATTCAACGAATCCTAATCCAAATGTTTTAGTTGGTGCTATAGTGGGAGGGCCTGGAGAAGATGATGTTTATGGCGACGATAGAGCTGATTTTAGGAAATCAGAGCCAACGACCTACATCAATGCACCATTTGTTGGTGCATTAGCCTATTTTGCAGCTTATCCCAATCCTAGTTAGCACCAAAACCAACTAGATTTTGTACATATTCAGTGATTTTTTTTTCTTTGGGTGGGGATTTTGATTTTAGGAAAAGGTGTCTCTAATCTTGAGTGAAGCAAAAGAGGGAAGAGGCCAATTCATGAAAATTTTTAAAAATATTTAATCACAAGAACTACTTGTGACTTTCAAGAAAGAAAGGGAATTAAAAAGCTTTTTTCTAAAGGTGTAAAATCCCAACATATACTGCCTTTAAATTTGATGAGTGAAAATGCCATTGCCAACCCTACTCCGAGTAGTGTTTTTTCATTTATTAATTTTCAATTAACTGTGACAGGATATGTTTACATGAGGAATCTAATGAACCAACACTCTTCCCTTTCCTACAGAAGTTGGAACATTGATTTTTATGTATCACCTACCATAATTTATGTGCAATTATCCCCATCCTCCCCGTACATTTTTTTTCCCGCTAGTCACCTACCTTATTAAATGGTCTCACGGTCATCTTCACCGGCGGCAACAACACCGTGGGTCCATTTTCTACGGCAGAGTCTTACTTTCCTCATTATTATCTCACTTTTTTTGGTGGCTTAGATTAATTATGGACCGCTCTCACACGTGGTGGTGTCGAAACACCTGTGATAATCTAACCTAAGTTTGTCATATATGACCGTAGTGCCAATTTTTCAATAATCTGATATGTTGGTAGGTCATGATTTTAGAAATGCCTTGTTTTTTTTTTTTGGTAAACATTGTCTTGTATATATGAATATTCCGAGCCAAGAATTTGTTTTAGCGACAAGTTGCAATTATTTTTCGTGGGTTTAGTTAAAGTTGAAAATTGTTGACTCTATTTAGTAATATGCAAATGAAACATTCTTGGTTCCATTCATATATAAAGTTTAGCTGTTAATTGAATTTGGGGTTTATTAAATTAATTTACATAATTACCTTAAGAGGTCGAATTACATGTGATGATCTTGTGTAAATATATAATAATGACTAATGACATGTTTGCATGTAGAATCACAAGGGACACACAGCTTGCCGCTCAGAGAATATTAAATCACATGCTATTTTGAATATTTATATAATCACAACCTTTTTATTTTCGTACATAAAATGATGGTTTCATCCCCAATCCCCTATCTAGTGGACAAAAAAAAAATGATGGTCATGTGAAGTAAATTTATATATATGCTTGATTATTAAACAATAAAATAATATTATATATTTTTTATAAAAAAATCATAATTTGTAAATAAAAAAAAAAGAAATACATGTGTTAGAGATTTGATTTTAGTCTTATTAAATATTATTCTTTAAGAGTAGTTGTATCAATTAAATTAAATTAAATTGAATTTTGAGGTCAAATAATTATATTAATTTTGAGAATTTTCTTTTCAACAAAGTGAAAGCAAATAACTAATTAAAGACTAGAAAGATTTAAAGGATGTTGATGGAGAATTGAAGAGGATAATATAATGTTTAAGAATGAAAAAGAACGCAATTTACGTGATAGGGACTTCCTCTCTGTGGCCTACACCCTGTTTATAAATTTACAATGGCAAAGTTAAAGCCCAACCACTAAACTTTAGCCTCTGCGGTTGGACTTTTATCCGGTTGATTAGGTAGGGCTCAAGCTGGTTTTTTTTTTTTTTTTTTCTCCTCCTTTTTACGCCAATTCAAAAGCATCCAATTAAGAAATTTTCAAGTGCAAAATTGAATTTAAATTCATATTTGAAAATATCCATTTACCTGAGTTTGCAATTAAGGTGAAAATAGTTTTTTATTATAGTTTTAAATAGGGAAAGTGAAATTTATCATTATATTATGACTCAATATTAAATTTTGTTGATTTTCAATAAAAATTAATGAAATTGATATATTTAATAGAATATTCCATTAATGCAAATGATAATTTTTGTTACTGTACTATTAGTGTTTGTTAATTTTTAGACAATAAATAATGAAAATGAAATGTTTATAGCAATCTTTGGTTAATGAAAATGGTAAATTTCGATTAATTTAATTATTTTTTATTCATATATTAACTAAATTAAGCTAAAAATAAAATAAGTGAAATGAAAATTTAACACAGTCAAAAATTAAAGATTTAAAGTATTTGAAATAATTAGTTACCGGCAACTTCCGTTGTAGTCTAGTTGGTTAGGATACTCGGCTCTCACTCGAGAGACCCGGGTTCAAGTCCCGGCAACGGAAATCGAAGAATCATATCGGTTCCGTTTTTTACAGCCGAAGCCTTTGAGACTTGAGAGCTGGTTATTCCTTGACACGTTGCCTTGTTTGAACGTCACGTTAGTCCATTCCCTCAAATTCAAGTCTTCTTCGGTTCTTCTCCAAGTCTAGAATAGAAAGGTGCCCTACTTTTCTTATTCTGCAAAATAGGGTTTACAGTTTTCAAAATAATTTCAATTTGGTATGTATATTTCTCGCTCTTTGTAAAGTTTTCCTACTTTGTTTTACCATTTCATCGAAGTTTTGAAATTGGAATTTTCATGTATGGCTTTAGAACTCTTTATCTTTATTTTATCTTCGATTTTGATAAACCAAAAAAGTTTGTATTCGTATGGAAAAAATTCGTTGAAGTTTATTATTTGATATATGGAATCGTTTAAAGTTCTTGCTGTTATAGTGATTTATTTGATCGTCAATTTATAAATCAGTTTTAATCTTTTTGTTTTAATTTCAACATTACATCAATTTTATTCAAGGTATAGTAGTGGCTGATGTGAGAAGTTGCTTGATTAGTATAACTTCTGCTCCTAGATATAGTTATTTGAATCATGCCTTTTGTTCTTGGACAAAATGGGAAAAAAAAAAAAAAAAGCTTTTTGGTTGAACTTGTGTTGTTCTGATGAGGGCATTATTGTCATTCCGAATTCTATTCCCTTGGATCAGGGATGGATACTATTTGGGGTTGTTTAGAGAAATTTGCTGCACTGTTTTATAATTTGCTAGTTTGAGTAGTTGAAATCAAACTTAAAACTTCAGATTGCAATATTGAAAAGGTGTTTGTGCCACCTTTCTTAGTTGAACTGGATTATTTTTTATTCTTAAATTGTTTATCTGGTGAATGGTTATATGAAAATTTATAGAGGGGAATCGGATGAGTACATTTATACTGATGCCTATTTTTATTCTGGGAGTATCTTAACCAAATAATAATATTACCTGGTTGTTTTATGCGGTTTGTCTTGTGTAAAATTCAACATTTGCAGAGTGAAAGCATCATAGTTGTTCGACTTTGCTCCTGAATCAAGTATGTTTGGTTTGATGAAGTTTTTCAATGTGTAAACCTGTGTTTTCTTCCTGTTACTGACATTGTTTATTGTAAACTTTGTAGCAATGGATGTAGAAGATGACACAAGGGACGGCTCTGTTTCTTCTGTTATTCTTGAATCTTTGGAATCTATCTGGGAGGGAGATAAGCTTTCTGATGAAGATTTGGCTTGGGTTAATTCTTGCCTGGTTACAGATAATGAAATTGTGGAAAGTAATTGGACTTCTTTCAAAGATGTTTTGCTGGAGATCATTGGTGACCAATCTGAGTCACTTGATTCTTCTGCAACTGGAAGCAATGGTTTTTCTGGGGCAACTGAAATCAGGATAGTTCCTTCCATTGAGGAAGCAGATGCTACCAATTACTCAGGAAGAACCGATGACTATCCTGTCGTCGTTCCAATTAATGGAGACACTGAAACAAACACCAATAATATTCCCATCAAAAAGAGGACTGGTATTCTGTCACAATTTTTTCAGGAAGATCCCACTGAAACATTTCAGGGAAATCCTTTCCTGCCTACCTACAATGAGGATGAGAGAAAGGATGAAGCTGTTGATTTAGGACTTCAATTGAGTTTGTCTGCAGATGAAATGAATTCATCAACTGTGGATATCTTCAAGGTGTGGGATTTGGACATTCCAGCTGAGGAAGGTGATCTTATTAAACAGTTGAACAAGGCTGTTGCAGAGACAGAGACTGCCTTTCAATCAACGCCATTGGCTTTTGATGATTCAACAGCATGGAAAGACTTGAAAGATGAACCGCTAGATAATTTAATTGCTGGCATTGCAGATCTATCTTTAAATACTAAAAGTTTTAGTTAATTTGTCAGTCCATATTAGAATTTAGGCACATACATAATGTAGATTTGTTGCATTGCCAAGATCTATGTTGCTGTGATCTTATGACATCAACAATGAGGTAACAGGTCTTTGAAATTTTTAGTTGTAGTAATCAGGACTCAATCTCTTGAGTGTCTTATTAAAAAATATCGAGCTTTGGCTCTAATGTGTCCCGAGGGGCCATATTGCTAATGGTTCGCAGTCACCATAGCAAAACAATGATTTTTGGTGAATCTTAACCACAGATCATATGTTTTTTCACATCTGCCATGTCTAGCACGCCAGATGATGGGGTCAACAAAATCAAATGACTTGGGACAGATCATATTCTCCATGGTCAACATGGCTAGAAAAATCTCATGGACCGGATGACTTGGCATTCTGTCAGTCGTCCGGGGTTAACTCACAACTTCATCAGAACCCTAGACTTAAACCATGGCCATTAATCTGAACAAAATTAGAACCTCATGTTTGTTTTCCGGAGAAATCTCTCAAACAGCTCCAAGTTGGACAGTACTACATAGTGAATACGATGCATTTGTCTATACCCTTGATGACATTAGAAGAAGAAAAAAAAATCTTGGTTTTTCAAAACCCTATTTATATTTCAAATAATTTTTACGAGGCGAGTATAAAACCGTCCATACCAACCACGCATGCAGCTTGCCAAGTGTGCAAAATTATCATGCACATGGCACGACGACATTGGTCGACGCATGACAGCCTCAAATGTGACATCTTATGACAATAGACAACACATCTATAAATCCTGTGAGTGAGACTTGCATGTGTGGTAAAGGAAGACCAAGATTGAGGAGATAAGATTATAGTGAAAAAGCCGTTATAGCCTGCTCCAGCAGCTTCAGCGGTTAGCCTCTTTCTCTCTCAAAGCCAAAGAAAGGAGATAAAAAAATGGCATCAGCTTCGGCAACTCTCCTCAAGTCTTCACCTATCTATGACAAATCTGAGTGGGTTAAGGGCCAAAACCTCCGCCAGCCTTCAGTGTCTTTTGTCAGGTGCCACCCCACTTCCTCATCAGCCTTCACCGTCCGAGCTAGCTCCTATGCTGATGAGCTTGTTAAGACCGCAGTATGTACTAAATGCTAGTCCACTTTTCTTATAAAAATCTCGTGATTTTAGAAATAGAAGTAGAATTAATCTAGTCTTGAACCATCTTTTATGTATTAGCTTAGCCTAGTCATAAGTGAAACTCCTTACTTTATCTAGTCAGACAATTCAGATTACTAAAAGGAATACAAGTCATTGCATGCTCATATTGAAGAGTTTGCCAGTAAAATTTAAGTAATCTATGAAATTTTCAGAGGCTTCGATCATCTTCAATTTATCGATTAGATTGTATTGGTACGTTGTGAATGAGTCTGAACTATGTAGTTAAGACGCCATTTGACGTGGGTTTTTTTTTGTTCTTTTTCTTTGGATGTAGAAAACCATTGCATCCCCGGGCCGTGGTATTTTGGCCATGGATGAATCAAATGCTACATGTGGGAAGCGACTTGCCTCAATTGGTCTAGAGAACACTGAGGCTAACCGCCAAGCATACCGTACCCTTCTTGTGTCAGCCCCTGGCCTTGGCGAGTACATCTCTGGAGCTATACTTTTCGAGGAGACTCTCTACCAATCTACCACCGATGGAAAAAAGATGGTTGATGTTCTTGTTGAGCAAAAAATTGTCCCCGGTATCAAAGTTGATAAGGTAAAGCCAATAATAATTAACCATATAGTATCCACACATGCATACATATTTTCAAGGTGGCAATAAAATCTGTTTGATCAGAATTATACTAACACATGAAATTCAATGATGATAAAAACAGGGTTTGGTGCCCCTCCCTGGTTCCAACAACGAGTCCTGGTGCCAAGGTCTTGATGGTCTTTCCTCCCGCACAGCTGCCTACTACCAGCAGGGTGCTCGTTTCGCCAAATGGTATGACCATGTTTGATAAATACTCACTCATAAGATAGTGAAGAAATAGCATTCTTATATAACACTAGCTCTTTTTGATTAACCAGGCGTACTGTTGTGAGCATTCCCAATGGTCCATCTGCCTTGGCAGTCAAAGAAGCAGCTTGGGGTCTTGCCCGATATGCTGTAATTTCTCAAGTAAGTTAAGAAAGCAGCAATTATTTTGCATATGCTGCTTGTTATTTTCTCTACCACAGTCTGTTCGTGGATTGTTGCTAAAAAAATTTTGTTGCTTTCTGTTACAGGATAGTGGATTGGTCCCAATTGTGGAGCCAGAAATCTTGCTCGATGGTGAACATGGAATTGACAGGACTTTCGAAGTAGCCCAGAAGGTTTGGGCTGAGGTTTTCTTCTACCTTGCTGAGAACAATGTCATGTTTGAGGGTATCCTCCTCAAGCCCAGCATGGTCACTCCTGGTGCTGAATGCAAAGACAAGGCCACCCCTCAGCAAGTTGCTGACTACACCCTCAAGCTCCTTCAGAGGAGAATCCCCCCAGCCGTACCCGGAATCATGGTACATTTCTGTACAAACATTGTTGATCTCAGAATTGCTTGTGTAAATTGGTGAATCTAGTACTAATCGTTGAACCATTTCTGTTGAGCAGTTCTTGTCTGGTGGGCAATCTGAGGTTGAAGCAACCCTCAACTTGAACGCAATGAACCAATCTCCCAACCCATGGCACATCTCGTTCTCTTACGCCAGAGCTCTCCAGAACACTTGCTTGAAGACATGGGGAGGCAGACCCGAGAACGTTAAGGCTGCTCAAGATACACTTCTTGTCCGTGCCAAGGCCAACTCACTAGCTCAGCTCGGCAAATATGCTGGTGAAGGAGAATCAGAGGAGGCCAAGAAAGGAATGTTTGTCAAAGGCTACGTGTACTAAGAAGCTGCAAACAAAACTACAGATGAGATTCTGAAGATTGAAGATGATATTTTGATGGAGATATCTGGATATGGATTCTCTCTCAATGTGTTAATGCTTTATAGCCCTGGAGACTATTTTTGCACCTGATTACAATGTACCTTTAGCCACTTAATAAACTTCTTGTTAATGAGATTAGTTTGTGTGTACTCAAGTATGCATCATCACATACTAAAATGCTTGAATCTGCATTTTGCACTATAATTCGGTCAACTCTAATTAATTTTTGAATTATAATTTCTCAATCCTGATGCTGCTGTTCAAATACTGTTTTGTATAGTTATATAGATCATGCCTGCCCACTTCTATTGTCTTTAAGAGTTAGTACCGAGTCAAGTAAGAGTTAAAGAAGAAATTGCCCAGTTTCCATCTCTACACGTTAGAATATGCTTGATGAATTGAACTGAAGATGTTTAACTTACACTTTGCTTCTCATATTATTGTTATGTCTAAAATCAATTTAACTAGTAAGCAAAAACTATAGTCAAACATTTTCAGCCGCTATTGTGTGGCGAAAATAGAACTACTCCAGAATGAAATTGAACCAATTGTACAATGGATGCCATTTTCAGTTGCCACAGCTTGTTCAGCTTTTCATCCCCAAGATCCCAACGCAAAGAATTCACAAGAAGCATAATATTATGAATTTACCTGTCAAAGTGAACATTTTCCCCCTCAGTTATTCGTATATTTTTCACTTAAAATTTGATGTCAACTTGTCTTTCTGATCACCAGCAACAATGTTCAAGAAATTTAATCGCACGAAGATGTATACTTGGCACTGAAACAAATATAAATGTCACAACTTCACTACTACGGTTAGGCAAGAATATTGATTTTGATGCATGATAAAAATTATCTTCAACAGTTCTCATTTTTGTATATAGAATGGAATAGGCAGACCCTAATCTGACAGTAATCACATGACAACCCCTTGACTCAGTAAATACATAGATGTGAGAGAACCCATCCAGCAATATCTGCAGCCCAAAAAAAAAAAAAGTGATTGACAGTGTTATTTGATCAATTTCAAAGAATCATTATCGGCAGAGTCGAAAGAAGGGTTTGAGTGTGCATATTTGGAGGGAAATGGCAGGGAGCCACCGTAGGAGAACTACAAACAATTGCTACTTGGTTAAACAACTATATTTTCCAGTTGTTTTATATTTTATTCTAACCAAAACCAGAACCTCTACCATAGACCGTAGTCAAAGCAAATATCCCGAGAAAATGAGATGGTAAACATGGCTGTCGAGTAATTTTATAAGAAAATCTCAGACATGATGGCAACAAAACTTGAGATGTAAAAGTGTACCAATGCATGGAAGATTTTGATTGAGAGCTACATCCCAACCAACAAATTTCTAAGAAGAGAAGTTATGTAGACAGGGAAATTTCATCAAAAACAAAGGAACTATCAATTGCAGTTACAAAACATTATTGCTTTTTCAACCAAAATTTGTCCTTGCCAATGATAAATAACAGTAGTACAACTTTTGTAGACCTCTGTCACTACCCTATTAGTATTGTTTTACTCATGCCTAAAATAAGAGAGACAATCAATGAGATAGGTAGGCAAGCAGAAGCCAACATGTTACCGTCATTTTTGTTCAAAAGTTATTTAACTGTCTTATCATGCAAGAAGGTTGCTTGCATTGGACACCATTTCTTTTGAAGATATTAGCACAACTTACCCCCAAGACTATAGCCTAGACCTTCTTACTCTATGGTTCATAATTTTCATATACAGGTAAATGTCAATCCTTTTGTTTCTCATGCGATTATAGGAGTCAGGAACTGCTCAATGGGTCAAGCTCTACTCTGAAAAACCTGACAAGCCTAAACACCAAGGTCAACTTTATCAACTTGAATAGAAAAGAAGTTTCTTTGTTTTTGTTGCTTACAGGGAATGCCAACCTATATTGACTTCACTGCATGAAGTCTCCAACTTTCTGTCATTCTATTTCAGTGTTAGTAAATAGTAATCTGTATTATTCATGTTCTAGTAGCATCAGTGGGAAAGGACAAATTTTATATCCTGGTGGCAGACTGGCACTTGTTCATATGCAACTTCACCTTCAAGAGATTATGCAATATCCCAAGACAAATGCTCAGGATACGAGCAAAGAATCGATATGTTTCTAAATTATTAATGTATTGTGATTCTACAATACCTTACAATGGTACTGGCAATAATCCATCACAAAATAACCAGATAACCAAGCCCAACTTCCCACTAGGGGAAAGCTAAAGCTAGAATCTAGAATCTAGAATCTAGAATCTAGAATCTAGAATCCAGATTTCAACCCAAACATATGGGCTATAGCACTATGAACAAGACCCACTTTCACAGAAACAGTGCAAGATCTACACCACAATGAGTAGGACATACATGCAGACAAGGATAAAAACCAAAAACATAGAATATCAACCACGTATTTCAATCTGCAACCCAGTAGCAGTAAAGAGTACATGCTAACTTTGTCAAACTTGACAATAGTGAAGGAAATTCCCTTTCTCAGTTCAAAGTTCACATGTAGTTGACAATTCCTTATTTCATTCAGAATAACTCTGATGTCTGATCCCGAATAGACAAACAAATTATGACAAGAAAATGTAACCACAAGTTGTTTTAGAGACACATTCTTTGTCTTTCTTCAGGTCAATTACATCTCATCAAAAGAACAGAATGAGCTCTCAGGCAATAATAACCAGTGTCTTGAGCAATAGCCTTTGTCACGTGAGAGGAAGCCAACCTGCTTGGGCATTGCTATTTGTTATTTTTGCACACTTTATTAACTTTAGATCACACATATTCAAATATGTAACGAGCACACATAATAAAGATCAAGAAATGCACACAAAACAGAAAAATCTCATAACCAAATGTTAGCAATGCTCTTAAAGAAGTGAGCATGAGTCGGGGATAATAGTTATACCAACCTCAGTTTTCAGGCTCTCTTTCGAAGGATCCAACAGGGACCACACTTGCAGAGTCATGATTATTGCCACTCGAAACATCCATGGCTTGCTCCTTAAACATGAAGCAGTCACTACATTAATTAGGTTTAAAAAAGCATCCAACCACATTGCTTAACATTTAAGGTTAAGACTTAAAAACAAAAATGCAAGCAAAAAAAGGACAGAACTTTGGAAAGAATGAGACCTGATTGGTTGAAGCTTGCCCATGCATCCTTTGGGGCTTGGCATTTAGATCAATCAATTTATTCCCCACTTTTCCATCCCCATCAGCATTACCATCAAGCACTGGAACAGGAGAGACTCTATGATTTTGCCGGTTCTCTCTCACCGCAAGCTTAGGTTGCTGATTCTGATCCTTCCTTACTTCATTTTCATCATGTGGTTGCAACCCCAGTTCCTCCAAACGACCAGGCTTATCCCCTGGAAACTACAGCAGAGGGAAAGAACTTTAGCAGGCTATCTAAATATAATAAAAAGATAAAATCCTGTCTACCAAAGAGTCACAAACCTCAACTCTTTGCCTCAACAAGAGATATCTCTCATGGGTCCTTTTGCCTCCAACATGTACAATCATATCACATTGCAGGCAAAGGGAACTACCATCTACTTCACAGTAAAAAAAAGCTGCATACAAAATCAACAAATGAACAAATTTCCAAAAAGCAAAAATAAAATAAAAATCGGAACAATTATACTATTAAAAAAGAAAAAAAAAAATCATACCAGGTGCATTTTCACATATATCACAGCGTGGAACATCGCTGGGGTCCGCTAACCCAACTCTCACATGTCTACTTGCAAGCTTGTTACACATGTGAACCTGAAAACTCCCAATAAAGCTTCCTTATTGATTTAATTTAACAAAATATAAAAGAAAATTCACAAATATTCATAAAATACAACCACAGCAATCATAATTCATCAAGCAATAAACAGACTTCCCATATGCAATGGAGTGCGATTTACGGATCAGATTTTGCCCTTTTTAACTATAAAGACGATTTCAATAATTTCAATTTCAAAGCTCAACGTCGATTTTGAGAGCACCTTAAAAGATTATATGGGTATGGTATATGCAGAGTTTCAAGTCAAGTTCAAGTAAATCAAACTCTGCGTACATCAAGTATCGTATACGCATACGTAGACGTGCATAAGTAAACAGAGATTAATTAATAGAAATAGTAATAGTAATGAAAATAAAGAGACCTTTTCGTCGCAGGAGCGGCAAAGAGCGGCCTCGTCGGCGGCGCAGAAAAGGATCGCGGCGGCGCTCTCGCAGACGTCACAAAGCGTTCGCATTCTAGTTTATCTGTTTTCTTTTCCGTTTACTCCTCCTTTCTTCTCTTCGACGGCATTCTTCAACGGAGCGAAAAACACTTCATCAGAATTTCCAAACAGGAATTCAACGATTCAACAAATGATTATTCATTCAAATCGAAACAGAGAAAGAGAGCGATGCAGTGATTGAAACGAGAGAGGATCAAATTGAAAGGAAAGGATCTTGTTCAAAAGAAGAGAAGCAAAGACTCTTCTTTTTGTTTCAAAGCATCGGAGAAACTGCGAGAAAGAAATTGCCAAGAACACAACTAAAAGCTGACTCGCCGAAGTATGTAAATCTCCGTACTCGCTACTTGTTTCGTATTTTCTTTCTTTTACAATTTTTTAACTTTTCAAAAGATTGAAATTGCTCGTTTATTTTAATTTAGATAAATATAAATTTTTAGATAATCCTTTGTTATTGTGTGACGTGTCAGCACATGAATCGAGTACAGTGCGACGGGCAGTAAATCTGCGAGTGCTGAGCTGTCGTCGCCGTGATCTGTTCCATATTTTCAGCCGATCACCTTAAGAATAACAATCATCGACGCGCTTATTTAGGATGTGGAAGGCACGAATATCCCCAATAGCATGGCCCAAAGCACTCCTGGTAGGTGCGATTCACTCGCCTCGCTGGGCAGTCAGCTTTTCTTTGAAGTTAGCGGTATTCTATCGTTTTAAGGCTCGGTGGATAGCCATTAGATTTCCATACATCCTCTCTCTCTCTCTTGGATTTCTTTTAGAAATTGGGATTGTGTTGTCGAAATTTTTTTTTTTCATTCACAAAAAAATATTTTCTTTTAACTTTAAGAAAAAAAAAAAAAAACTTATGATGGTCACGTTAATAAAATGTTAAAATGAAAATTCATGACACATGGATTGATTTTCAAAATTAATACTATTATTATTTTATATGCAAATAGAAACAACACATTTTTTTCATTGAAAAAAAAACGCATTATTAATTATGTAAATAATTAAAAAAATGAATGATAGAATAGAAACGAGAAAAAAACATGGGTTTTCATCATAGATTCGAGAGGGTGTGATGGCACTATTAAATAAGACAATGGACATTAAAAAAAAAAGTTGAAAAGAAAACAAAAGAAGAAAGAGGTGTCATCATTGTCATGAAAGGAAAGAGCCGAAAAGTCAAAAAAAAAAAAAAAAGGAAGGTTTAAAACGGGCATTGTGGTGCAGCAACTTACATATGGCCACTAGATTCAAAGGTGCAATGAAAGCTCCCCCCAAAACAATTATCGTCCGCCAATTTCATATCCTGCATCGATGGTCGACCCACCCTACATGTTTTAAGGCCATTGCTTTTGGACAGTTAGGTTGCGTTTTGCTTTACACAGTTGAGCGCGGCCCCAGAAACTTCTGGATAAACTGTCAGAAGAATATGCACTGCCTAGACCCATAGCTTATTAACTAAAGTCATTATTCAATTAGATTTTACATTTGCAGATTAAGCACTTTGAAATTTGTTGGTAAAGTGTTAAGAGTTTTTTTTGCATAAAAAAAATCACAATCTGAAAATAAAAGAATGAATTATAAGTATTGAAATTTAAATATTAAATTTATTAACTTTAATCCCTTTAAGATAATTATTTAAATTAATTAAATTAAATTTTGAATCTCAAAATTTTTTATATTCTTAAATATATATAAAAAAAACATAATGGGTTAATCGTCTTGTTGGGCGGGCTATAATGGTTTCTTTGTTTTCTTGAGGACTCGCCCACTTGGGAAAAGTGGCCCACTAATATGTCATGCAATTGGATCAGCCGATCTACAACGTACTGCGCTTCAAGCAAAAGAATTGGGCTGCAGTCCTTCACATTTCAGGATCTTACTTTTGCTAACTCATCTCATTATTTGGGCCTTTCCCGTCTCTAGCTCGTCTCCAAACAATGTCTTTTTATTTTTAGTATAAACAAAGCCATAGTTTGCTAAAAGAAAAATGGGTTGCAGGAGCTCAGATAGTCAGATTTGAATTTTAAGTTATTTTTAATGTTATTTTTAAAAAATATTATATAAATTAATTAAGTTAAATTTGAATTTGACAATATAAAACCGAAGTTATATATCATATACAAGGTTAGTATTGACTATGGAATAATTTCTTTTTCTATATTTATATATGAATTTGGGATAAGAGAACTGATGATTAGATCAAATACCCAAATTAGCATTCAATAAACTAGCATTTGAGTAGTTGATTATTAGAACAAATCATCAAATACTCTAATGTTATTTTATTGAATATTAATGGTAAATAATTCAACTATCCTTTGACCTTCAATCCATGTTTCATTGTTTTTTAAAATCTTTTGGGGCACAAATATCATAATTTAAACTTTGAAAAATCCATATATGTTTTAAAATGTCTTTGTGGTCAATTTTTTATTACAAAAAAAAAAAAAAATTATATTCAACTATCAAGGCTGGTGGGTGGTATGTTTGTAAGAGATGACATAAATGAATTGAGACATCTTTGCTACTCTTCAAAAAAAAAAATCCCAAAATATTCAATGAGAGTTGAAACTTGAAAGCACAAATGATGATAATAATACTTAATTAAGACGTGTTTCGTAAGTATTTAATCATAAGATTTATATTATATGTGTGCAACTAGAAATTGCACAACTTCTTTAAATATAAACCTACTTGAATTGAAGATCTGACCAAAAATTTGTGGTCAATTTCAAGCAGCGGCACCATTACATTTATTCTAATAGATGAAATACTTCATCGATAAATATTTTTTTAAAATACAAAATTCAAATATCAATATTTATAATTTTTTTTTAAGCTACGACGTTGATTTTTTTTTATATATATAAAAAGATGGATCCTACATTCCTGGCATGACCTTCGGGGAAAATGCTGAAGAAGTGTGGTAGTTAATGATTATGATAGTAGCTTTTGAAAAGAATATCCAACTACTACTGTTTTCAATAGATTATTTCATTATTAATGTCAAACTTTATGACATTAAATCATTATCTCTTTCCCTCACCCATATCTCGTCCCCCAAGAGAGTTAGAATCTGTTCTTACGCTTTTTATTGCCCTAATCCAACATATATAGTTTCTAAAAAGCATTTATGCTTTACTTTCCACCAGGATCAAGAGAGAGATAGGCATGGTTAAAGGTTCACTTAACTTGAACATCACAGGTTCCGGAGAGTTGTGTTGTCATCCGCTATTTTCAAAGCTGATTATTTTTTATAGGAACTTTGTCCAAGCTTGCCCATCACAGCTTCTTGTGTCATTACTAACGTGGTTGAAACCATGTCCTGTGATCAGTCAATGTCAACTTAATGCTTCTGGTTTTAACATGGTTTCTCTCCGATGTAATTTAAACTCAGAAATACATTTGCAAAACTAGCTCAAATGAACTTGTTTCATACACATCTGGTTTAACTTTTGAGTTGGACAACTTTGTTAGATTTGGGAGCCCTTTGTTAGGTTCTCTAGTCTCTCTTTTTGCAGGGCTAGCTGATTCATTACTCTAGCTTCTTGTGGCCTTGCTCTTTTTCTTTTGAACTTTGCATTGCCTTAGTGAGGCAGCCTTAAATTAAAGCCTTACTTTTGTTGGCAATTAACCTGTCAGAAAAGTGAAAACATTATCTAATTTCTTTCAATCAATTATTGTACCAACTGACATATTTTCTAAATTACAAATATTTCTAATAAATTTTTATGAGCAAAAATACATGGTACTTTTTTATTAAAAATAGTGGAAATTAAAATTTTAATAATTTTATTAATAAATTAAGTAATTTTGAGTAATATACAAAATACATTTCTAAAATAAAAACTTAACTAATGCCCTAAAAAAAGGCTAGATAATCCACCAACATGACGGACCCATCAAATAATAGGTACGCGTGCAACCTTATGATCACATCACATTCAAAAGAAATCTATTTGACCTGATTTTCCCTTATTTTTTATTATTTGTTAAAGATTTTGTTGTTCTACATTTCTACTTCCGTGTCTTCCTTTTTCAGCATTTTACCATGCCCCAGCCCCAGCATCATTCATGCCACATAGTGGGCCCGCCTTTGATTGACAAAAACCTCAAGCATTAACCCAACAATTGTTTTTTATTAACATTTTCGTTGCAAAGAATTGGTCGTCGGCTTAAAATTTCGACCCACATCGAGGACAGGCTCCTCAGGATTGACTTTTTCCAACACTGGTTTGGTTTTTCAATTGTTTTTTTGGACATAAAGGACAATGACAACCCTTCAGAAGCTGTACGCAATAAGGAAACAAATTTCACCGTCATTAATTATTTTGATAATTTAATTACTGAAGATAATAACCCCAATCACACAAATCGATAACACTACATAATGAAAAATGTTTCCTGATCCTACATTTTTGTCTTTATTTTTTGTCCTTTCCTATATCATAAAATTTCATCGGTTTAAATTTAAATATTATGTTTATGATTTATTTATTTATTTTTATTGAATATTAGCAAAATTTTTAAATTTCGTTTAGTTTTTTGAAATTAATTCAAATAAATTTACAATGGTCTAATGAATTGAATTCAAACTCAAAACAATAATAGAAGAAACCAATTTTCTTTCCCCTTAAATAACAGTCATTAATACTTAGTACTATAATTTTATTTTTCCATAAAATAATATGTTTTTTAAAAAATTAAATACTAAGGATAAAAGACAGATGAAGAAGCAGTCTGGCATATAGTACGTCACCTCATTATAGTTGGCAGTTAATCTAACCAACAAAGCGGTGCGGGTGAGCTGTTCACACTTATATATAATTGCTAATAACTTAGATCCACCTTCAATGAACAGCCAAAAAAAGGCGACGATCCTTGATCTACGCTATAGAAATTGGGGAATTTTTTATTTGTCATTCAAAAAGGATTTTAGATTTACAACCCTTCCATTTTGGTTTTTCCCTTTTGTCCAATTGTTTCTGTCAATCCTTCTCCATGTAACTTTCACAATTGTTGGGGATTTTCAATGTCAATTCCTATCTATCTATAATAGAATAAATAATATATATACATATATAATATAAATGTTAATAGAACTTTTATTGACATAATGAATATATTTATTCATTAATTTCTAAATCATCATTTTAAATTTTTTTATAAAATTTTTACTATTTATTTAATTCATAAATAAAAATTCTAATTTCATTAAGACATTGTTATTAACTTGATTTATTTGATTTAGAGTTAATTATATTTTTTGCATGTGAATTATGAAAAATGTACGGTATTTAAATAAATAAAATATATAATTTGTACCTCAAATTTTAAAGAATATATTATTTTTATTATAAACTTTCAAATTATGTATTATATTAATTTAAATTTTAATCTCACTAAATATATTAGCTTATATAAGTAACGTTTAACAAATATTATTAAATTATGTGTGCATCACACGTATTATCAACATATTTTTTTAATATAGGTTACAAATATATATTATTTTTACTTATATCGTAAAAATAATCTAATATCAGTCAATTATTTTTTTACCACGTTACATTTACAATAAATTTTTGTAAATATTTAATATTTTTATTTAATAAATAACATCTAGATAATAAAATTATATTGATTAAATACTATGAAAGCAAGTTAAATTGACAATATTAAAATTTATATTAAAATAATATATTATTTAAAAGTTTATGATGCAAATTATATATTTTAAATTTTTAGGCACGAAATTATATATTTTTCAAAGCTCAAATATCATAACTGTAATTAACTGTTGAGTTTACATTGAATTATTTTGTCCTCATAGTTTTAATTTTACATTAACAATAAAAGGCAATAAACTTTATGTTAATATGATATATTTTGAAAATGTAACACATTTTACACGTTAATGTAAATTCCAATTATTTATATAATATAATTATCATTTAAAAGTAAATTAAAAGAAAAAACCAACGCAATCCATGTGTTTATAATTATAATTTAAATTTAAAACAAATAAAAGACAAATATTCAATTGCATTTCACATGACAACAAATACTAATATTTTAAAAGTAAACTTTTTGTTTTTTTTTTAATCCATTTAATTATATTCTTTCTCCTCATTTTTAATTACAAATTATGCACTAATAAATGGAAAAATCTTAATTAATTATTTCTTATCAAGCTAAGCATGGGAGTCCGGGTTTTAAATCTTGATGGAACTGACCAAAACTTGGATGCTCCTTAAAAGAATGTTTTCTAGGTACTAAACTTTTTATTTAGTTAGTTGCAATTAGAAACCTAACTTTCCACCAACTACTTAACAAATTATTTTGGAAGTTGAGAAACGACTCAACTAGTTTTTTTTTTCGTGTTTTACCTAATTTCTCCTCCTTCTTTATTTTTTTGTCGGAATTTACGGTTGAGGGTCTAATTCTATAATTTCTCACGTTTTTCTCTTTCGAGGTTACAAGTTGTCCTTGCTATTAAAATGGAAAATCTAATTATAGAAATTCCTTATTTTCTTTTTCAATTACTTTCTAAAACACAATTATAGATCGACGGTCTCTTTTTTTTTTAATCACCAAATTATGTTTTTTTTTTATAAAAAATAGTTGTGGATCATATTACTTTTTTTTAATAATTGGCTAGTCCCTTCACTCATAAATGCAATCAATAAAAATATTTTAATCATTAATTATTCTAATAAAGTATGCAATAAAATGATCATCTTTTATTTTATAAATCTCTTTAGTTCCTTTAAAGAATACGATGTTTTTAAGCGTTGGAATGTTTCATTGGATAAATATTACAATGTTTTAAAGCGATTTGATATAGGAAACTAGTTATTTAGAATATATATTTTTTTCAATATTTTACACTGTTTAATTATAATATAAAATTTAAAATTCATGAAAATTTTCATAAAAAATTATAATGGATGAATGTGAATATATTTATGCAAAAAATCATGGAAAAAAACTTAATATTGATTGAATATTATAAATATAAAAAATTAAAATTTAATTTAATTAATTTATACAATCACCTTAAAAAATTGATATTATATAAATTTAAATATAAATTTCACAACTATATATCTTTTTTAATTTTCACTTTTTAAATTTCTTTGTATAAAAAATATAAATTTGCCCCCAATTTAATAGTGTTAAAATTTTCTTTATTTATGTTGTTATTATAATCTTTAACTTGTTGATTTCAATCACAAGTTGATAATTTTTAAGATTTTAGATATTTTAATGGAAGGATCAAAACAGCCAAAAGAAAAAAATCGGAGCTCCTCGAAAAGAAAAAAAGTATTGATATTTAATAATCTAACGGTAATAAGATACCGATCGAACGGTGCGATGAGAAGCTACCTGACATATACATAAAGACCACGTGGGGCGAGATAAACAGTTGCCAATCTCCCTTCTTCACGTGCCTTTCTCTTTAGAAACTCGCATCAAAAAGAAAGGACAAAACCGTAATTGAGTTACCAACGACCAAGGTGTCATGATCCGATTCCCACCGCTGGTCCACAACGCGCAAGGAAGAGAAACGTCAAAGGACGTTGACGCCGCATCAGATTTGCAGGACCACTCGTCCCTGACAGAAGCCGCTTACTACCGCTAAAAAACGCTCCCTCTCTCTCCATGAGAATTTTCGTTTGATCGCCGGTTTTAACTGTTTCATCACACCGTACATCTCCGGTTCGGATTTTTTCCCATTTTAACCCTTTGTTAAATTCACATTCTCCTTTTTGTCCTTCGTTTTCAACTTTATTCTACGCGTAAAGTCACAGCACCTTTGATTTCGCTTCTATTTTTGCTCTTCTTCCAAGTTACCTCAGTTTCTCTGTCTCTTCGATGAAGTTCGTCTCAACTTTCACTTCACTAAAACTCTTTTATTTCTTTAAATTAAATTAAAATAGGAATCTGAATTTAATTCAGTTTATGACAGATTGACAAGTGGCTTTTGTTTTCGTTAAGGAGGCGGTTGTCTTTTTTTTTTGTGTTTTTAAATTTTAATATCTGAAATTAACCGTTGGAAATTAAATGTGTCTTACATTAAAATGCCCTATTTTGTCGTTTTTTTTTAATCAAACTCTGTTGTTTTTATACGGGTTTTTAGATGATTCAGTTTGGTTTTTGCAGTGCTCGCGTTTCGAGGTCGAAGAGGACGGTTAACCGATTCAGATCAGACTTCAGAGCATAATGGAGGGAAAACGACAGTGTTTTGGTACTAAGGTTGATACTTTATGTTCTTTTAACTGAGAACCGCCATTCTTCTTCCTTTTGAGGTAAAAGAAAAAAAAAAGCAGAAATTTTATTTATTTATGTGTAAAAAGTTAAAGATTTTCATTGCTTGGCATTTAAGCTTAGTTGGTGGCCACTAGGGAAAGTTTTCTGGTCTGTCAAGAATTAAAAATCAACATTTTCTTTTTTAATTTCTAAAAAAAAATTATTTATTTGGGGGTTGAAGATTAGGGAAGGGGCTTTCTTTTTAACTACCAGCTTCATTGAAATATTTTTTTTTCATTTTTAAATGTTTAATTTAGTTGATGTTTAACCTTAAAAATAAAATATAATATCAAATCATTTTCAGGTTTGTTGGATAAAGCCTTATGTCTAGCTCATCGTTGCTGACATAACCCGTAATTAGCCTTAATACTCATGGATCATTTTCTTTAGTTAGTTGGATTGATAATCATGATTAGCTTCTTGTTGCAGATAGACTATGGTTGTGAAAGGATGTGCTTAAGCTTTGTATACCTTTGGCAACCACCACAACAGCCTTGCTATTAACTGATAAACTGTCTTGCATTTTTTAGGAAAGCAAGAATGAGTGTGTTTATTTGACCTCTTGAGTTTGATTTTTTCCTCTTTCTGAGACTATGCAAATGTATGGGTCTTTTTTTTATTTAATGTGTGGTAAGGTGAGTAACAACAAAAGAGGAGCGTGAAAAATGGGGGCAATTGGCGGGGAAGAGTTAAAGAAGTTGGAGAAGGAGCAGAAGGCACAAATGGCAATTGCTCGTGAGGAGAGGATTCTAGTTGTGGTGAGGTTGAGGCCTTTGAGTGACAAGGAAATTGTAGCAGATGAAGTTACTGATTGGGAGTGCATCAATGACAGTACAATCCTATATCGGAATACGCTCCGGGAAGGGTCAACATTCCCGTCTGCCTATACATTTGGTAAGCAAATGTCTCTGTTTTCATGTTTTGGATGTGATCTAATGAATTTTGATACATTAAACTAGTGATACTGATAACCAACTCTTAATTTCTAACTCAAATTTGCTGAAGTTGGCATTTTTTACTATCGGATAGTTAAATGGATGTAATATGTATCCATTAATATGCCTGTCTAACCTAGGACAGCTTGATTATCGAGATCTCTATACCTTTTTGCATAACATACATTGTTGGCTTAAGTTTTAAAATTAGGTTTAAAAGCATCAAACTTGAAAATAGTTATTTCTGTTTTTTTTTTTTTTTTGGTTGAGCGGTAAGGGTTCCTGGGCTTCTCCCAATATATCTCCTTTCTATGCCTCCAAGCAGGCTTATCTATGCCAGGCCTAGCAAATTCATAGCAAATTACCTTTCCACATTCTCCCAGTGAATTTGAACTTGAGGCAGCCAAGAGAGGAGCAAACTCTCTTGCCACTTGAGCTAACATCTGTTGATATATTTATTTCTGTTATGTGCTTGGGATTTGCAAGCAGTTTTGATTAGTAGATTGTATGAGATTTATGTTGCTGTCTCTTTCTTCTTCCTTCTTATGTTGGGGACAGATAGAGTATTTCGGGGTGACTGCTCCACAAAGCAAGTGTATGAGGAAGGCACCAAGGAGATTGCTCTTTCAGTTGTTAGTGGAATTAATTGTAAGTAAGGGTATTGGCGTCTTGGTGTTTGTTCTCTGTTGATAAACAACTTTGTGAGAAAAAAAAGTTTTCTCTAACAATTTATCTTCCTTCTGTTCCCCAGCTAGTATTTTTGCATATGGACAAACTAGCAGTGGGAAGACATACACCATGACTGGAATAACTGAGAATACCGTTGCAGATATATTTGAATACATAAACAGAGTAACGAAAGTTTTAACTCATTTTAGTTCCATCATTTTGCATTATTTAAAGCGTTCTTTACATAATACTGATGTCATCGTAGCAGCATGAAGAAAGAGCATTTGTTTTGAAGTTCTCAGCAATTGAGATATACAATGAAGCTATTAGAGACCTCCTAAGCTCCGATAACACTCAACTTAGGCTTCGTGATGATCCTGAGGTGAATACCAAAAGCAATATTAGTTTCATTTTATTGAGTATATGGTTGCTCAAACAAGTTCTTTTTGTCAGAAAGGAACCATTGTGGAAAAAGTCACAGAGGAACCGCTGAGGGACTGGAACCATTTGAAAGAACTCCTTGCTATTTGCGAAGGTAAAGCATTTTAAACAGTCCTCTGTTTACTGGATGATGTTGCACACTTGCACCTTATGTATTATTATTAATTCTTTAATGCATTCCGCTGTTGCAGCTCAAAGAAGGATAGGAGAGACCTCCTTGAATGAGAGAAGCTCCAGATCTCATCAAATTATAAGATTGGTACACTATGCTCCTCTACCCTTCTCTTTGTATTGCTTGAACATTTAATTGCTAACAGCATATGTTTAGTGATGTTGAGTTTTTCCTTTCCTTTTTAGCTTACCATGATGTGAGTTCTAACTTTTGTAGACAATTGAAAGCTCCGCTCGTGAGTTCCTAGGAAAAGAAAATTCAACAACACTTGCAGCAAGTGTGGTAAGGCTCATGGAGTTTACTTTTACATTTGCAGTTCACTTCATAAGTAGTTCTTCTCAAATGAAAAAAAATAGTCAGTCATTCAAAGATGGTATTTGAGTGCAGAATTTTATTGATTTGGCTGGAAGTGAGCGAGCATCTCAGTCGTTATCTACTGGGGCAAGACTGAAAGAGGGTTGCCATATAAATCGTAGTTTACTGACACTGTCAACTGTTATTCGCAAGCTAAGGTTGATTGGATTATCATATACTCAAGAGTGCTCTATTTTTTATTTTTTTTTTCATTTCAATCATCTGCAAGAGATTATTTAATATCCAAATTCTTTGGGCATAGTTGTGTGATTGTTTAAGCAGTTATTTTATTACTGTGAGGTTGATTGATTTCCTATTTGTTTCCTTTTTGGTTGTCTTTTTTTCAATTTTAATTAAAACAAAGAATTTGGGGCATAGTTTTATGATGGTTTGCTCATTTAGATTCAGAGTTGAATCATTCTCGATAGCACTAATATTTAAATCACTATTTTTGAGGGTTAGTTCCTTCAATCCAGTTGGATATTTAGTAATAATTACCACAAGAATGTGTTCATATACACAATATTGATTATTTCAGAAAAAGCCAATGTCTCTTAAAAATATTTGTCACCTACTAGACTGCTCAACTCACCAATGTGGTGCTATGGTGGATGCAGTAAAGGCAGACAAGGACATATCAATTATAGAGATTCTAAGCTGACGCGCATACTGCAGCCTTGTTTGGGTGGCAATGCCAGGACTGCCATTATATGTACCTTGAGCCCTGCACGAAGCCATGTTGAACAAACCAGGAACACTCTTCTGTTTGCTTGTTGTGCAAAAGAAGTTACTACTAAAGCCCAGGTGAATGTGGTCATGTCTGATAAGGCCTTAGTTAAGCATTTACAAAGAGAGGTGGCCAGGTTAGAAAGTGAACTCAGGAGTCCTGTCCCTCCTTCCTCAAACAGTGACTATGCAGCTTTACTGAGAAAGAAAGATCTTCAGATTCAAAAGGTTATAATTTGCTTTCAAAACTCATTTGCAAATATACCATCTGCCACTATATGTGCCTGAATATAAATGAATTTCTGTAACATATCACATATTTATTGCTGAAATGCTTCCTGCAGTATTATCCTTTAAGTTCCATTATACTAGGAGTAATATGCTTGCACTCGATATGACTGGAAGGTTTTGGGGTTTGACCTTTGAAAGCATTTCTTGATAACTATTTAGGTGAAAATAAAATAAAGCTTTTTCTCTTCTCATACCCTGTGTTACCTAGTCATGTCTTTTATGTATTTTATATCTTGGTGTTTATATGTTTTCACACTTCACTTGCCCGATTTGAGACAGTCATGCAGGTTCCAAATGTTCTGTCCGATCTTACATAAATCATCCCTTTTAGAAATTTAGGCAGGATGTCAAGGGTCCTCTTTAAAGAGCAGAATTGATTCTTATTTTTCCAAAATCAATGGATTAACAAATTTGCAACATATGAATATATGCCTCCTTATCTTGTCTACGTGATCCCATTGAACATAAACCTGGTGGTGAATCAGCATTCTGGTATTAAAATTATAAAGCTTGGGTGATATAAAATTGGATGCAGGATGGGTGAAATTTAACTATAGCATACATATAGATACTTTTGCTTGTGGAAAATTAGGCTGCAATCAGACTGTATTACTTTCTGATTAAAAAGCCTATTCCTGTGCAGTATCACATCTGGGGTGGCTGACACGTAAAATGTAAAAGGGAAAGCTTAGGCATATGTTTGTTACATGTTGTCTAACCTCTAACATTGATTACATGACTTTGCACTATGCAGATGGAGAAGGAGATTAGAGAGTTGACTAAGCAACGTGATCTTGCTCAATCTCGGGTTGAAGATTTGCTAAGGATGATTGGAAATGATCAAGATTCAGGACAATCCGTATGTGTTATTGCCTAATTTCTGTATCTTTACATGCTATGCTTTCACTGAATTGCTATGTTATTCATTAGTTTCTTTTTGAAGTATATTGTTGATTAAATTTTAATTGCTTAATCACTGGTTAATTGTTCCATTTTCGGCCACTAACCCTTCTTTGCCTTTCTATGATCAGACAAGGATCAATTACCATCCTAATCAACAAGCAGGGGATGCATGGGTAGATGACTATTCAGCATCAGAGTCATCATGTTTGGCTAATTCTAATCGATTCGATGTGCGTGTTCGAAAATTTAATTCAATCAATTGTTATGACACAGAGAGTGGGAGTAATCTTGAGGAGCCCTATCATGAGCCTCTGAACAATCATGAAGATCATTCCATGTCTGATTCTGGGCAAAGCCGGGATGAGACTCCAGCTGAAACTGCTGATGACCCTGATGAATACTGCAAAGAGGTTCAATGTATTGAGATTGAAGAATCAGGCAGGGATAACAATTCTGAATCTCGTGCCTTACCAAATGGTGAAAGTGAGGGACCATTGGCATTGACACTGTATGGAGATGATGGTTTGGCAGGCCAGGAAACAATGTCTACCCCAATGAATGGAATTAGAGAAGCAGATCATATTCAGAATGGTTTTAGGTATGATGCATTGGAGCAGAGACTCCATCATGTACAGAAGACAATTGATTCTCTTGTCAGTCCTTACCCGGATAAGTCATCCCCAGATTCCTGGGTAGCAGATTTGTCAAGTTCTAGAAGCCTGAAGTTGAATAGGAGCTGGAGTTGTAGAGCAGATGTCATGGGTGGTACATCTTCTCCCTATGCTGACAGAGGGCTTATTGAAAGCACCCCACCTAATGGATTGGAGAAAAACTTTCCTGGAAGACCAGAAGGTTACCAAAAGAAGTTTCCTTCACTCAACTATGGTGACAAAAATGGAGTGCTCACTAGGAATAATTCTGAGTCTTCGCTTGGGAGTGCTTCTGTCAAGACTTCTGCAGATGAGGATATTACTAGCATTCATACTTTTGTTGCAGGACTGAAGAAGCAACTTGCCAATGGTCAGGTGAGAGTATGCCTCTCCTTTTCCCTTCAATATCTGGTGAAACTTTAAAATGCACACTTGGGCATTTGTCATTTGATTTATTTAAAAATGTTTGGTACATTCATAATAGGTTCAGGGCACGGGGCTAGAAGCAGATGAGTCTGGAAAGAGTATGAAAGATGTAGGATTGGATCCAACGCATGAAGCATCAGGTACTCCTCTGGATTGGCGCCTGGAATTTGAGAGGCTGCAGAAAGCAATACTGGAGCTTTGGCAAACTTGCAACGTTTCCATGGTTCACAGAACGTATTTCTTCCTGCTCTTTAAAGGTGATCCTACTGATTCCATTTACATGGAGGTAGAGCTTAGGAGACTTGCCTTCCTCAAGGAAACATTTTCTCAAGGAAATCAAGCTGTAGAAGATGGTCGCACTCTCACACTGGCTTCAAGGTTCTCTCTCTCTCTCTCTCTCTCTTTTGCAAGCATCGATAGTCTAATGGACTTTGACCAATGATTTATTCAAATACAGAACTTAATATCACATTCCTTGTTTGAACAAAAGACATATATCTAAGTCTGAATACTCTGCCAACAGAGCAGAATTTTCTTCCATGAAAATTCCGTGAGGTTTCAGTAGCTATTGTTGGACAACTGAATATTGGAAAGATATCCCAACCAACCATTTGTGAAAATCTAGAAAAACGCATTAGAGCCTTAAGTTTTTAAAGGTTTTTTCATGGTGACATAGATGATGTTTTATGCATACTTTCCTGGAACACATTATATATTATCCCTTGCTTCTAATTTCTACTTAAATAAACTTTTCTAATCTGTTGATTTGTTGAAACAGTGTGAGAGCTCTTCACCGTGAGAGACAAACCTTGAGCAAGCTGTTGCGTAAAAGATTTACGGAAGGAGAGAGACAGAAACTGTATCAGAAATGGGGCATTGAATTGAACTCGAAGCAGAGAAGGCTCCAGCTGGTCAATCAGTTATGGAGCAATAACAAGGACATGAATCACATAATGGAGAGTGCTACTATTGTTGCAAAGCTGATTAGATTTGTAGAGCAGGGACGAGCCCTCAAGGAGATGTTCGGGCTTAGCTTTACTCCTCCACGCCCAAGGCGGAGATCCTTTGGTTGGAAAAACAGCATGGCGTCCCTCTTGTGAGCTATAGAAATATCTTTATACACAGCTATAGCGGTAATTTCTTGAAAATTATAGGCCATATAGCATTCTTTTTTGTGATTGAATTTGTAACAGATTGTGATGACCTTTCATAGAGTGGTGTAAAAATGTAGATCTTAACCGGAGTGGATTAGAAGTCGAAACTGGGTTGGGTTTGATGAAATTGCTTTTAGCCTTCGAGTTGCCTTTGTATCTCTGGACACCACGATAATCTGTATTAATATTTAGGTGACAATTGGATTAATATTTGGGTTTGAAAATGTGGCTTTCTAGTTTTACCATTACCATTTTATTAGTAGGATCTGCTGCTTCATTCTTCTTCTCCTTCTCTATCCCTTTGACTGACAGCTTCGAGCGTTAACATCTCCCTGTTATTCCAGAGTGGTGAATTGCTAATTGCCTTAACCTTTGTGTTTACTATCAGTTGAATTTTTTTTTTTTTTTTTTTGTGAAATTACTATCAGTTGAATTTTAATCACTATTTTCAAGTATTTAACAGTTATTAGTCTTAAAACTAGATAGATGAACCAAAATATAGAACTAACAGTTAATTTTGATTCAATTGCACCAACAAGCATACAATTGTCTTTTGAACTATCCACATTTTATAAATACATGTGTGAGCAAATAATAAGAATCGACTCAAAAGTGCCTTCTTTCTTCAAACATTTTGTTTTAGCAAAATTGAAGTCAAAGAGTTTTACATTTTACAAACGAATTAATAATAAAACATATAATTTAAAAGTGTTCATAAGCAAGATTAAATTCGGTTAACATTTAAAATTTCTTACATACTCAGCTCGACTGGTCGGGCCTAGAAAAGCCTATTACAATTTAAAAATGTTAAAAGATAAAAATACTATACTTTAATAAATTAAAATTAAATTAAATTTTGTTAATGAAAATAATATCTCAAGCCCAGCGACAAGCCGATTACAAGGAAAAAAAAATGGATAAAATTCAAAACGGTTTAAACATAAAAATTTACTATTTTAATTTGTAAGAAGAAAAATCTATTTGATATATTTCTTTTTTTTTTTTAAATTAACGTAAATTATTATCAACTAAATCCCTTTAATTTAAACATTAAAAGCAGCATTGAATGATGACAAACGTTGTCGTTTCACGATCAATCTGTCCATGTTTACAGTCTTAAAACTTTTACAATAAGTTTAAAATTTTTTACCTTATTATAAAGTTATTAAATAATAATAGTTAGATATATAAGAATTAATATAAATCATCATTATTATTTAATTATAAAAATACTTAATTACCTATTAATTTATTAACTTAATTTTAATTTATTAACATTAAATATTATTTATTAAATAAAATAAAAAAATTTAAAACTGCTATGATACTTTTTCTTTTTATTATTTTTTATGACTTCTTTTATTTTTTTTCCTTTAGTTTTTATTTTTATTTTTTACGTTTTGTTTCTTTACAGATTTCTAGTTTTTTTATCAACTTTTTTTTTTAAGTTTTTTGAAATTATATCTATTATCTTAAATTCAAAACATAATTCTAAACCAATAAATAAGTATTAACATAAAAATATGAAAACAATCATAAAACTTGTATCTTTTGACATAAAATATGTTAAGTATCTTAACGTAAAATATGAGAATAATTGTAAAATTTATATCATTTGACATAAAATGAATTAGAAGTATTGTAACATCTAACAAAGAATTTTAATAATTCTAAACATAATAAAGATAATAACAATCATAAAAAGTTATTATTATAACATAAATAATTAGGTTAACAATATAAAAAATTATTATTATAAATAAAAAAAAATTAACATCAAATAACGAGAATAATCGTAAAATTAATTTTGTTTAACGTAAAATGATTAGAGGTATCATTAAACCTTAAAAAAATTATAATAATTCTAATTGTTATGAAAAGTAACAACAAACGTAAAACAATATTATTGAAACATAATAAATTTGTAACGTAAAAAAATTAGTATTATAAATAAAAATAATTATATACTAAAAATAAGTATTAATATAAAAAAATATAAATAATCGTAAAATTTGTATCATTTGATGTAAAATATGTTAGAAGTATCATAATAACTTGAGAAAAAATTGTGATAATTCGAATATAATAAAATATAAAAACAAGCTTAAAAAATTTAATTGTAACATAAATAATTATATTGACAACATAAAATATTTATTATTATAAATAAAAAATAATTTTAAGTAAAAAATACATGTTAAAGTAAAAATATGAGAATAATTGTAAAATTAAAATCATTTGACGTAAAGTATATTATAAGTGTTATAACATAAAAAGATACAAATAATTGTAAAATTGACATCACTTTGTGTAAACTAGATTAAAAGTAAAAAGATAATAATAGTTATAAATTTAGTATCACTTGATGTAAATTGGCTTAGAAGTTTCATAATATCTTAATAAATAGTAGTATTAATTATAACATAATATAAATAAGACCATGTATAAAAAATGTTATTTTAATAGAAATATTATTCTTTGGCACTTAAAAGAATAATTATTATAAATAAATAATAATTTTAAATAAAAAATAAGTATTAATATAAAAAATTGAGACTAATCGTAAAATTTATATTATTTAACCTAAAATGGTTATAAATTTTATAACACCTTTAAAAAAAATTATGATAATTATAAATGTAATAAAAAGTAATAATAAGCATAAAAAAATTATTATAACATGAGTAATTATGTTGGCAATATAAAAAAAATATTATTACAAACAAAAAATAATTTTAAACGAAAAATAAAAATTAACATAAAACCATGAGAATAGTCTTGAAGTTAGTATTATTTGACATAAATGATTAGAAGTATCATTGCACATTAACAAAAATTTGTAATAATTTTAAACGTAATAAAAATAATAATAAACATAAAAAAATTTATTGAAACATAATAAATCTGTAATATAAAAAATTAGTATTATACATAAAAATTTATAAATAAAAAAATAAGTGTGGAAGTAAAACTGTGAAAAGAATAGTAATTTTGGTATAATTTAGCAAAAAATATGTTTGAAATGTCGTAATACTTAATAAAAAATTATAATAATTTTGAATATAATAAAAAGCAAGAACAAGCGTACAAAATTTATTGTAATGTAAATAATTAAATTGATCACATAAGAAAATAATTATTATAAATAAAAAATTTTAAACTAAAAAATAAGTGTTAATCTAAAAATATGAGAATAATCGTAAAATTTGTATAATTTAACATAAAATATATTAAACGTGTCGTAACGTAAAAAGATATAAATAATTATAAAATTAGTATCGTTTGGTATAAAATGAGTTAAAAGTTTCATAACACCTTAAAAAATAGTTACAATAATTCTAAATATAATAAAAGGTAATAACAAGTATAAAAATATTATTGTAATGTAAATAAATAACTTGACAATGTAAAAGAATTATTATTATAAATACAAAATATTTTGAACCAAAAATAAATGTTTATATAAAAAATAAAAATAATTACAAATTTTGTATCACTTTGCTTAAAATGGATTAGAAGTGTCATAATACCGTAAGAAATAATTATGATAATTCTAAGTATAATAAAGAGTAAAAACAACTATAAAAAAAAATTATTGTAATGTCAATAATTAAGTTGAATAAATTATTATTATAAATAAAAAAAATTTTGAACAAAAAAAAGAGTGTTGATGTTACAAAGTGAGAATAATCATAAAATCTATCATAAAATAAGTTAAAATTGTTATAACATTTGAAGAAAAAATTATAATAATTCTAAACACATGAAATGTAAGAACAAATGTAAAAAAAAAATATTCTAATGTAAATAATTAAGTTGGCAACAAAAAAAATTTATTATAAATAAAAATATTTCAATCAAAAAATAAGTTTTTATAAGAAAGAAATGAGAATAATCGTAAAATTTAAATCATTTAACAAAGAAGTGTATTAGATGATTGTTACACCTTAAAAAAATATCGTGATAATTTTAAATGTAATAAAAAAATATAAATATAAAAACATATTATTATAACGTAAATAATTAAATTGATAACGTAAAAATTATTATTATAAATAAAAAGTAATTCCAAACAAAAAAAAAGTGTTAAAGTAAAAAGTAAGAATAATCATAAAATTTATATAATTTGATGTAAATTGGACTAGAGCTATTGTAATACCTTTAAAAAAATTATGATAAATTTAAACAAAACAAAAAGTAAGAACAAAAGTAATAAATAATTAAAATAAAATAAATAATTAACTTGATAATGCAAAAAAATTGATATTTTAAATTAAAAGATTTTAAATAAAAAAGTATTAATGTAAAAATATGAAAATAATTAAAAATTTATATTATTATACGTAAATGTGTTTGAAATGTTTTATCTAAATTTTCTTTTTAATAATTATAAATATAATGATAAGAAAAGTATAAAAATATATTATTAAACGTAATTAATTAATTTAATTTTATAAAATAAATTAAATTTTAAAAATAAAAAATATATCGTTTTTATCTATTAAATTAATAAATTAAATGAAATTATATATACCTTTTTTAATATTTACCTATGAACCTATTTTTTTATTTTAAAAAAATTATATTATTTTTATAATTTATCATATAATATTTTATAACCAGTTCTATAGACAAACCCTACAGTCTAGATCAACGCTTCCCCCACCTGAACCAAATCGGAAGAGCCTTGGAGAGAAAGGCCAGACTTCAGAGAAAACAAAAGCAACCGAAATGAGCGGAGCCACTACGGCAGCGTATTTAGCTCGAAGAGCAGCTCAAAAAGAGAGGGTTCGAATCCTCTACCGCCGTGCCCTCAAAGACACCCTCAACTGGGCCGTCCATCGCCACCTTTTCTATCAAGATGTAAATCCTTTTTTTTCAATCTACCAATATCTCATCTTTTTCACTCTCTTTTTAATTTAATTTTTTTCAATTAATTGAATCTTTGATTTTTCATTTATTTATTTTTATTTTCAGGCCTCTGACCTTCGCGAAAAATTCGAAGCCAACAGGCATGTGGTTCGTCTTCCTCCTTTCCTATCTTCTCATTTTATCATAATCTTTATTTTTAATTAATAAAATTTATTAATAAATTTGAATGAAAATTTGTTTAGTCTTAAATTTTCTTTTCACTGTACTGTATTCATTTTTTTGGGGGGGATTTCTTTTTTTTTTTGTGTGTGTGTGTGTGTGTGTGTTTGAATGACAATTTGAGCTCATTGACATTCTTCATTGAACTTATTAAGGACTCATGTAAATGATGGTTATCCTAGTCGAACTGTTTGGGTATTGATGGGTTAACTTTGTGGTTATTTGGGCTTTGATGTTGCGTTGTACAATTTGGGTTTTTGCAGGAAGATCTCGACACAATTGACAAACTGGTAGCTGCAGGTGAAGCAACTTATGATAAGTGGCGGCATCCTGATCCTTATATTGGTAAGTACCTTACTAGTGGGTTGCTGGTTTTATAAGAGAATTATGGTTTGAATTAATGGGATATGAAGAACTTCTTTTTTGTGCTGATGCTTGGATTTATCTTAAAGAGACATGTCTATTAAAGAAGGGGGGAGTTAATGGATTGGATGTTGAATGTTTATGTCATCTCAATAATTCTTGTTTGGAAGGAATTTGTAAATGCATTTTGGGATATGTTATTTTGAACGTTCTTGTGAAACAATTGGGCGGAAAATAGCTCAAAATTTTGAAAATGGGATGAGTTCTTGTATATAACTAATTAACTATTAGTTAGGATTTCAATATCTTCTCAGATGATAGTTTGATGATTACCAGTGAATCATTGTCTGAGAAACAAGATACATTAGAGCCAAGCCTTGCAGATGTAGGTGATGAGAAACACTACCAAACTATTACTATGTGACTTCTCCTCTCATTGCTTAGTGTCATATCTTTTCCACTTACATTTTTTTATTTGATCACAATAGTTGGTTATTACTGATTTTTTTATTTGATCACAATAGTTGGTTATTACTGATAAGGTCTTGCTCTTGTTATGACATGACTGGTTGACTGTGAATATAGGTAGGTTCCTTATGAGGTTCTTATTTTCCAGTTTTAAACCTATTATGCTCTTTGAAGCTCACATATTATGTCCATTTGCAGTTCCATGGGCTCCTGGTGGTTCCAAGTTTACTCGAAACCCTGTCCCGCCATCTGGGGTAATTGTTATAATTCCTTTCTTGCTAACCAATTTGCTATTTCTTTCATTTTAATTTGTTCCCTTACTTATCTACAATTCTTGTTGTACTATATGCGTTCCTAATTTTGAAGTATTCATGTGTCTTAAACCTTTTTAAGTGTAAGTGACCCCTTTCTTTTCATTTAGAGTAGACATGCACTCTAGATTGTTCATAGTATTTGAAAAGTCCTGTATTTTAACTAGACAATTTGAGATTGCTCCCCTTACATTCCATGCCGTTCTGCCCATTGCCTTTCTCTATGGTTGTCCATTGTTCACAGCGATTATCAACCCATTAAACTGCAGATTAGAAGAAGAAAAGGAACTAGAGAAACCTCTTTGCTAGTCTTGTGTTGCTACTTTATAACAGATAGTTGGCTTCTTTCTTCCTACTATTTTACAATAATTTCTTCCTTTTAAGTAAGTTTTATTTTACCTTGATCAAGTGGCAAAATTTGATCTATATTGCTGGAGGAAGTTGGGGTGAAGAGAAGGGGAAAAGTCATCTTGTCCTGCAATGGGCTTTTCATGTTGTAGCTTATCTATTTAACCTAGATTTTTTTGGGTGCTGTCAGCAACTATTACTAAATTTCTGATTAGTTTTGTTGCTTTTTATCCTGTTCTGATATTTCATTCTTGGTGCAGATTGAGATTGTGTATGATTATGGAAGAGAAAACAATGACTAAAACATGCATCTTTTCTATCGCTAGAAATAAAGGTTAGCCATATACTTTGTTATTTAGATTTACATCATTCTTTGTATAATTTCCTTGTTGAAGTTTTCGTTTGTTTCAAATAACTGGCTACTGGTTGGCAGCACTTTTCTTAAAGGTTAAGTCGCAATCATCTCTTGGATTCATATTGAAAATACTTTTTTATGTTAAGAGAGGAGCTTCTCTCCTGTGCAGCAGGGTTTAAGTGTGAAAATGTGAAGTTTGAAACAAAATTGCATGGCTAGGGAGATTTGTGTGTTGAAAGTAGTAAAAATTATTTTTGATTTGATCCGAGAGAGTTTTCGTTATATACTTTCCTGAAATTATTTAGGTTATCTAGGAAGTGATTAATGTGTTCTTTTGTCACCAAATCGGATTATGGGAGTGATATTTTACATGTTTATCTCTTCCGAAATTTGAATGGTGTTTGCTCTAAGGTTCCAATCCTCTCCCAAAGCATCCTATGAGAAAATCCCATGCAGAATCATATATTAAAAGTCTTTCTCCGCTGCTCTCCCCATTTGAATATTTCTTTAACGTTGGAACTTCTAACTTTTGGTTGATGCAGGTCCTGAGCGTAATGAGGGATCAAGCGCAGCAACTAGTTTGCATTCATTCAAGTGAAATGTGATGAAGCTTTAATAACATTTATGTCGATGCCCCTTTAGAGTTATTGTTGTGTGTCTGCCTTTTTTGTATAAGATCATTGCTCAGATTGAAGGGTATCAAAAGGTTGTTGACATTGCATAGAAGTATGATGATCATTAATCCTTCTTGTGATACTATTTTTCTCTAAATCTTATATTGCATCTTTTGTCTTTCTGGCTACCGTGGGTCTTGTCAATTGCGCCATTGGAGGTTGCACTCTCGAATTTGCTAGTCATCAGCGACGGGGGTGCAGCCTATGAGCTTTAGGCAAACTAATTTAAAGACGTATGTACCTGTTTCTAATTAGTATTAAAAAGGTTTGGGAACCTATGCTTCATTTGTAGGTTCAGTGGCAAAACGATAGCTTCAGCGCTTCCGACTGACCGTCCATCCAAATGAAGCCCTAATCAAGGCTAGGCTGAATGGCAAATGGAAAAGAGAAACCTCTGAGGAAACCTAGTGAAGGTTAGTTTGCGATTTGCATGACAATAGTGCGAGTCCTTACCGTTTATGACAAAGGCTTGAAAGCTCAACCATTACAAACTGATCGAGATGTTTTGTTTGACAAAACAAAATGGTACAGCCAATGTATGACTTGATTCCTTGACAACTCTTGCTCGCACCTGGCCACCTTCCTTAAAAGTACACGATAACAAATTACTTGAATATATCATTAAACACCTATGGGACTGACAGAACGTCCCTATGCGCCATTAGAACAAACAATACACAAATGTTCCCTCGAAACTCCTAGCATTCACCATTTGCAATTTGGTGGGTCGCACTCTAATCCTACGTAGAAAAAGTAGAAATCTTTCAGCAAATGGTGAATGCGAGAGGCCAAAAATTATCATGATAAACATTTGATCACAATTCACAACCTTAACATGACAAATCTTGGGTTCAAGCTCGTCTGTTCATATCCATGCAAATTTCATATTCTATCCCCCCCCCCCCCCTCAATTAAATGTACATTTTTTTCAAACCAGTACCACAGGCATTAACCAATAAAAACGCTGAAAAGCTACTCCTATTTCGACATAGCGTCGGGGATTCCTAGAATGCCCGGACAAAAGCACCCATTGCAACGTTTTATGTCATAGTAAACTCCTCCGTTTCTTTTTCCTTCTCTTTGTTTTCTCTTGGGAAGACCAACAGCGATGGAGGATGAGAAATTTAGGACGAGGATGAAGGAAATGAAACGCAGGTATGCTACAGCTACGCCTGCATTGTTGCGTATAACAGGCTCTGTGGTTACGATGGTATTGCTGTTATGGACCATTTGCTGCGGATTTGAATTGACAATGGAACCTTGGCGATACACTGCCGTTGCAGTCCGGGCATTCCATGTTGGAGTCACCACAACGATCTTTGGTTTGTTGTTTCTGATCGTCGGGTTTTCCATTCTGGCAGACTTGTTTTTGAATATATCAGAACAGTTGCCACAGCTATCTGGCATGCATGAAGGTTAGAACATGGGTGCTTCACGGTTTTATTTTGTTTCATTTACTTTGATGCGTCTGGCTTTGGAAAATAAGTTCCTAGCAATAGGAATTTGCTTTGCTTTAATTGCTTATACTTTCACTGTCGCTCCCATGAAACAGGGCAGGAGACAAGGACGATTTCCAAAGCTATTGGCAAGGCCCTCGTAATTGTAATCACAATGTTGGTGATCTTATGGGAAATGCACACCAGATTTAGGCTTGCAACTGAATCAGGAAAGAGCAAACAACATCTCCTGACGGTTTCAATTGGAGTCACCACCATTTTATTTGGCTTATGTCATCATTGGACTCGCCATTGTTCTGGAGCTCGTACAAGAATTTTGGACACGTTCACAATAGAAAGAGAAAATAAACCAGCTTTCATCGCGGTTGTAATGAAGATGTTTAAGTGTTTTCCTTGACAATTCTCTAGTAGTCCAGCATTGTTTCCATGTACTAATGCTGAGATCAAAGGAGAATTGAAACGCTAGAACCTTAAGGTCTCAAGCAGATGTTGTTCCCTGCCTCACACTTTGCTTCATCTACATTGGAACATACAGGTTAAAAGGTGGAAGATAACAAAACAATGTTTGGGAAGCATGGACAGGAAAAAGGGTTTTCAATACACAAATGATGTCTCATCACTTCTTCCACTTTAGATTCAGCAGGTGCTGTTTGTCCTGTGAAGCAAATAACATCTGTATCCATGTAGATTTCATGTGTATAGCAATATTCAGAAATCACATCCTTTTGAAGAATCTGGACATGAGATATCTTCCCAGGTCAATTAGGTCATGCTCTTTGTTAACACTATATAATGCCGCATATAAAGACTAATTAAGACCTTCAATTATACCATCGGACATGCATCAAATTCATATCCTTCTTCCATGCATGAAATCCATACCAGATTGCCAACAACGAACCATAACCTTCTTCATCCTAAAACCATAAATAATTTACCAATATGAGCTTAACCACAGCAGGTTTTAGGTGCAGTTCAGCTTTTGGTTTTTTGTCAAAGAATTAATCAAACCATAAAAATCATCTCCTTCATTAATTCCAGTTAAAAATCATGAGCAGCAAGTTGTGATTCAATCTAGATGCCATATATTCTAGGTTTCTCTAACCATTCTAAATCTGCATCTTCCAAAGACTCGGTAATATGTGCCAATATCCTAGAAGAAGAAGCAAGTATTAGATGGGCATAAAAAATATGTTCTGCTTGTCGCATTATAGTTAGGGTTTTCTCTGTTCTTAAGGAAAAATTAATTTAAGGCATGGAGGAATTTCAAATGGCATCCATTGACAGTATTCAGCAGCTTCTTCACTCCTAAGTACTCTGAAAATGAGGGCCATAAAGAAAATCTTTGAAATTTCTTTCTAATACATAACAACAGTTTTCACAAACAAAAACCCATGCCTAAATTCACGAAAAAGACGGAAACTTTTTAGATAAGCTTGAAGGGAAGAGGCCATGGAGTGGACCTGGGAACCTCGACCTTATCTTTGATACGCTCTATCTTCTTCTCCTTCTTTGGTCTGCAGTTCCCATATGATCCTTTGAATCTCTTCCCTTTCTTTGTCTTCTTGTCACCCCTGCCGCATAGTATCGGCGCTCCCGCCGCTACCCCACTCGGCGAAGCAGATGATAGAGGAGGCCGCTGCGTCATCATCACTCTCCTTGCCAGTGCGCCGCACCACTGCATCATCGCCATTTCCTTCAATCTACTTCTGCTCGTAATCTCTCACCACAATATAAGCCTAGAATCATTTATTCCATAATTGGGCTTCTTGTTTCTTTCAATTTCATAAATTAGGCTCAATATATGGACCAAACCTGGGTCCAAATATAAGTCATTCCAGCCCAAAGTTTTTCAGGAATTGGAGTCTGGATGTTTGATCTGGGCCACTGAAAATAAACAAGAATTTACTAGTTTTGTTTCGAATGATCTTTTTTCCCGGTGGAGATCAATTACAGGAAATGAATGAAAAGAATTGTCTGTCCGGTTTGGTTTTGTCCAGAGTCCACACTAGGAACGGGTGATGGAGATGGGGTTGAGTTTGGTGTGGCTTCCAATTAAACACGACCTTCGTTTTTTTTCAACTTTTCAATGTACAAAAATCTGTATCTAACCAGGAATTACCATTACATTGTTTAGTTTTTCTTTTCAGCTAACAGGCTGACAGGAAGAGTTTCCTTGGAAAAGAAAAATGAAAATGGAGGTGTTTTGCAGTCACATATCTCTTTCATGGACTCGTTTCATCTCTCCTTCTCTTCACATACCTCACTCTTTCTCTGTAAGTTCTGACTGCCCCAAATTCACTATTTTTTCCCTCATGTTTTATCATAATCGTTTTTGCTTTTAAGTAGTAATTCTTTTTCTTTTTGGTTGTTTTCTTTTAGTTGGGTGAGAATAATAGATTCAGGGTTTTTTGTGGTTCTGCTCAGTCCCAGAAGTTTGTTCTGACAAATTCTCACTCATGTAACTTGAAAGCAATTTTTTTTGTCTCCCAAAGTTTGGGAACTACAATTATATTTCAGGGGCCAAATGTGATACGGCTTCATGGTCATATTGAGTGTTGTCAATTTGTCATGCTGGATCAATTAAGTTTCTTGGAGATTTTTTTTTTTTTGACTCTTTGTAGGTTGTTGTAGGCAAATCAGATGACTGTTTCAGTGACAGGAGCAACTGGTTTTATAGGTAAAAGATTGGTGCAAAGACTGCATACAGGTAACAACGATTATAATTGAAAACTTCTATTCTATTTAATTTGTTTCAGATTTTTTTAGCCTGAAGCTTAACTTTAATATAATTGAAATGCTGACAATCATAATGCTCGTGTTTTGACACGCTCTAAATCCAAAGCAGAGTTAATATTTCCGGTTAAGAAGGTAATGAGTACTTTTGGGTTTGCTCTATATTGCTTTCTTCATTGGCAGGAAAGGGTGAACCTTTGAGATATGAAACAAAGCATGCATTCATGCAGATGTACATATACACATACTTAACACGTATGCATAGAGATGCATATACTTATATTTGTTTTTCCCCTTAATTCATTGTTCTCCTGGCGTTTGCAGTAAAGGACTTTCCCGGAATCATAATTGCAGAGGAGGCAGGGTGGGAGGGTTGCATTGAAGGATCAAATGCTGTTGTAAATTTGGCTGGAATGTTCATAAGCACAAGATGGTCTCCTGAGGTTGGTGTTGGAAGATCTTCCATCCTAGTTTTTATATTATGTTGCCAGACTGACATAAGCTTTTAGCACATCAGCAAAGTAGCTTGTTTTTATATATTCCTCCTTAAGTCTCACTTCATGAGACCTAGATCTTTTTCATCTATTGTGGTTTTTTTTAATTGAAGGTTTCAGACTATGCAAGGATACAGAATTCTGCTCCCAGCCCCTGATGTGCGGGCACACACACACACACACACACACACATTTGATAGATGGCATCTGCTAACTGATGCAACGGATTGACATTTCTTCAGTCTTTAACAACTTTTAAATTAAGCGCCAATGACGCCTTATATCAATTAGGTCTCTGTACATCACTGTTAAAATGGATATGTCTGCGTGTTCTCATACATCCCTAAATGCTGGATCAATCAATATTCTTTAACTTTATTGCAGATTAAAAGGGAAATTAAGCAAAGAAGGATCAGAGTCACTTCAAAGGTTAGTCTTTGTCTTTTTTGTCACTCTCTGCATGTTCGAAGCACTTCTTTTGAATCTATAACATTCTATAACCCCGTAACTGTTTTTCCACTGCCCATTTTTGCTGATTTTGAAGGTTGTAGATTTAATAAATAGTTCACCTCAAGGTGTTCGGCCTACTGTGTTGGTTAGTGCAACAGCTGTTGGTTATTATGGTTTGTATCAATCATAGTTTCCTACCTTTTTCCCCTATACTGTCATCAAGCATTGATTTAGGATGGCCAACCTTTTCATTTACTCACACAAACACACATGAGAATTGATCCAGTCAGCCATAAGGTTTTTAAAAAGTGGAACAAAGTCCATTCCTACATGAAAATTGATCCAATGAGCAATTAAATGCTGCAGACTTTAACTGCAGCGGGGCTCCTCTAAATGCTTAATTTCACCTGTTTTTTTTTTTTCCTGAATGCTCAGGCACAAGTGTAACACGAGTATTTGACGAGAGCAGTCCATCAGGAAGTGATTACTTAGCTGAGGTAACAAAAGCAAATGATTACTTAGCTGAGCATTGTTCTTGCCTTTTACTAATGCAATTTATTTGCTCAGGTTTGTAGGGAATGGGAGGCAACAGCTCTTAAAGTAAGGACGTGAGACTAGCTCTTATTCGCATTGGAGTGGTACTTGGCAAAGATGGCGGTGCTCTAGGTATAACTGATTTTATTCTCTGTCCCTCTTACCCCCTTCACACACGCCTGTTATAATTAAAATCAAAATCAAAAGGATGCACATATTCAGTTCCATCAACTTCAAAGAAATTAGAATCAAATGCCTTAATATCTTACATCTTTGAGCCTTTGCAGCTAAAATGATCCCTCTCTTCATGATGTTTGCCGGAGGACCTTTGGACTCTGGACAGCAATGGTATGCTATCAACTGAAGAAATAACTTATTTTATTTTGTGTTTGACATCTGTATGCTGCTAGAGCACCAATAAATCAGCATTTGTGAAGAAAAGTTTTCATCAGCCTCCCAAAGATGTCAAAATGCTGTTTAAATTGGCTTGTTGATTTCTTTCCTTCTGCTTATAATATTGCTTTTTCATGTCGACATGTTGATTGCTTTTCTTCTTATATAGGTTTTCCTGGATTCACTTGGATGCAATAGTAAACCTAATATACGAAGCTTTATCCAATCCATCTTATAAAGGTAATCTTCTAAGCATTCAATGGGCTTAAATTTTTTGTAAATCTCCAAGACAAAATTAGGGTGAATAAATCATTGATTTAGGAGTAAAACTGACTTGAAATTTACTAAATCCTTTGTCTACCCCTGCCAGTATCTATATGTTGAATCATGCTATGAGCCAACTAGCACATAGGATGGGCTATATCATATGTTTGTTTACTTTTTCTATTATATTACTATGGAGTGGTTGTTCGATCACCCTGCTTTACATACCTAAATGTCAGGAGTCATAAATGGCACTGCGCAAAACCCTGTTCGATTGTCAGATATGTGTGATCAATTGGGAAATGTCATGGGCCGACCATCATGGCTTCCTGTGCCGGACTTTGCCCTCAAAGCAGTACTAGGGGAAGGTGCTTCAGTGGTAGGTGTTTTATTTATTTATTTATTTATTTTTATATATCTTCGTTCTTCTATTTCCTCCTTTTACGTGTTTTCTGTAACTAAATTTCATCGAAAACACATCCAACTGGATTTATTATATTGCAGGTTCTGGAGGGGCAAAGGGTGGTTCCTGCGAAAGCCGAGGCGTTAGGTTTCCCATTTAAGTACCCTTATGTTAAGGATGCACTTAAATCCATTCTTTCCCTAGACTACAAGATATACGCCTCGTTCTTTTCTTTTTGGTAGAGGGTTTCAAGATTTACCAAAGCATGGCTAATCTTTTCCCTCTTTTTTACACCCACTTCTTTTTCTACCAACAGGAACGACATCTCAGACATTTTGTAGGTAAAACCCTAGTTATTTTTCCCTGCGAAAAATAGAATCATTAAATTTGAAGCTTTCGATCTATCTGTTCTTTAATAATAAAAAGACCTCGTATTTGATATCAAATACCGAATCTAAGAATGTCGAATAAAGATGCAGAAGACCTACACAGTCAAATAAACACAAGTGCAAACAATAGCAGGTCAATTTTTTAGATCCTCTTTTTTTTTTTCTTCTTTGTCAACTCTCAAGGTTCACAACAGAATGGAATATAAGTTAGGGCTTCCTTCTTCTAATTTGACATAAAAACCTACATCTTTTCATAACACAACATCCCAGATGTATATATAATTCTGTTGCTTCATCTACGGACAAAAGGCCGGTAAACATAACAAGTTGTGGATTAATTTAATCAACCCTTTAATGAGTACTTTCTGCCGCTAAATGGCTGGAACTTGGGATCTTCCTTCTTTTCAGGCTGCTGCTGTTTAACCTCTTTTCCAGATCCCTGCAAAATCAAAGGAATAACCATCTTATATCTTCATTCTTTCCTAGAAAAAGAATAAAGTAGGCTAAGTGATAAGCAATTTGATGAAAAGCAGAGAGCAAAAAGAACGCTGTGCACCTGTTTTGTTTCCTTAGGACGGCTGACACTTGATCCAAATACAAGCTTGCCCTGAGCCTGGCGTGCGGTATTTTGTGAACTAGGTCCTGAAGAAGGTTGCCTCTTATTGCCATTGGAAACAGCAGGCCCCTTGTCTTTGGACCCAGATGAAGAAACTGGTGGAGGCTGCTGCTTCAGAGGCTTCCCATCCAAGCGTCTAGCTGTACCAGTAAAGGCGCTGAACTTTGGTTCAGCCTCAGCAGGAGCTTCTTCAACTGAGAGAACAAAGATGGATTTCCTTAGAACAGAATAACCATCATTAAGATCAATCATGAACTAGAGTGCACTAGCCTACACAAATGTATAATTGGATCTTTCTAGATATCTCACTAGTCTACAGAGATCCTTAAGTTCCCATGAATTAGAACCACGTAGAGTACAACAGGACGGGAAAAATATCTCAACCAAGCATAGTTGTAGAAACAATTAACATACTTAAAATTGTACCAAAAAATCCTTAAAAATGAAAAACAGAAAGCAAAACTGACATTAAGATAAACCGTTAGAATCCTGAACAACGAGTTAAGAGCAAGATAAACATTCAATGATGTTTAGCAAATTAGCTTTTAACCTTGAGACAGTGCCTTGCTTGAAGAAGTGGGTAGAGCAGGCCTTTCTGGCTCCTTGTAATCCAGGGGAGGAGCAAATTCCACCTCACAGTCTGTCTCAATGATACTTATTGCATTGGATGGCTTTGTCTCTACAATATCTATGTAATACTTCTTATTGTTATATGCCACCATAATACTGTCCCCAGTGGTTAAACAGGAATAATTCCTCAATGTTGTCTCTAAGCTGCATAATAAAAGAAAAGTAAGATTATAAATGAGATGTCTAAATCTACTTGGAAAGCAACAGGTAGAACATGAAGAAGATTTCCAATAGCTACATTGTACAGCATGGAACAAAAACGGATTCAACGAGCTATGTTACTCACAAGTCCAGGCCAAATACAGAAACTCATTTGGCTTACATGAAGCTAAATTACACAAAATTGTCAAGATATACGATACGGTATACGAAATGATTACAACATATATCTCAATTTTGAAAATTCCCTTCTAAGCTGACCATCATACATCAAAGAATCAAGCTTACATATATCCACAAACAATCCACTCACATAGCTTTTGGGTTTGAAATATCCAAAAAGTCCTTTGTGTGGGGTTGCAATTTAACATAGGTTCCCTTTGGAAGAGTTACATTTTTCACCCTCACAATATCTCCCTCTTGTAGGAGCAAATTCTCCATCATCTACATGAAAACATTGAAAAAACAGGGCAAGTATCAGATAAATAGAAGATTTCTTACATCTCAGTGGACCTAAAGGCCACAATACTACTCATGTTCAATGGACCTCAAGCAATGCCACAATACTACTTATGTGAAGCATATACAAGCCGAAAGATGCAATGCCTACCCAATATGGCATATAGATCATGCCTTCTTCTGCAATAAACTCTAGCACTCCACAATGAGAAACACGCTCAGCAGCATCATTCCGGAGTTCAAATAACATTGGATAATCAATATGCAGAGATGCTGCATGATTTGAGTCAAACATTAGCATTCTGGATTATAAGGTCATGACCCAGGCACCAAGACTAATTACACGAGTTAAATTAGTGCCACTATTAAACAACTTACCTAAGCGATCAAGGGCGGATGGAGGCATTATAACTGAAACAACAATGAAAAAATATATATCAGGAAGTCGCACAGCAAAAGGAACATATTGCAACAACCATGGGTCTGAAAACTTACTTTTATCTCCGCTTTCAATTTGTGACTGCAGGAAAACAAGGAAAAATATATAGGATTATAATCATTAGAAAGCAAAGAAAACTAAAAAATTCTCAGGACTAGAGATCAGACCTTATAAATAACCAATCAAATACGATAGGTTTTCCAAACCAGTAACGGAATACCGACGTATCACTATTGAAGCATATCAGTAATCTAAAGCAATACAAGACAAAATAACATTCTATTTTTCAGACCTTTTCAATGAAAGATGCAGGGTAACATCGGTAACTCTGCTCAAACGATGTCCCATGATAGCCATATCCATCGAAAAACTGTGAAATCAAGCAAAGAGACATTAAAATTTACCAGTATCCACTGCCATCTCTCAAGTAACCCAAATTTCAAAATTACATGTTGAGCTAACAGCAATTCCAATGCCACAAAAAAAACAACATTGAAAGCTACCCATTACCCAAAAAAGCATTCACTAACACTAGAAAATCAAAAGAATTTAAAAGAAAATTGTAAAACTTACCATTTTGTAATGCTTATAAACGGTCAAACCAGATAACTTATTGTTCAAGTTCCCTACAAGAAGAAGATCGAATGGGTCAAAACCAAGAATAATATCCAAAAATATTAATGTGCACAATTTCTAATTTTCTCCAAATCTTTCTCTTTAGAATCAAAAGACCAGCAATTAAAATCAACATAATTTTTTTTTTTTTTAAAAAGGACTTTCGAGTGGGAAGGTTGTATTTTTTAACTAAAATTCAAATAAAATTTCCTCTTAATTTAGTAATCGAAAGGCGAAAGTGAACAGATCTAAGAAAACATTGACACAAAGAAAATAGTGATTGAAAGAAGAAAATGTAATTACCTGAAAGAAAACAGAGAGGAAAAAAAAAAGAGAGGCGCTATTTGGCGTTTGGATCAGTGAAAGGAAATTGGTGGCGTGAAGAAGAGGAAAGATAAAATCGTGGGGAATGGAATCGCCTATGATGCGCTTTCTCTGCGTTGTTTGCAAGCCACCACTGATTCGGCCACGTGTTCCTTAAAAAGAACTAATTCTTGAGTTTGTGATATTTTTGGGCTTGATTTCAGATTTTGGGCTAATTTTTGAAAATAGAAATTTCCTGTAGGCCTATTTGTCCATGAAAGATATGATGTTTTGAACTGGCCCAAACCAAAGGAGATTTTTCAGATTACATTACTTTTGGGCCCATAACATTTAAGATGCCCGATGTATCATCGAGCTTTTCCTTAACTAATCAAATTGGGGCTTAATTTTTTTAATAAAAAAATCTTAATACATGAATTAAGAAAAAATTTACAGATTATGAAATTTTAATTTTAGATGTAATAGTTATATAAATCAATAAAACTTAATTTGGTGTTCAATTTTTAATTTTTATTATAACTATAATATTAGGCTATATAAAAAAAAACTCTTTTTAAGAGTGATAACGATTCGAATCAAATTAATTTTGATTTAATTTTTTAAAAATATTATATAATGTTATAAAATTTTAAAATCTAATCTAAATTTTAATTAATTTTTCATATGATTCAATTTAAATTAAGCTAAAATTTATTGATTCAATTTGATTTATTAATTTTTATATACTATTTTTATATAAAATTTTAATATATTTAAATAAATTTTAATATAAAATAATTATTTTTTGTAAAATTTAAAAATATATAATTCGATTGATTTTTTTTTTTTTTAACTTTTACTTCTCCATTCAAAATTTAATCCAAACTCAATATATATTTAATATCTAAATATAATCGAAACTAAATAAACATAAACTAATTCAAATCAAATGTTACGATCTCTAACTAATTTGACTTTTTTTTTCCACCTGCCTCTTTCTGATTTTATAAAGATTAAGTTAAAAAAATTTTTATGTGAATATAGGATGATAGGCCCAATGTCCTAAATCAGGAGGCATCTCCGTCCCCTGCCTCTTCTTATTACTTTGTGATGAACAAACGATCGCAATATTTAGCAAGCTGAAGCCAATCCGAATCAAAATTTGTTAAATAATCCAAATAATAAGAGCTGCACCTCATTCCTCTTCTCGTCCTTGAACTCCATAGATTCAGCATAATTAGAGTTGGCATCGGGGCGGGGTGGGGCGGTTTTTTGCTTTCCCCGCCTCTGACCCGATGCTTTAATATTTTACTCGATAACTCAATCCGTACCTGCTCGGAGATTATTATTGAAAAACTCGACCTCGAACCGTTAGAATATTATTTACCTAAATTTAACCCGATTCGATCCGAATTCAATATACTACCTATTTAAATTTACCAAAAATGTAATTGATTATAATCTAAATATATTACAAGCATTAACAAATTTAACATAATCACTCATAAATTCAAACTTAGTACATACTATTTTTTTATCTAGTAAAATCTCATAAATTCTCATCATAAATAATAGAATTATAAAATACATAAAATATAGTAAATTCAAACTCACAAATTCTTACCATAGATGATGGAATTATGAAATATATATAACTTAGTAAACTAAAATTCAAATATTAAACAAGCATAAGTTAATAACTAAATTTAAACATAATACATGATACAAGATGAACATCAAAAGCTTAAATCACCACAATAAAAAGCTAAATTGTTTGAACATCCTTTCATCCAACATGATAAAAATCTTTCAAGACCACAATAAATCATTTCATCATCACTAAGCTCCATATCATCATTCTCCTGTAACCACATTAATCCTATAAAATAAAACAATAAGATGAATAAATAAATCTCATAAAATAATATATTTAAAAATAATAATATAAAAATGAATTAATTAAAAAAGATAATATTATTTACCAAACTAGTTATCTTTTCCTCAATCTCACTCTCATCAACATCTTCGTAAAAAAATTTTTCTTCTAATGAAATTGACCCTACAAATAAAAAAAATAAACTATTAACAAATAATATATAACAACAAAATATAATAACTAACAATATGCTAAAATAAAAATTAAAATTGAATAATATACATTATTATACCTTCTTCTTCAGCCCATAACCAATTTTGACAACATGTTAAAGCTTCTATAGTTGATGGATGAAGTCTATTACGTTGCGCACTCACCAATCTCCCTCCGGTACTAAAAGTAGACTCTAAAGCAACAGTAGAAACTGATATGGCATAAATATCTCTAACAATAAGTTGTAAGGTCGAAAATTGAGGTCCAGTTAGTTTCCACCAATTCAATATATCAAAATCTCTTTTTCTTGGTATGACTTCTTCATCCAAATAACGATCCAACTCTGATTTTACTTTTGATTTTTTCTTTTTTTTCCTTAAAACAAAATCATCATAGTCTCTCAAATTTTCCAATTCAGTAGCATCAACATCATCTAAGAATGAAAAGCTTAAACTAGAAAGTCCTTTTTCCTTTTTCAAAGCCAATTTCTCCTCATACTCCTTAAGCAAATCCTGACATATTTGTACAATCCTTTCAATTTCAAATTCAGCATTTTCTCCATAAATCTTTTCAAAGTAATACTCCAACAACTCTGTTTTGTATCTTGGATCTAAAATTGTGGCAACACCCATTATACCATGCACATCATTTCAATATTTTTCAAATTTGCATAACATGCTCACAGCCATACATGAAATAATTCTATTGGTATGCATAATCCATTCATTCAATGCCAATCTGATTTTGCAAACATTAGGAAAATAAAGATTTACAGTAGCATATTTTGTGCCAGAAAAACCTTCAGTGATATCATAAAACAATTTCAACTTCTCACAAATCTCAGTTGCAATGATCCAATCATTTTCAGTTGGCAAATATTTGTACAAAGGATCACCATATAATTGCACACAACGAGGAAAGACATCTTTATAAAACAAAGCTGTTCGAAGCATTAAATAAGTAGAGTTCCATCGTGTTTTGACATCAACACACAACATTTTTAAAGTTAGAATGCGCAATTGACGCGCTGCCTCTTCAAATTTTTTCCATCTCTTTGGTGTAGCACTCTAAAAGAGGACACTATCACGAATTCTATCAATTCCATCTCCAATCACACTCAATCCATCTTTCACAATCAAATGCAAGATGTGTGCACAACAACGCATATGAAAAAAAGTCCCACTAAGCAAAAATGCATCACAACCAATTCTATCAATTAACAACTCAATAACACCATCATTCACACTAAAATTATCCACTGTAATAGATGAAAGTTTTCTATCAATATTCCAATCTAAGAAATATTTCATCAAACTTGAAGTAATGATCTCTTTCGTATGTGAAGTTGGCACATATTCAAACCTAATTAAACAATCAATTATTTACACTAATTTAATAATTAATTCAATAATAATAATTACTTAATAAAAAATGAACAATATCAAAATAAGATAATTTAATAAAATATACCTGATGATGCATTTTTGTAAGTTCCATTGATTATCAATGTAATGAGTAGTGACAGCCATGTATCCTCTTTTTTGGTGATCAGCAGTCCACATATCAGTTGTGATAGCAATTCTCCCTTCATTAGCTTCCAACTTAGATATTGTCTTTGTCTTTTCTTCTCTGAAAATCTTTAAAATATCACTCTTTATAGTATTTCGAGAAGACATAACAAACAAAGGTTGGAGACTGTAAGAATACTTTCTGAATTGCACATGATCAACCATTGATAAGGGGTATTCATGCATGATTATCATCTTGGCAAGCTCCCTCATTGTGACATTTTGATCAAAGGAAAAGTTTTTTAATGTTACTTTTCCATATGCCTTCTTTTGATTTGCTAGCAACACTTATTGACAAATATCCATTTGAAATCGTTTGCTGCACCTCTCTGAATGATCACGCAAATGACTTGTCCCATTCTTAGAAGCACCACCAAGTTTTTTCTTACAATAATTGCATATTGCCTTCCATTCATTATTGATCTTCTCTTTTCTAAAATGTTTTCATACTTCTGATTTTAACTTACTTGAGTTATACCCACTATTATCAACTTCAGCACCCTCGTTAATCACACTTAATGATGGAGTTGTATTTGTGTCAAATTTGAAATAGGAGTTTGCTGAATTGGTGACTGATGTGAAGTAGAAGTAGAAGGTGTTGGGGAACACAAATTATCTTCAAAATTAGATATTTCACCTTCATTCATAAAAAAAAAAAAAAATTAGAGTTATTATTTTTTATATTAACAAATAAAGCAACTAAATAAATTAACTCTTACTAAAAGCATAAGGACAACTATTCTTTTTTACGTTTCTCAGCATCCATTTCTCAAGACTTTAATATTGTACTTAAGTTTCTTTAAATTTCTTTAAAACGAAACTGGAATTCCAACTTGTCATTAGAGATTTTAGGCCTATCATACATTAGAGAGCATGATTATTTTTACTCATTTTTTCCTTTGATAGTTCATAACAGTAAAAGTCTAGTGTAATAATTTTTTCCTTTGATAGTTCATATCATCCAATTCAAACAGTTACTCTAGCATTGACTCCAAGCAACAAAAGCATTTAATCACAAACTTGAAGATGATGATTTTATACAGACTTTTCTAGGTTGAGACCACAAGTAAAATAATATTACATATTCTCTTATTGTCACAACTAGAAGCCTTAAAAGTAATACTATAAACCTAAAACAATGACACTGGTAACATTCAATTCAAGCATATTATATTGGGGTCTAGACATAGATTCACAAAGATATCATTCAAAAAATTTGAAACAAAATTTAGGCACGTAGAGAGAATGAAAGAGAGAGATTATAATTTATGTCATGGAATCTACACATAAGAAGAAGATCAGTGAGTAGCAGAGTTTGACAGGCAAAATTTTTTCAATCCAAGTTAGAAGTGTAGTAACAAGAAAATGACAAGGATTAACTTGAAAATTTGAACAATATTATAGAAAGAAGTAAATACCATAAGTCAAGCCTGTAAAAGATTCAGCCAAA